TTTCCTGTGTAAATTTCGTCCTTCCGTCCTCCAGTTCCCCTTTGTTTATGCCCAAGCCCCCCCCCCCAGAATCTACTTCTTTTGCTTTTCTTTGACCACTGTAATATTACAGTACTGCTGTCTGCTCTTGCTTAAACATGGCTGCTTATTGGTTTGCCAGATAAGACGCAGAACAGCTTAATTAGCACATAAGAAGTCACCCTTTCTACTGGGTTAGATATGGAGAACTTGCAGGGATGGGACTACAAGTTCTATTGAGCCTAGCCAAGAAAACCAGTGGGGAGATATCAAAAATATCTGGGATATGTGTGTGTATGTGTGTCACCATGTACCCTCCATCCCGCCTGTGGTGTACAGTTCGGAGAGTCCTACCCATCAGCTTTGTCCCATGTTCTGGCTGCTCCATCTCTTTCCAGGCTCAGCAACATTCGGCTTGCAGATTTCAATGTCCTTGTGGAGTACTACCACCTGTTCTGCACGGCTGTTTTGGAGGAGCTGACATCCAGGCTGAATATCTGGCAGATCAAGCTTGGGACGAAGGAGGCTGTGAAATCTCTACTGTCGGATTGGCATGTAAGCATTATGGTTTCTCCCAGCTAGCTATATGGGACCATGGCTAAGAGAGGGACTCAGGCCTTCGTCTCCTACTCGGATCTTGCATCTAACACATACCCGTTCGGTGGCCTTAAGAAGGGGCTTCCTCTCAGCCTCATCCCCCCAATTTGTAATGGGGGTATAATAACGGACAGGGTATACTGTCATGGTATGATCAGTAGAGCCTGGGAAACTTACTCTCTTTCAGAATACAGCTACCATCATTTCCTACCTCGTATGGCACCATGGTAGCTTGGGGATTATGGCAGTGGTGGTCCTGAAAAGCAGGTTTTTCAAGGTCTGATGAATAGTAAAAATAAATAAATAAATAAATGAATGAATGAATGAATGAATGAATGAATGAATGAATGAATGAATGAATGAATACATACATACATACATACATACATACATACATACATACATACATACATACATACATACATACATACATACATACACACACACACACACACACACACATACAGACCTGGCTGCTGAGCATTCTTGTGCCCAATTTTTTTTCAGTATCAGCTGCGGCTGCCACAGTTATTACTGAATTAAGCAGCTTTCAGAGTAGATCAGACAGCCAGCAGATGTCACTGTAAAACAGCAGATAATAAATAAAAGGATAGGGGGAAGCACCCAGTAATTTTCCTCTCTCCCCTCAGGATTTCCACATTTTAAGTTCTAGTCCTTAGCAGCAGTCATATGCCCTGAATCCTTTCCAAAAGGAAGGGAGAAGGGAAGATTTTTTTAAAAAAATTGTTTCATATTGTCCATAAAGTCTTGCAAAGTTTTTAATAATCTCATCTGAGATCAAGTATTCAATACATTTTAAACCCTTCAAAAACTTACATACTGTATCGACGGGGCTAGATCTTAGGTTTCTGCTTCCATGAACGTTATCCCAGTGGATATACTTGTCGTTCATTCTTCTCCCCTTCTTTTTCAACGAATTCCTTCTTTTTATCTTTCAAATTTGCATGCTTCCAGATGGACACAGTGCTCAAGTGTTGAAAGATACTACATGGCTTTACTTAGTGGAGTGGAAGAAAGAAATAACAGAATCGATGGAAGAATAGAGAAGGTTTAGGAGCAGGAGATGATGCAACACCCCCACCTCACCCTGGCATTTTGCAAATGAGGCAGTGCTGTTGAGGAATTCAAAGTCCCGCCTGGAAACATGCCTTCAGTGGTAGTTTCCGGTCAGGAATGTTTGTTGATGGATGCCTTGTGAACTTGAAAAGCTTGCACCTGAAAAAAAGGGCTCCATGTCATGAAGGCCAATGCCAAATAAAACGTGCTAGTCTTTTAAGGTGCCACAGGACTCTCTATTGTTCTTGAGGAGCTTATTGAAAAGTCGAACTTGGGTGGTAAGATGGACATGGATAGAGTGTTGCTGGATTGTCCAAACTCTATCCAAGTGTTCTGTTTCTGTTGATGCCAGTGGGATGACCACAAGGTGGACACAAGAACAGTAGCCCTCTTCTACTCTTGTTTGGTGCAGCTGGTGTTCAGACCCATCATGGTGGGCAAACCACCACGAAAGGCAGGTTATTGATCAGCAAAAATCCTCCCCTGTGGTGTACAGTATTGCTGCTGGGTTGAAGAGGTCTCACAGTTTTATGTATGTATGTATGTATGTATGTATGTATGTATGTATGTATGTATGTATGTATGTATGTATGTATGTATGTATGTATGTATGTATGTATGTATGTATGTATGTATGTATGTATGTATGTATGTACATTACAGATAACTAGAACATCTAAACCTACACAATAAACCAACAAACACCAGCAGTAGTGTAAAAACAAATACAACATAATAAGGCATAATAAAACACATATAATATTTAAACATTTAAATTGGCCATATTATAATCTTGATGGTTCTTTCACTGGGTTCCATTGATGGATTGGAAGAAAAGGCCTGTAGAAAGAGCCAGGTTTTTAAATCTTCTTAAACGTTGATGGGGGTGGATAAATTGCTGAAGGGAGTTGATTCCAAAGTCAAAAAGCAACCACCGAGAAGGGTTGGTTCCTAGTTTATTTGTTTATTCTCCCTCTGGGACTCTTATCTGGGTCAGCATGACTGGTATCCAGGAGGGCTGTAGCTCAGAGGTAGAGCATATGCTTTTCATCCTGTGAGTCATATACATCTCTCCCTATACAGGTGGGAAACACCTTAAACTGAAACCCCAAGGAGCTGCTGCTATGTTATGTTTTGCACCTGCTTCCTAGTAGATCTGTTTCGATTTGTTTTGTAAATTCCACACTGAATTTTCTTCAGATTTCTGTACCGGTAAATATTGTAAAACCTCTCTCTTTTTTGACATGTTGGCAGGATTTTATAGAAGAAAAAAGATTTCTTAGTCAGCTAGAAACTGCATTGAACATATGTGAAAAAAAGAAGAATAAAATTGTCAGCACTTCTGATTTGGGTAAGTAGTTGATCATAAGCGTAACAATAATTTTATTTCATGCTGTCATTGTTCCCCTGATTACGGCCCTAATTGTTACTGTAGTGACAAACTCCAGTCAAGTCTGTGTCGTTTTCAGACAACGCAGGAAGGCTCACAGGACTGAATTCTCTTCTCTCCCAGCTCACCCCAAGAAATTTTGTGGATCAAGGAGAAATTCTCCTTAGCTTGCTAGTTTTTTGGGGGTGGAAAATCAGGAAGAGAAGGCCTTCAGCTGAGCTCCAACCTGCAGACTGAAAAGGTGCCATCCATTAGCAAGTTTGTGTTCCATCCATGAATGCCACTTATGCAGCTGAAACCGCACTACCTAAACACTGCAAGGGCGCATCAGTAGGTTTGAAAAATCCCACTTTGCAGAAGAATGAAACATCTTAATGGGGAATCCTTCAAAGTATTCCCCTGGCCTCACCTCTGCCAGTTCTTTCGTGGTTCTCTGTCAACCCGCTATAGGGAGATACGGCCCTTCAGGTAGCCTGGACCTAAGCTGTACTGTATAGGGCTTTATAGGTAATGACCAGCACTTTGAACTGGGCTCGGAAACGGACTGGTAGCCAGTGCAGTTCTTGTAACAGGTGCGTTATATGCTCCCTGTTGCTAGCCCCAGTCAGTAGTCTGGCTGCAGAGGTTTGCATCAGCTGAAGCTTCCAAACCATCTTCAAAGGCAGCCCCATGTAGAGCGCATTACAGTAATCCAAACAGGATGTAACTAAGGCATGTGTCACTGTAGCCAGATCCAATATCTCAAGGAACGGGCGCAGCTGGCGCACCAGCTTTAGCTGTGCCAATGCACTGCTGGACACCACTGAGACCTGCGCATCCAAGTTTAGGGATGAATTCAGGAATACACCCAAGATGTGTACCTGAGTTTTCAGGGGGAGTGGAACCCCATCCAGCACAGGTAGTATCCCTGTTCCTTCATCTGCCTTCCGACTAGCCAAGAGCACCTCTCTCTTGTATGGATTAAGTTTCAGTTTGTTTCAGCCTTCCAACTAACCAAGATCACCTCTGTCTTGTCTGGATTAAGTGTCAGTTTGTTTGCCCTCATCCAACCCATCACTGATGCCAAGCACTGGCTTAGAGTCAAGACAGCTTCCCTGTACTTAGGTGGAAAGGAGAGATAGAGTTGGGTGTCATCCGCATAGTGGTGACACCGAACCCCAAAACTCCAGACAACCTCTCCCAATGGTTTCATGTAGATGTTGAAAAGCATGGGTGACCAAGCAGAACCCTGAGGAACGCCACAGGCCAATGGCCAGGGCGTTTAGCAGGAGTCACCCAGCACCACCTTCTGAGTTCTCCCCTCCAGGAAGAAACTGGAGCCACTGTCAAACAGTGACTCTGAACCCCATCCCAGAGAGGCGGCCCAGATAAGTTGGTCTCAGCATGGACATTGATGTCCCCCAGTACTATCAGCCTAGAGGACTCCAATATCATCTCCAATACCAACTCAGTCAGCTCAGGAAGGAAGTCTTTTGAGTGGCAGGGTGGACGGTACACCAACAGAATCCCTATTCTGTTCTGGGTGCCCACCTTACTTATACACCCCCGAGCCCAGAAAACTGGGGACAAGGCACCTGGTGAAGGAGATGGAATCATGATAAACTACAGCAGCTCCACCTCCTTGCCCCCCAGGTCTTGCCTGCTGCTGCACAGAAAACCCAGGTGGGCAAAGCTGGGAGAGATTTAACTCCCCAAGCTTCATCCGGCCAGGTCTCTGTAATACAGGCCATCTCAGCATGCTCCTTCCTCCAGGATCAGGTCTTCCCTTTTACTGACCTGGCATTCAAGCATCCAGGATTTTTAACCCAGGGTGTTTATTGCCCCGGCTATCCAGGCTTTCGGAATTGAGAGACTAGGATCCTGTTCCCTCCCTCTCTCCTACAAGGATTCTTTTGTCTCCTCTTCACATATCTCATAATAATAACATTATCTAATATTCTAGGAGTTAATCCTGAGGATGCAGACAAGCTGTTTAAGGTGGTAGAATCTCAGGTTTCCAGGTGCAAAGAGTACATTTACAATGTGAATGAAACCCTGCGGAAAAATCTGTCAGCCTGGACCACATACACCGAGAAGTATGTCTTGTTAAAGGCATGGCTGGATGAGATGCGAAAGGAACATCCTAAAAAGGTAAATTTGCATTTCAACTCCTTTGTTAAAACCCTTTTCCCACAATTTATTTGTAGGCTGCAAAGGTGTTATACCAAAGACACGTTTTTTTTAATTAGACTGCTAAAATAGGACGGAAAGGCACCAGCTTTTCACTCCTACAGGAGTCTTCATTTGAAGAAGAAATATAGAAATTTAAAAAAAATCCAAAAAGATTTATGTACAGTAGTGCCCCACTTAATGCTTACCCCGTTTGATGATGAATCCGCTTCACAACGAAGTTTTTGTGATTGCTTTTGCAATCGCACAAAAAAAAAAAATCCGAAAAGATTTATGTACAGTGGTGCCCCGCTTAACGCTTACCCTGCTTGACGACGAATCCGCTCCACGATGAGGTTTTTGCAATCGCAAAACGATGTTTTAAATGGTTTTTTTTCACTTTGCGATGATCGGTTCCCTGCTTTGGGAACCGATTCTTCGCATTACGACGATCAAAAACAGCTGATCGTTGGGTTTCAGAATGGCCGCCGGATGTACAAAACGGCAGCCTGCTGTGTTTAGGAAGGCTTTTTCGCAAGACAGGCAGGAGAAAATGGCCGCCCTATGGAGGATCTTCGCTGGACGGTGAGTTATTCAGCCCATTGGAATGCATTGAATGGGTTTTCAATGCATTTCAATGGGATTTTTTATTTCACTTGACGAGGATATCGCTTAACAGCGATTTTGCTGGAATGGATTATACTCATCAAGCAAGGCACCACTGTATTTCTGGGAAGTTCCAAAATGGGGGCTGTGTCATATAAACAAGGGTATGCCTAATAACCATCCTAAAAAAATTTGAAGGAAGGAGGATAAGGGGAAGACCAAACGTGAGATGGATTGACTCCATAAATAAAGCTGCAACTTTGAGTTGACGAGAGCTGAGAAGTGCATTGAGGACAGGGCGTTCTAGGCGACTCATTCATAGGGTCTCCATAGGTTGGAGATGATTTGATGGCATGTAACGAGAACAACAAATAATAACTGTAAGCGTATTCTACTCTGGCCCCACAGCTCTCCACAGCTGCACTAGCAGCCTGGAACTCTCGGCACGGATCTTTAAATGAAGCGGGAAACTTTTTGATTGAATCCAGCACTGAGGAAGTTGGGGCCACCATTTCTGGAGAACTGAAAAAGCTGAACAGAAAATGGGCGAAGCTCATAAAGAAGACACAGTTTGTGAGTCGTCGCAGATACTTTACCCTCCTCCTTTGTTTCTTTGGACTCCCACACATCTCATGAGGTGCAAAAAGTGTGTCGTCACAGCGACTTTTCACAGAAAATAGTTGTGGCCCTCTTCTGCTGATGTACACCCTGTCGTTGGAGAGAAATCTGTTATCTCTTTTAAGGCCTCGATCTGTAGAATCAGATTTTTAGAGGAACTCTAGGGGGGCCTCTCACAAATAAATGAACAAGAACACAAGAGATCCCTGAGCAGAGTGAGTAACAGGAAGTTGATAACACAGGTTATTTGGCATTTCTAGGAGATGAGGATGCATAGAAAGCAAGAGGAGGAAATGAACGTGGCAACAGAGGACAACAGAGATGTGGACTCTCCTACAAAAGCCAAACCGGCCACACTCGGTCATCTGGTGAATGTCCCAGAAGAGCCTCTTGAGACTCCAGTGGTAAAGAATTTGCTTATTTTATAGGCGTTCCACCACGTGAGCTCTTTCAGTGTGTCAGATCTGGATCCCTCCCCTTTGCATTTTAACGTCTCAGTGCTTCAGATGCCTGTATGTGTAAAGACTGTGCATGGAGGGAAGGGGAAGAGTGGTGTCATGCTCTTCCCTTGAGCAGGCCAGCCTTGCCTCTGGTCTCAGCAGACTTATTTCCATGGGACATATACCGTGTGGTTGCTAACATTCACCGCTCTTGAGTCATGATGCCTTACACCCCATCTGATAGACTTCTAAATTAGCAGTTGCTAGGGGCCAGGGGTGGAAAAGGGTTACTGTGCTGGACCTGTGATGGTCTGGCCTCTCAGGAAGCACCTGACTGGCCCCTGTGAGATGCAGGAGACTGGACTGGATAAGAGATCAGTTTTTTTGGCTGTAGCTATTGAGTGGGCTTCCCATGACATTATCACACCTCGTTTGCTTCAGTTCAAGGTCAGCTGCAAACAAAATTCTTGTTTCCTTCTGATTCAGACCAATAAAGGTTCAGTAACTGGGCCAGCGCACATGGTTAATCAGTTCTGTTCACATGAAACACTTTACATACAAGGTGTATTATTCATTCGTTCATTCAGGTTGCAATTCATCGTTTCGTCTTGGAGCCCATAGCAGCTATCAGTTTATCCAAAAAAACCCACTCTTTTCACACTTGTCAAAAAGCAGCCCTGACAATTGCTTTGTGTTTGGGCGAGAAACGGTTCACTGATGAAAAAGGGAGTCAGCTTCTTTTCCCTTGTTTGATGTCACTTTGTGAATGGGAGTGAGCACAAGAGGGCATCCTGTAGAATAGATCATCTTGACTCCTGCCGTTGGTGTTGGCAACATTCAGTCTGCTCTCTGCTATGTAAAGCTTGGCTTCCTTTTTTCCTGCTGGCAAAGTGGGCACAATATTGTGCAGCAATATCAGGCTATTTCCTGACAATTTGGATTGTGGGTGCAGAAGCACAATATCATAAAATGGAGATTTTCGAAGAATTTAATCTGTTTCTACTTCATTTTATATTTACAAACATGTTCTCAAAAGGTATATGTTTACCGTATTCTCGAAGGCTTTCACGGCTGGGATCCAGTGTTTGTAGTAGTTTTTTTAGGCTGTTTGGCCGTGTTCTTGAGATTTTGCTTCTTAACGTTTCACTAGTCTCTGTGGCCAGCATCTTCAGAGGACAGGAGTTAGAACTCTGTCTGTGTTCTGGTGTAGTGTGTGGGATAGTTGAGTATTTGTAGCTGTGGGATTAGTTTTTGTCCTTTTCAGGAGATTAGGTGATTGTGGTCAGCAGGGTGATTATGGTGATCAGGGTTGAACAGATGTATTCTCACAGATATTACTTTATTTTCTATACTTATCCTGATTGGGGGGGGGGAATGAATGTCCCACATCAGGTGTTTGGTTATGTGCTTGAATTCTGCACCAGCAACTACATTCTGCTTGCCCTTTGTTTTATTTTGGTAGGGGTTCAACAGAAACTTTCTATAATTTTTGGAGTTTGTCTTCAATAAGAAGGAAGCAAATCTTCATTTGTCAGTTGTTTTGGGGTTGGGTTCACCTACTGCCGGAAATAAATCAGTAGAAAAATGTTGGGACTTTATAGTTGAAAGCATGAGCCACTCCATCCATTTTAGCTCCGGGGGGGAGGGGGTAGTTTTACTGAAAACATGTATTTTCTGACAGAAACATGTTGCTGTTTTCTTGACCTTTTGCTTCCTAGACTTTCTCAGGCAATCTTTGCAGCGATTCGCTTACACCAGAGCAAGTCCTGTGGAAACCAGCAGTCAAACAAAACTTTGAAGAGGCTCACAAAAAGCTTGAAGCATCTGTTTTAAGAGCTTTGCAACTCCTTGGCTCAGAGAACAACCCTGAGGGACCAATTTCAAAATATGAGGCGAGTTAAACCAATTGCTATGTTATACATGTTGCAACTGCCATAGCCATCTCATAGAAATACTGTAGAAAACAGAAAGGAGGGTGTCTGAAAGCTTTAAGAAAAAGGAGTGTAAAATGTGACAAAATTCAAAAATTAGCTCTGAGAATTCATGTTATACAGAGTTACATATCCATAATCCTACTGTAGGGCATGGAGTGATGGATATTAAAACAGACTGCTATTGAAAACACAAACTTTTTAAAGGGCCTACTCAGATGTGGCCCCCTTCCTTTGGAATGGACGTCCGGTCAAGCTGCGCCTGGCCCCCTCCCTCTCCCCTATCAAGAGACTTTTGATGATGATGCTCTTTACTGAAGCTTTTCAGAGCATCCCTTCATGATGACTTGCAAATTGTGTCTGCCCTCCCATCTATTATCTGATACTGACGGCTTTATTTTATCTTTATTGATTGGATCTGCTTTATTATCTTCCCTTTATTATTGTTATATTATCTCATTGTTAGCCACCTGGAGTAATGCCTCCCTCTAACTGGGTGGTATAGAAATTGAATAAATGCTTATTTTAGCCAGATGAGGGATGAGAGAGAGCAGTCAGTAACCTGGGAGCAGGCATAGAGAAGGCCATCTCTTGTGTCCCCCATCAGTCATGCCTGTGTTGGTAATGGGACCTCCTCTGATGATTGGGAAATGCTTCTTAAAAAGCTGTTCTTTCCTTATCCTTCTGTATCCCATGCCTTGCTTTTCAGTACTGCCAGCATGGTGAGGACCCTTGTAGCTTCTAGGCATTCATCAATGTTTAGGCAGGTCTTTGATTATTATTCCCTAATTTTATGCCACTTTCTTCCAGGAAGCTTTTAGCATCTTAGATACCAGCATCCTCGGTGAGTTTTTGAAAGCAGCAGAACAATTGAAAGATATTTCGTCGGCCCACGAAAAGGCAGCGGTGGAGGAAAAGAGCAGAGGTGTGCGTGACAGATGGGAGGTGAGAAAATGTACCTGCCGTACAGAGTGGCGTTTTTATCAGATAGAAGCCGTTCAAGTGCTTTCTTGTTATGTGTGATTGTCGGAAGCGTATCTGAGCCAGTCTGTTTGGGAAAGCAATTAATTAAAAAAAAAAATTAAAAAGAATTTTGAAATGTGAATGATTTGATCATAAAATAGTTTAAGCAATAAACAAAATAACAAATAATAATAAAAATAAAAACAAATAACAAAAAAGGAGAACAAAATTAATTCATAACTCAAGCGTACAGTATTACTCACCACCCTTGGGATTTTTATGTCCTCATTTTAAACTGTAACCCTATTTTAATTTATATCATGTGATCCGTCTCTTTCCAAAAATATATTGACTCGTGTGTCTTATGTTTACTAAATACATGTTTAGTAAATACATTTACTAAAAAGGCATTCCAAATCTCATTAAAGCTATTTTCTTTCAATGATCCTTATCTAACTTTCAATTCACAGGATGATTTATCATTAATAGGCACATTCCACATTTCATGATACTATCCCTCATTCCCATAATATCATATCTGAAAAAATATATATATTTTTAAATCTCAAAAACTTGCAGAGACAATTTTGTTAAGAAAAGTGTCACCAGAACAGTTTGGGAATTTGTTTTATGGCCAAAACACCATCTCCTACATTTTGCACTATACAGTTACAGCAGTTGGATAATACTTTAACCCCTGTGTTTTGATGCTGGAAAAAAAATTCTGATCTGGTGGACTGCTTAGAATTCTGGGTACATTAGAGCTAACTAGCAAAGAATTTGAGGTGGGCCAAGACTCAATGTCATCGAAGCTACCAACATGAATTTGACCCAACTCTGGGAGGCAGTGGAAGACAGGAGGGCCTGTTGTGTTCTGATCCATGGGGTCACAAAGAATTGGACACGACTTAACAACTAAACAACAACAAGATTCAATATAAGACAGTTTCATATGCTGGTGGTGGTGCACGGAGGGGATGTGGCTCTCATCCCATGATGTTTCCAGATCTATGACTTAACGACTAAACAACAGCAAGACTCAATATAAGGCAGTTTCATATGGTGGTGGTGGTGCACGGAGGGGACATGGCTCTCATCCCATGATGTTTCCAGATCTTGTGGCTATTCCCAGAAGCAAGATTTTGTAATACATGAGCTGCCTTAGGTCCCTTGACTGGGAGAAAGACAGCACAGAAATGAAAATAAAATGAACAAAATAAATAAATTGAATTCCTGTCCAGGTCCATCGTCAAGTTCCGCTTAAGTGGTGAGCTTTGTCGGCGACCAAGATGCCTTGATGTTTTTTTCCCCATGTTTTGCAGGAGGTTCACCAAGAAATCCTATCCTGTATTCAGTTGAAAATGGAAGTCGAAAGAGGGAAAATGAATAAGATTTTTTCAAAACTCAACAAGCAAATAAATAAAGAGAAGAAATTGCTCAGTGCAGGGAAAACCAAGGGACTCATTGAGGAACATGAGGTACTTTCCAAGTAGATGTTGTCTTTTCTTCAGTTTCTCAAATTTGTTCTGCTAAGAATCATTTCATGTAAGCAACATGGGCACTGTTGTCATCCTGTATCCTCCTAGGCTACTTTTTCTCACCAAGGCAGCCTGGGTGAGCTGAACACTTGCATAAAAGCCATTAAAACAATGAGTGAGAAGAGTGAAATAAAAATACCCATTGCCGAGTATGAACAGAAGAAAGAAGAGCTGCAAAAACGGGCAACGGCTGTTTATTACGCTCTGGCGGCTAAGACTAGTCACGGCCATTCTCCTAAGACGGGGTGTGTATTTTCAGTAGGCAACGTGATGCTGTTTCATGTGTGCATCCTGTGCCTCATCAGGTCACTTCCACCTTACGACAACCTTACAATTAATGGTCTTTCATTAGCTAACCTGATCAGGTCTTGCAGTCTGAAGGCCAGGGGATCCTTTATTGAGTCAATCCATCTCATGTTAGGTTCCTACTACAGTGGTGCCTCGCTAAACGATGATAATCCGTTCCACTGAAATAGCTGTTTCGCGAAATCATCGTCTAGCGAAATGCATTTCCCCATTGGAATGCATTGATACCTGTTTAATGCTTTCCAATGGGGAAGAATCATCATTGTCTAGCGAAGATCGGCCATAGGAAAGCCACCTTGCGAACCGCCGATCAGCTGTTTAAATCGCTGTCTTGCGAAGCTTAGGTCTCGAAAACACCTGTTTGCGAGCACGGAGGGAGCTGTCAAAATCGTTGTCTAGCGAAAATTGGTTTGCGAAGCAGGGACCAAACATTGTCCAGCGAAATTCCCCCATAGAAATCACTGTTTTGCAATAGCAAAAAGTCAATGTCTAACGAAAAAACTCATGCGGGGTAACTATTTAGTGAGGCACCACTGTGTCTTCCTTCTTTCCTAGAATTATTGTATTTTTCCTAGAATTATTGTAAAGTAACTTTTCTAATGTATTCTCGAAGGTTTTCATGGCCAGGATCTGATGGTTGTTGTGGGTTTTTCGGGCTCTTTGGCCGTGTTCTGAAGGTTGTTCTCCCTAACGTTTCGCCAGTCTCTGTGGCCGGCATCTTCATAGGCACACAGTGCTATCCTCTGAAGATGCCGGCCACAGAGACTGGTTGTTCTTCCTGACGTTTCACCAGTCTCTGTGGCCGTATTCTTCAGAGTCTTCTGAAAATGCTGGCCACAGAGACTGGCAAAACATCAGGAAGAACAACCTTCAGAACACGGCCAAAGAGCCCAAAAAACCCACAACAACTAACTTCTCTAATATCTGATAGAAAAGAAAGACTAACTTCTTTTAGATGACTGTTGCTTGCTTACATGTGAAGATATTCAGATTCGGGAATGCCCAAATGAAACTAACATTGGATGGATGAACAGTGACACAATCCGTAAGATGATGTTTTGGTTTAAGTAACTCTTTTGCAGATCTAATGCAAAGTTTCTTTTTCGGAATCTCACAACCAACATGGCCAGTTATTGTGGAAAATAACTTTGCTAAGCTCTCATTGCAACCTTCCCATGCATTTCATCCACCTCTTTCAACTAGAGGTCACAAGAATGAAAGTAGAACAGAACTTGGAATATGTTTGGTGTGATTAACTTCTTAAATTGCAAGAGTTTGCTGCCACGATTTTCACCAATTATGTCATACCGGTGGGAGTAAATAATAATGAGATTTTGATCACTGTTGGACAAAAGAGTAGAAGGAACGATGTGACTGAACATCATGTATAATATGGCCAGAGAATAGAAACTGTTTTGGAATATAACAATAAAACTTGTGTTGACTTTTAATTTGAGAAGTCGAGAAGTACCATTTGGCAACCTGAAGTCTGGAAAACTTTATTCAACATTCCGTGTTTTAAAGCAGTGATCCCCAACCTTGGACTTCCAGATGTTCTTGGACTATAACTCCCAGAAGCCTTGACCATCATCTCTCTTGGCAACCTGAAGTCTGGAAAACTTTATGCAACATTCCGTGTTTTAGGACCTTAAGATAGCAAATCTACTTATTGTGCAATTTCAGTTTCATTCCTTTGCATTCTTCTGAATGATGTTATTTCTTCTAAAATCCAGAGGTTTGTTGCTTGCATCCCCCAACGGAGAGAAGATGTCTTCTTTGAATCACCATGATGGCCTTTCTGCTGAAAAGGTAAGACATCTAGCCCATGACGAAGATGATCCAAGACATTTTGCTGCCTGAGGCAAAAAAAAAAACCACATGAAGTTCTCCCCAGTGAAATGTTCTCTAATTTGGTTACACATAGTTGCTGTTCATTTTTAATTGTTCACATGGCTTTTTATTTTCTCTTTCTCTCCCCCCCCAGGACTCTAGAGAGGTTTCTCATGTACATTTGGAACTAGAAAAGAAATTTCAGAATGGTGGGGATCACTCAGAGAAGACTGGAAGAGACGAAGACTTGCCTTTAGAGAACTTAAAAAAGAGGTAACTTTTTATCTAGAACATGAAAGTGGCAAGAGATAAAGGTTAAGCATTAGAATCAAATTGGTAGTATTGAGTTATCTTCAGCGAAATGGAATTTTTGCTCATCCATGTCTTGTTTGACTCACTGGCTTCCAGTGTGCTTTGTCTTTGTGAATTAAGGGGGAAAAGTACTAGAAAGTGCATTTTCATATGCCAGACATACATGCTTTGTCTGAATGATTCAGACTTCAGAATGACTTACTCTAAGTAGATGGAGTGAAGCATTTTAGGAGAGCTATAACTAAGGCAGGGCAACACGTTTTCCCATAGGGTACCAACATTTAGAAGATGCTAAAATCTGGAGGTGGATCTTCACTTGTTAGTGAAACAAATGGCAGCGCCTCCCACTACATCCCAGAAATGTTTTCTGGATATTCTTGGGCCACTGTAAGTCCATTGTGTCTCTCAGTGCCTGAGAGAGCAGGAGAAAGAGACTGGGAAGCTGTGTTGGGATAGATTATAGATAAGCGATGCAAGCACAGTCCTAAACACCTAAAAAGCCTGTGTTGTCTTAAACCGTAGGTATAATTTCTGAAATCCTTTTAGGTGGCTATGCTGCCTTTTGGAAGCAAATGGCCTCAAGTTAAGAAATCACTGTAGATATTGTATTTTGTATACTGAGTTGTGTGTGACTGTACACAACAGATAATGTCTACAGTGATTTCTTAACTTGCAGCAATTTGCTTCTGAAATGTATCCCATTTGTATTCTGCCAGTGTAAGCAGGCAAAAGATTTTGGCTGAAAGGTGTTAGAAGAAGCAGGGATTTTTTTTAAAAAAATTGATTGCTGAACACACGGAAGGATATGCTGGACTAACTCCTCTTCAGATGCTCCAGTTCTCATCAGAAACAATGAAATGCCAACCCTCAAGACTATCAAGCTGTCACTGTAAAGGAAGAACATGGAAGGACTTAAACTCTCCAGGCATATACATATACAGTGGTGCCCCGCATGATGACGATAATCCGTCCCATTGAAATAGCTGTTTAGCGAAATCGTTGTCATGTGAAATCTGTTTCCCCATTGGAATGCATTGAAAACCAGTTTAATGCGTTCCAAGGGGGAAAATACCTCATCGTCCAGCGAAGATCGCCCATAGGGAAACCATTTTGCGAGCACCAATCACCTGTAAAAATGGCTGTCCTGCGAAGCATGGGTCCAGAAAACTTAGGGCAGCCATTTTGCGAGGCCAACGATCAGCTGTAAAAATCATCGTCTTCCGAACAAACGGTTCGCAAAGCACGGACCTAATCAATGTCCAGCGAAAATCCCCCATTGGAATGACTGTTTTGTGAATCGCTATAGTGATCACAAAAAGTCATCGTTATGCAGATTTGTCGTCTTGCAAGGTACCATTGTATTATATTGTATATGAAAATGATCTCATACTTCTCTCTCTTATTGAATCCTATCCTGCAAAGCTCAGTGTTATAATTTCACGCTAAAATTGTGCTTTGTCCCTGTTTGTTAGCATTTAATATCATTTTATTAAATAAATATATTTAATTAAATTTTTTTCTTAGTTACAATACAGCAAAACGTAACCTGAAGCTTCACTTAAGCAGCATCAGAGAGAAGAGTACCTCTGCTTTAACTGGGGATGTAAAAGATGCTACCTGCCTTCAGAATAAGCTACACGAGTTAGAGGTATTGAAATTCGTGCCTTTCTGGTCATGTTGATCAAGGAGGCATGAGAAACGTCCAAAAGCCTGGGGCCACTCCCCCCCCCCCATATTTGCACCTCATCAGAGAGAAGAGTAGCTCTGCTTTAACTGGGGATGTAAAGGATGCTACCTGCCTTCAGAATAAGCTACATGAGTTAGAGGTATTGAAATTCCTGCCTTTCTGGTCATGTTGACCAAGGAGGCGTGAGAAACCTCCAAAAACCTGGGGCCACCCCCCCATATTTGCACCTCTTCCTGTGACCTGCCATGTCTTACCAAAATGACTTTAAAAAAAAATGAACGAAGGCCCTTTTGACCTATGGTTGCCAAATTTAAAAAAGGGGGGGAGGCTGGAGAACTGGGGCAACTTTGCCATAATGCCCCTTAAAGGGGACACAGAGGTTTTTTGAGCCAACCTTTTGTGCCTTGGGTTGTTGGGAGGACGAGACTCTGGGAAGGGTGGCTGAAATGCAGCTCATGGAATCCAAGTTGCCCGCCTCACGTTAAGGCCATGTCAGAAGACTTGGAGGCCACAGGCTGGCTAAATTCAAACACTGTGTTAAACCAGGGTGGGGAACGTCCAGAGGGACTGACGGCTGAATACGTAAACTCTGGACTTGGGATTGGGGCAATGCACCCACTCTCTGTGCCCTACCAAAGGTTTTTCTTTAAAAGCTCCCCTCCCCCCAATTTGGTAAGGCCCCTCCATGTCTTCTGGGGCCAAATGTGTTTTTTTCTAAATGCCATTTGAGGTTTGGGGGGACGCGTTTCCTAGCGCATGCCCCCCAACTTTGCACAATCAATTCCAACGCTCCCTGGAGGGGAGGCTTTCTGAGCAAACCAAAGGGGCTTCCTGAGCTACACTTTTTAAAAATTAAAATTTGGGGGAGTGCTTATGGAGATCTCCTGGAGTGATGGGCCCCTCCCGCAGCTCGCAGACTGCACGTTGACTACCCCATGCTAAATCCGTGTTGGAAGTCTTAGGATATCTGTAGGATATTCTGGACAACTCAGTGGTTGAGGTCTCTGGCTGTGGAGCCACAGGTTGGTAATGTCCCCCCCCCCCCCGTGGGCCTCCTTGACATGCTGGACTTGATGATCTAAAAGGTCCCTTCCAGCTCTGCTGTTCCAAGATTGTGATATTTGTCTGTGTATATTGTGGATGAAAATCAGATACATCTGCATTTCACCTTTACACCTCTTGTTCTCTAGGCCTTGGAAAATAAAGCTAGTTCTTCCTGGAAAATGTTCGAGTTTGTGGCTTCCATGCTAGAAGAACTTTCAGGTGAAACAGAAATGTCTTCTAAACAATCTCGGGAAGAACTTCTTGGGGAATGGAAAGAGCTCCAGTTTGCCTTAAACAAAAGGTACGGCCTACCTGTGTTGCTTCTGGAGGGGATGAATTAGTTAGAGGAATAGAAGTGCATGTGGATCTTATAGACTGGATAATGGCTAAGGCACTACAGTGGTGCCTCGCATTATGACGTTAATTCGTTCCAGCGAAATGGCTGTAGAACGAAAACATCGTAAAGCAAAATTAAAAAGGCCATACAAACGCATTAAAACCTGTTTAATGCGTTCCGATGGGCTGGAAACTCACCGTCCAGCGAAGATCCTCCATAGGGCGGCCATTTTCTCTGCCTGTGCAGCGAGGAATTCGTCCCAGAAAACAGCGGGGGCCATTTTGTTTACCCAGTGGCCATTTTGAAACTGCCGATCAACTGTCCGAAAATCATCGTTTTGTGAAGAATTGATTCCCGAAGCAGGGAACCGATCATCGCAAAGCGAAATTCCCGCATAGGAAACATCATAAAGCAATCACAAAAGCAATTGCAAAAAGTTCATCGTAATGGGATTTTGTCATTAAACTGAGCGATCGTAAAGCGAGGCACCACTGTACTTCGGTCCGATGACGCACATACAGCTTGGCTCTCACCTTCAAAGGCAGTAAGAGAGCCACCGACTAGACAGAGCTTTGTCAGGCCCAACATGTAGGTGACATTACCTTCCCGATAACCTGGAGATGGCATGAAGAAATGTGACATTGGGAAGAGTTTAGAGTATGTGCCCTTAGATGCAGGACAAAGATAAGAGGATTTGATCCCGAGCCTTATGAGGAATTGGTCAAGGGAGTTTGGTATGTTTAGCCTGAGAACAGGCTTGAGAAGTTATATGAGAAGCCGTCTTTTGATCTCTGAAAGGCTGTGTCACGCGAAAGGCAGAGTTTCCCCCCCCCCTTTGCTGTTCCAGAGATGGGATCTGAACCACTGGATTCAAATTAAAAGAAAGTACAGCAAAACGCTAAGAAGAGAATTGTATGACAGTTCAATGTAATGGATTCTACATTAAAGAGCTTTGTGGTGCAGTGGGTTAAACCGCTGTGCTGCAGCCAAAACTGCGTTCACGACCTGGGGTTCAATCCCAGGTAGCCGGCTCAAGGTTTGCTCAGCCTTCCATCCTTCCAATGTCAGTAAAATGAGTACCCAGCTCGTGGGGGTGGAGGTGGGAGGCTATGTGTAGGCTGCTTAATTAATTTGTCAACCACTCTGAGAGTGCTTGAAGCACTGTGGGACAGTATGTAAGCAGCACACTTTGCTTTTTCTCCTTCATCCGAGGTTAAATGGTCATCTGTCAGAGATGCTTGAGCTGTGTATGTCCTGCACTGTCAGAGATTGGGACTAGAGAACTTGTTGGTTTCTTCCAGTTCAAGATTTCTGTGACTTGTGATGTAACTTTTCTTTTACCTTCCGGCCAGATATTCCCTTTGTATGTTTGAGGTATTCTGTACATGCTGTAATATGTGCTTGTATTCCCTCTTTTCTCCTGGATAGAGAGTTTCAGACTTTTCACACCTGAATCCTCCTTAGAATGCCTTTGGCTATTCCAGGCTTCTATGTTTCCTCCAAATTTCCCACATACTATTTCTGTGGTGGCAAGAGCTCAAAATCTGGAGCCGATGAATCGGAATGGAAAACTGAGGCCTTGAATTCTATGCTCCATCAGAAGACCCCACACCTGAGCTACTGTGTTGTGACATTGCTGGTGTGTCACATAAACTCTGGCTACCATTGTATGTTGAATTGAGGTACATATCCTTGCTTGTTCTCCTGTTCACTTTTCTCTTCCTTCGTTTTAGGATGGAATCTCTAAAAGCTGCCTTGGCCCTTGTTTTGCCGATAGAAAATGAATGGGCCTTATTGTGCGGCTCTGATGAACAGCTCTGTAAAAAAGAGATACCGCGATGTGTGCTGAGTAATTCTAATCTTCCGCACAAGAAAGTGAAGGTTAGTGGGACTTAATTGCAGTTTTGATCAGACTGGGGGGAGGTCTGGTTATGTCATTTTAAAAAGTAATTTTTCCAAGTGCTGGTTCCCTGAAATCACAAAATGAATAATACAAGGCTCCTAGAAATATCTTGTGGGTTATGTGGTGGTGCTGTGGGTTAAACCGCGGAAGCCTCTGTGCTGCAAAGTCAGAAGACCAGCCGTCGTAAGATCGAATCCATGTGACGAAGTGAGCTCCCGTCGCTTTGTCCCAGCTCCTGCCAACCTAGCAGTTCAAAAGCATGTAAAAAATACAAGTCGATAAATAGGTACCACCACGGTGGGAAGGTAACGGTGTTCCGTGTCTAGTCGCGCTGGCCACGTGACCACGGAAACTGTCTTTGGACAAACACTGGCTCTACAGCTTGGAAACGGGGATGAGCACCGCATCCTAGAGTCAGACATGACTGCACTAAATGTCAAGGGGAACTTTTACCTTTACCTAAAAGTATATTGTACAGCAGTGTTTTGCAAAATGTGTGTTGTGGCCCTTCAGAGAACCACTACTGGGGGGGTGGTGCCACTGGAAAGAGAAGGGAACAAAGAGCAAACTCTCTTTCCCTTCCCCCACCAAAGCTCTTCCACAGTGCCTGGCAGCCCCGATTCTGACTGCCTCCCTGGGCTGCATTGCTCTTGTCTGGCCAGGCCTGGCCTGGCCACCGTGGCTAATGCTGGTGCCAGCCCAACTTCTTGTTTGTGGGTGGGCGGGCTTGTCTCCTGAGCTGTCTGCTGCCTCGCCCGACTCCCCACAGAGCTGCCCACCCCACCCAGCCGCGATTCCGTGGTCTGTCAATCAGTGTCCCCCCCACATCGCCATTGTTGCCACCCTCACGAGACGTGGCTCGAGCCAGCCCCACACCCCGCCCACAGCGGGCAAAGGGAGGTGTCCTTTCTGACTCCACCTCCTTGCGAGGTGCTGTGGCCAGGAGGTGGCCTTGAGGCAATGGTGGAGGAGAAGGGATCCCGCCCATTCACCTGAGACTGAATCAGCTGTAAGGTGAGTGGGCTGGGAGCCAAACCTGAGGAAGAGGATGACCGTGCACAAAGGTAAGGCACCCCATGCCCAAGATTCAGGAGAAAAAGAAGCCATGAGTTGAACAAGTTTGGCCATCATGGCCATACAGGCCTATCTGTCAAGCTTCAACCAGAACTTGGAATGATAGGTTTGGAAATGATTTAATGTTAACCGTTAGAAATTAAGAAATCAATGCATTTCTTTGAAGATTCAAAACAGAAATAATTTAGAAATCACAGAGCATGGACTGAGTTCCTACTCCTGTCCTCTGAAGATGCCGGCCACAGAGATTGGTGAGACGTTAGGAAGAACAACCTTCAGAACACGGCCAAAGAGCCCGAAAAACCCACAATAACCATTTAGCTTATGAGTTAGACATTAACACATTATAGTGATTTTTCGCAAGATGAATGTCTCGCACAACGAAAAACTTGCAAGACGAAAGCATTTTATGATTTTTTTGTGACTTGCAAGATAAATTTTTCTATGGCCGTGCTTCACAAGATGAATAGAAACACATTAATTAAATTTCAATGCATTCCTGTGGGAAACCTAGCTTTGCAAGATGAAATTTTCGCAATACGAAACGACTTATGGAATGAATTATTTTTGTCTTGTGAGGCATCACTGTAATTAGTTTTGGGATGCCTTCTCTCAAGGACACATGTTCTCACCTCCTTTTGAAAACTAAATTTATGCTAGGTAGCTTAATGTTGGCCCTATAAATGCAATACTGAAAAGTCTTCATTCGCACAGCCAAGAGATTTTAGATCGTCTCAGGGCTCCTGGTAATTCTAGTCTAAGATCTTCCAAGACTCTCAATATTAGGAATCCTTAGTGTGTAAAGAGGCCATTGACCATAACATTTCCTTAAAATAAAAATAGCATTGGTTGAAGTTTCTCACTGAAGACTCTCCATTTTTCTTTCCAGAAGGGTATTCGTATTAGGGATAGAATATTTGTATTTGTTGAACCCAGAAGACTGAGTTAGAATTCTGGGGGCTTTCGTCCACTTCCACCCCAACACAAAGGAAAGCAACGAGTCCTCTCGGGTGTTTGATAGAAAAATTGGTGCATAAATAAGAAAAAAACCCTCTTTATTTCTGAGTTCCATGGCACTGGGTAGATATAAATCCATACAGTTGTCCGCATATCTTGACTATTCCGAATTGCTATTTTGAGCTCACAATTTGTTACCACTCTGCTGCCTCTCACTCTTGTCCTTCTCCATCTTTCAGAAAATGCGGGTATCCATAAGCAATTGTATTGAGCAATGCAGCCAGCAAAGCCAAAACGTCCCGGCAGGATGGAAGGTTGGCGCAGTGGACTGGCAGGCAGCCGCTGCAATACTCGGTGCATACAAAGTGCGATTGGAAGAACTGGGTCATAAAATGCAGGCCATCGAAACCATCCTGCAAGATCTTGAAATTTTTCTGGCTTTCCTGAGGCATGCCAAAGTGTCTGCGGAGGTCCCGGCCCCTCTGAGTCAAGCTCCACCGAGGAAGGAAGGTATCGTCCTGCAGGAGGTTTTGCAGATGCAAAAAGAGGCTAGATCACTGGATGAGAGGCTGAAACGAGTCCATATCTTCTTGGAAGACGGAGAATCTGGGAGGAAGAAGTGCTGCGAAGAACTGGTTGAGGGCCTGGTGGTGGTGGTCAGCTCTGCAGAGAATCAGGAGGTCAACCGGAAGCAAGAGACACAGGAGGAATTTGGCTCAAAGAATAGCGAGCTCTATAAAAGTATTCAAGATATACATGATAAAATTGGTAAAATCGGTTTGAGAGATCCAACAATTCCTGCGGTTCAGCAAAGGTGAGCAAGCATCACCCACCCCAAATATGTGGTTGATTTTAGTTAAATTTTTCAAAGATCTTTTCTTTTCAACTTTGGCAGAAGGAAAAAAAACACAAAGCCTGGAAGAGTCACTTTTTAGAGGAGTCTACTGTGTTTGTTGCAGTAGAAACAGCAAGTCCTTGTAGATCCTTTAATACTTTATTCATTTCAGAGTACTGCACAATTTAAAATTACAGGCATATATGAAATATAAATAAAATTGAAAACAAATAAAAATGTTTAAAAAAATTAGACTGCTTTTTACCAGAAGCTGGCTACTTCAATAGTATTATCTCAGCTATTTGCTAAATCTTCTTTTGTAAATATTTGTTGTAAATGTAGTGAGACATAAATTGCATGCACATAAGTGCTGCATTGACTGAATTTCTCCACAGTCACAGAAAGTTTGTTCTGTATCCAAGTAGCCCCATTTTACTTGATTATCCTTTGATCTTTCTATTTCCTTTCGAAATCTATTAAGTGACTTCCAGATGGCACTTAAAGACTAGCAAAGTTCAGTTCATACAAACATCCATAAACTAATCCATTCTTTCAGGTACAAAATGTAGGTTACTACCCTTTAAAAATTAAACTTGCCAGTCTTTAAGATGCTTCTTCAAATATCAAAATTAAAAATCAAATACATTTATTGTCACTGTAAGTATATATGTAGTATACCCATACAACGAAATTCACACAGACACCCAGAGACCACCCTCACATGCACACACATGAAAAATCTTGACTCTTTGTTAGGGTTATTGGGGGGGCAGTTACATTCCTAAAATATCCCAGTTAATATGTTGGGAGTTTTTGAAAAAATGCACTTTTCTAAGCCCTGGAGTAGAAAACTGTGTTCTAGACCAGGGGCTGCCAACCGTGGGCTTACCGGAACTGGGCCGCGGATGTGGATCTCCACCCCTCCCAATGCATGGAGCTTGCTCCCCTCAGCCGGTCGACAGCCCCCAAAAGGTTGGAGGCCACTGCTCTAGACAATGGTCCCTATCTTTTTTGACACCAAGGACTGGTTTAGTTGAATACGATTCTCCCAAGGACTGGGGGGGGTGTACTTGTTATGCAGTGGGTTGTTGGAGGACAGCTTTGAACCGAGCTCATAAAGAAAAAGGCGAGCAGGAGCAGGAGGTGAGCTGCAACTGAAACTCCGCCTCCTGTTAGATCAGCAGCGGCTTAGAACCTAATAGGAGCGCAGGCTCCTATGAGATTTTAATGCCACAAGCCCAGCTGATCAAGAAGCAGCAGGAGAGGAGCGTGGAGCGAAGTTCCGCCTCCTGTCATATCAGCAGCAGCATTAGAACTTGATAGGAGCATGCTGACAGGAGGGGGAGCTTTACTCGCTGCTCACCTCTTGCTCACCGCTCACGTCTCCTGGTGGCCCGGTCTTTCCAAGGCCACGCACCAGGACCATTCCGTGGACCGGGAGTTGGGGACCCCTGCTCTAGAACAAGGAATTGATGTCCAAAGGAAAACATCATTCATTAGTATTTTCAGAAGAGTTATCGTTGATGGAAATGGTATCGGTGAAGAAGCTGTTCGTGGCAGGTGCCTCTCCCAACAAGCCCCCAAAAACAGAACCGCAGTGTTGTTATGGGGGAATATTGGTCTAGAACTGTTGGCCAGGTCTCTGACGAATTGATACCAGGGGGCTCAAGGAATGTATGGACATTTGCAAGGCTGAAGGACTTGTCGATAACTGCTATTTTTATGCCCCTGACTGGAAATCCCCTGAAAATGTCATTTTGCAGTATCATTCTAGAGTGTCCTGTGGGAAACTATCTGGGACTTCACTGTTCTTACCAGTGCTGTGAGAAAAGATACATAAACGCAAACATTGGCACAGATGCCAAATGCAGATACACCTCTTGGCACTTCTGAATAATTTCACAGTCAGCCCCAAATAGATAAAATACTGCTATCTCCCCTCCTCAAATGTTCACCACCTGCTAGTGTGGTGATACATCTTGCCTCCATATGTATTAAAGAGGCATTGGCCAAAATCTTCTTATTTTTTCCACTTATCTCTGTGGCATAAACTGCCGCAGCAGATTGCCCCTGCTTAACAAGCCATTGTTTGTATTCCTCATCAGGAAAACGTAACAGCAAAGTAATCGGAATTTTAAAAAACCCACTTGTCTGCCATATCTTTTCTTTCTATTTGTTGCAGGCTGAAGTCACTGAGTGAACTGAGACAGAAGCTGGATCGCCATGCTGTAGATATGAGATGCTTGAATGAAATGGTCACAAAGGATCAGCGAGAAGAACTCAAGCAGCAGTTAAGATTGACAGAACGCTTATGGAAGGAGACCAAGCTCTCCGTCGCTGAAATGTAGGAGGCTAAGGCTACAATCCTTCACATGCTTACCCTGGCTTAACTCCCCCTGAATTTTTCAGGCTCATTTCTATGTAAGATGAATAATGTTGAACTTCACTGTATGTTAATGTGTGACTACACAGCTTGAGAAATGTGAATTTACTCATGTTCTCTCTCATTGAATTCGCAGCAGGGAGTACTGGTTTCCCCAGGTCTGTTCACATTAACTGGTCATGCAATGAGAGAAGAAGAAAGCCTTTTTTGCAGCTTGTTTGCAGCTCTGTCATAGCCCTGCAAGTTACAAGGGAACTGCCTAATAAGCTGTAAACAAGGGTTTCCTCCTCTTGTTTCCTCCTCTTCATTATTCTTTTTTTAGGGGGTGGCTATGTGCTCTAGTGCAAGAGCACTATCACCAGACTGTTTTTTTAAAAAAAGTCTTACCAGCAGAAAGAGGTTTTGCTTACCTGAGCCTGATACTTCTCTATGCCTGTTATTTTGAATTAAAAATAATAACAATAATGGAGTCCTGTAGTTGCTAGTCTTCAGTACCCGGCATTCTTCACCATCAACTACGCCAGCTAGAGTTTATAAGAAAATATATGGGTTCTCACTTCACCCATCTTTGGATTAAAGACATTCATGCATTTAGTATCATTTTTGTTTTAGCCCTGAGGGTGGTAGGCCTGTTCTTCCTTTTCTTACTTCCGTTTTCTTTCCATGAAAGCCCAGATTCCATGGAGTTGAACAAATGCATTGGATTATGTGCTAAAAAGCAGATTGCTTGATGTATTTACAACCATATTCAAAGTAAGCCGCCCCCCCAGGCGCAGACAGCCCTGTAAATGTGTTAATAATTGAAGCTTTGTTTCCGTTCAATAGGCTGGAACACTGTTCTCGCGTAATGGAGCTCCTGAAGCAATATCACAGCTGTAAAAATTGCCTGGCAAGTATTATTCTGAAGCAGGAACACACCCTGTCCCAGCAAGTCTCTTACATGGGGAAAGAAAACCTGCAAAGGATAATCAACAAGGTAAGTTTTTCATAACTTCTTCCTCTACAGGAGCCGGTTTCTGTCGGTCTTAGTGAATTAACCACACTGAAGAATTGGTGCAAGCTGTGGCGTACAGCATTCTGAAAATCCTGGATTTTTGTTTTTAAAGGAACAAGTTTCTGGCTCTCATGACAGAGAAAAGAGCTCTAAAATAGACTTTTCCAACCTGATGCTGTTTTGTGCTGGGCTACAAATCCTATTATCTGAAGTTCGCTGGCCAGTAGACAAAGCAGCTATAGTCCACTCAACTGGAGGTTGAGGAAGGTGACTTTGAAGTAGGAAGGAGATGCTTTGTAGGCCATAGAGCTGGTCACCCTAATCTCCATGGCTCCAGGACAGAGATTCAGAGGTTTTTGTGTTTCTGTTACAAGCAGTGTACTAAATTATGCCAACTAAAGAAACATTGCAGGTTTTGATGTCGTTGGCAAAATTTACATGGAATAGTTTGCATTCCGGTTAGCATAATCTAGTGCAGTGGTTCTTAACCTTTTCGGAATAGTTTGCATTTCGGTTAGCATAATCTAGTGTAATGTGTTGAGACCTCAAAATTAAGGTTTTCGTGGTGGCCTTTTCAAATTATCTTAACACAAAACATTGATGTAAGCCATATATGCATGCTGGATAGCTCGGTGGCTTAGCTGTCTAGCTACTGAGCCAGAGGTTGGAAGTTTGATTCCCCATTCTGCCTCCTTGAAAAGGGCTGGAGTCAATGATCCATAGCATCAATTCCTCCCTATTACATTCTATGAAGTATTATGTTCAGTCCTTGCTCCTTGTCTTTGGTTTGAGGACATAGTCTAAGTATCTTCTATTGCTTCTGGATTAGAAATCGGCACTTGCCGTGGTTCGTTGGATTGGCCCTGCAAGTATTGCATGGTTTCCGTGCCCCGCCTCCTCCTGTGGGCGCCCACTCAGAGGAGGAGGCGGGGCAGGGAAGCCCACAGTGCTGCTTCTGATAGGGCGCCTGCAGGAGGAGCATGGGCGTGGAATCCAGGGAGCCCGTGCAACACTGGTGGCCCCAATACGCCAAACCACAAGAAGTGCCCATCTTTATTCCTGATTTGCTGCCTATGAAAGGGGTCTTGGCCCTACCTGGCCCTGATCTTCCTAACCCTGTCTTGCCCCCTTCGAACTCAACCCCTGTCTGTTTTGGATCAAACAATTCTTTCTATCTGACCTGGGCTAATATCTAATCTCCCTGCCGAGGTCCTTGAATGTAACTTCTTGAAGTCTGATCCTTGCCATGGCCTAATCTCCCAATGTTATAAAATCACTCTCTTTCCAATCTAGGTCATTTTCCCATTTGTTTAATCTGCTTGTTCTAATTGTATCATGAGAATATGATTTTGAGGCTCCCTTTCAAAATTTACATTTTTAAAAAACTTTCTCTGTCCTTCAGTGTACCTGTGTTGTATGTATGTTTCCCTATACATGGTGATCTCCCATGGATGTCTGAAACTGCAGATACAAGATAACCCAATTTACAACATACGAGGGGACACCCTTGTTCGTTATATATAGGCAAAACGAGGATAAGATGCCAATCCTGCAGATATAGGGGGTCCTAATGTATTACTCTAATGTAAGTAGTAACTAGAGTAGGCCCATTCGAATCAATGGAACTTAAGGAGGATTTAGCTCACCAAATCCCCACTGAACCAGTGGGCCTACTCTAGTGCAACAGGGTGTCAGCCTATGTTTGATTTGCCCCTCATTTGCCTTAATATCTCCAAGTGGGTCTTTAAAAAAAAAAACAACTGCAGAATTCCACGGCTATTTTCCCCCATCAGAAGGCTAGGAGGTTGAGTTCTGTCTCATCTGTTGCTTCGGAGGCCTTTGCCCTACTTTCCCCATCATCTGGCTTTATCCACTAGAAAACAGACTTCATTGTCTGCCAGGGAAACAAAGACCTCATTAAGGAATGTGGTCACATTTTGCCAGACGCTAGAGGTCAGTGTTTCCACGCTGGTCGTTCCCGTGTAATTGTATGTAAACATCCGATCGGCTCCAATGAAGTTAGAAATAAAACATGCGCCTATGTTAAAAATACAGCGACACAGCTCAGGAAGTCAAAGACAGGAAACCAAATTGCAATTATGATCAGCCAGAACCTGTCATGTCTTGGGAAAATATATTGTTTTATCATTGTTTACAGATGTGTCAATTTACTCAGTGTTTTATGGGCCTCTGCAAACAGGTGTCTGTTTACAAGGTAGTTTTTGAATTGCGTGAAGACAACAGGTAAAGAGGAAATACAAGGAAGGTGCGGTTTTGGGAAGGGATATACCTGAATAGGTGTAGTGGCAAATTCAGGTGTTCTTTGTGCTGTGCATTTTTCAATGTGCAATTTGTTTGTTTTTCTGAAATGAGAAGATTAACAGCTTGGGTCCAAGCTATCTGAAGAACTGCATTTCCCCTTATGAGCCTACTTGAGTGTTAAAGTCAGCAGGAGAGGCCTTTCTCGTGGTCTCACAACCTTTACAGGTGCACTTGGTGAGGACATAGGAGAGGGCCTTTTCTGTAGCTGCTCCCAGACGCTGGAACTCCCTCCCTCTTGAGGCCAGCCTGGCCCCATATTTGCTGTCCTTCCACAGGCAGGCAGCCTTCCCCTCCCTGACTGGCTGTCTAAGTGGGGTTTTAAAAGAACTGCTTTGAAATTCTTTTTGGGGCTGCTTTTGTTTACAGTTTTTGTGTGTGGTGATTGTTGTTGTTGTTTAGTCGTTAAGTCATGTGCGACTCTTCATGGACCAGAGCACGCCAGGCCCTCCTGTCTTCCACTGCCTCCTGGAGTTGGGTCAAATTCATGTTGGTAGCTTCGATGACACTGACCAACCATCTCATTCTCTGTCGTCCCCTTCTCCTCTGGCCCTCACACTTTCCCACCATCAGGGTCTTTTCCAGGGAGTCTTATCTTTTCATGAGATGGCCAAAGTATTGGAACCTCAGCTTCAGGATCTGTCCTTCCAGTGAGCACTCATGTCCATATTTGCACGAAATGTTCCTTTAACATCTCCAGTTTTCTTGAACAGATCTCTGGTTTTTCCCTTTCTATTATTTTCCTCTATTTCTTTGCACTGTTCATTTAAGAAGGCCCTCTTGTCTCTCCTTGCTATTCTTTGGAAGTCTGCATTCCATTTTCTGTAGCTTTCCTTATCTCCCTTGCATTTTGTTTCCCTTCTCTGCTATTTGTAAGGCCTCATTGGACAGCCACTTTGCTTTCTTGCATTTCCTTTTCTTTGTTACATCCATTGTTCTTCAGGCACTCTGTCCACCAAATCGAGTTCCTTAAATCTGTTCTTCACTTCCACTGTGTATTCATAAGGGATTTGGTTTATATTATACCTGACTAGCCCAGTGATGTTTCCTATTTTCTTCGGTTTAAGCTTGAGTTTGGCTATTAGAAGCTGATGATCAGAGCCACTATCAGCTCCAGGTCTTGTTTTTGCTGACTGTATAGAGCTTCTCCATCTTTGGCTGCAGAGAACATAACCAGTCTGATTACAGTATTGCCTATCTGGTGATGTCCATGTGTAGAGTCGCCTCTTGTGTTGTTAGAAAAGAGAGTTTATGATGACCAGCTTGTTCTCTTGACAAAACTCTATTAGCCTTTGCCTTGCTTCATTTTGAACTCCAAGGCCAAACGTCCCTGTTGTTCCTTTTATCTCTTGACTCCCTACTTTAGCATTCCAGTCTCCTATAATGAGAAGAACATATTTCTTTGGTGTCAATTCTAGAAGGCGTTGTAAGTCTTCATAGAATTGGTCATTTTCAGCCTCTTCACCATTGGTGGTTGGTGCATAAACTTGGATTACTGTGATATTGAAAGGTCTGCCTTGGATTTGTATTGAAATCTTTCTGTCATTTTTATTGTATCCCAGTACAGCTTTTCCCACTCTTTTGTTGACTATGAAATCCTACTCTATTTCTTCTACGGGATTCTTGCCCACAATAGTAGATATGATAATAGTCTGAATTGAATTCACCCATTCCGGTCCATTTTAGTTCAGTGACGCCCAGGATAGCAATGTTTATTCTTGCCCTCTCCTGTTTGACCACATCCAGTTTACCAAGGTTCATAGATCTTACATTCCAGGTTCCTATGCAGTATTTTTCTTTGCAGCACCGGACTTTCCTTTCATTTCCAGGCACGTCTGCAGCTGAGCATCCTTTCGGCTTTGGCCCAACCACTTCATTAGCTCTGAAGCTACTTGTACTTGTCCTCCGCTCATCCTCAATAGCATGTTGGATGCCTTCTGACCTGAGGAGGTCTTCTTCCAGCGTCGTATCTTTTAGCCTTTTGTTTCTGTCCATGGAGTTTTCTTTGTAAAAATACTGTAATGGCTTGCCAGTTCCTGCTCCAGGTGGATCGCCTTTAGTCAGAACTCTCCCCTATGACCTGTCCATCTTGGGTGTCCCTGCACGGCATAGCCCATAGCTTCTCTGAATTAGAGTGGTCAATTGGCCAGATGGGCGGGATATAAATACAATAAATAAATAAATAAGTTACTGAAGCTCCTTCGCCACGATAAGGCAGCAATCCGTGAAGGGGAGTGTGGCAATAGTTTGACTCTTTTCATGTATGTATTGTATACTCATTGTTTTTAGCTTTAAAAATTGACTTTTAATGATGCAATCTGCCTTGGATCCTATTTATTTATTTACATTCATATCCCACTCAACTAGTAACTAGGCTACTGCTCTTTTTAAAGAGAAAGACGGGGTAAAATATTTAAAATAAAATTAGAAATTAAAATCTAATGTCAGAAATGTATATATTTTTTTAAAAAATTGGTGTCCTCGTTGCAGAATTCTGACTGTTGCTGTATTTTATTGCCAAATTACCTAAAGAGATATAGAAAAATTATATACACCTAAGGTATGGGGAAAGGTGGAATTTAGGAATGAAAGGACAGGAGTTAAGAAGTTGGCATATAGGGCAGCCGTGATAATAATTATCAAATACTGTAGAATATTAACAAGTTTAAAAAATGCTCAGATGTTTGATGCAAAAATGATGAAAACTGATAGCTTTATGTCACAGTTCATGGCCGTTGTTGTTGTTTTTTTTAAATAACCCACCATTGCTGATAAAGCAGGATCCTATACTAGATAAGGATTATAAGTGCATGTAAATAAGATCTTAAAATGATCTCTTTTGTACTTATGAAAATAATTAAAAATAACAATTATGAAGGATATGAGAGAGTCTTACATGCTTGACGCTTCTAAAATAATTTACCGAAAATGCCAGGAAAAAAAAAGCTCTTTAGAAGAGTGGTGGCAGATATTTATGTTTTAGTGATGGATGTTGCTTTTTGAGGGTATTTTCATTGCTTTATGACTAAGTTGTTGTTTTTAATGTATTTAAATTGCTCCCCGCCCCCAACTGTGCTATTGCTTTGCTTTGCTTTTTTCATACCACATGAAACCCCCACATGGGGGTTGAGAGACTTGTTATTATTTTTTTAGAAGCAAATAAGGAGAGAAACTATTAATAATTTAAATGATGGGATGTGGCTGTTCTAAAGGAATGAACATGTTACAATGGGGGGGTGGAACAGGAAGGAAAAAGATTCAAATCTTTTAGGAAAAATAAATTAATTTGTGCATACCTCAGCTAGACACATGTCCTGGAAGTCTATATGCGTACACTCCAAAACCCCTGCAAATACCCTGTTTCCCCTAAAATAAGACCTAACCTGAAAATGAGCCCTAGTATGATTTTTCAGGATGCTCGTCATATAAGCCCTACCCTAAAAATAAGTCCCAGTGAAGTGAAACCCCACCCCTCCACCATTGTGCAGCAACCAGAAGAAGATGACACGACTGTATTTGAATAAATGTAAATTGTTGTACATGAAAAAATAAAACATCTCCTGAAAATAAGCCCTACTGCATTTTTGGAGCAAAAATTAATATAAGACCCTGACTTATTTTTGGGGAAACAGAGTAGCTAACTTTTCTTCACTGTGGATCTGTCTGCAAAACTTCATAGTGCAATTTGCCACTGCTTTTTTAAAAATGTGTGTATTGTGTTTTAGAAAGAAATACAAATTTTAAAATGTGTGATTATCTGGAATGTGAGAGAGTGAGACAGACAGACAGATGGAAAGGTCTTTCTTGCCATTCAGAATTGGTCTCCTAGTGCAGTGGTTCTTAACGTGGGTGATAATGCCCCCCAGGGAGCGATTTCATTTTTCAGGGGGGCGGTAGAACGAAAAGGGGCGGCGTGCGGGCGCGGGAGCAGAAGGGGGGCGGTAGGGGGACGCTGGAGCAAGCCAAACCTGTGAAGATGGCTGCAGCCTTTTTACAGTGTGCATGAATATATATTTTCATCCAATTTTAATTTAGTTTCAGACTTTTTGTCTTGAAATTTTTAGTTCCTGCATTTGTTTTTATGCCCTTTTTATATTTCTTTTTGCGTCTTAAAATTCACTTGCAACTAAATCATTAAATGTTACTTTTTTGGGGGCATTTCATTTTCTTGGAATTTAATTTTGTTTTCAGGGGTCATTGGATTTAAGTGTCTTAAACAAACAAACAAACAAATCAATCAATCAATCAATCAATAAAAGAGATCCTCACCGTGGGGAGGGGGGCAATGATAACTTCCTCAATGGCTCAAGGGGGCGTTTCTTTCAAAAAGGTTAAGAACCACTGTCCTAGTGCAAAGTAATATGCTTACAAATGCATCTTCTTACTTTTCTGCAGGTTAATATGGTGAGAGAAGAATTTAACAGCCATTCTGAAGATGTCGACAAAATAAACCAGATCTGTAAAAACCTTCAGTCCCAGCTGAATAAAATGAAGAGCTTTGAGGAGCCGCCTTTTGAGAACGAAGCTAACGCTATTGTGGACAGATGGCTAGATGTATGTAAAAAAGTAAATGATCAGGGTGCTCCGATCTGTTATGCATGATATTAATTGATTCTGACTCCCAAGTAATATTTTGGATAAATTAAAGGTGGCAGGCCACACAAGAATTTGTAAAGAGGAAAAATGCAAGCATCCGTCGAAACAAAGCTTAAAAGATTGAGACCACAAGGTGTGAGGTTAGCAGATCTTTGTGATTTTCTCTCTGGATGTTGCCACGAGATTCTGGTTAGGGATAATTCGTGAAAACCTAGATGAGCGATATTGGCTTGCGGTTTTCGGAGAGCCCAGCCGTCTTGGAAGCTTTTCCGTGGGTACCAGTCTTAAAAATGGGGCTCCATAAATACTTCTCTTACGAGGCTGGTAAAAGGTCTTGAATCTCCTTTGAATCTGCTTGGACATTTCCTCACGGGCTGAGACTAGTTGAGACACATTTTGGGGAGATGCTCATGTTTGATGAGCCAACCCCACCTTGCTAAACCTGTCTTCGGAAAGCTTGGAGAGCTGCCGTTTGCCTTTGATATGGTAATGCTCAAAGCAGCTATTTGGTAAGAAGCTGTCTCCGTCCAACGGGCATGTGGGATTAGCCCCTCCCCCTCCTTGTTTATGTCCCTGGCTTCATTTCACCCTGCCTTTATGGATGAAGTTACATGATTACAAGGGCTCAAACATTTTGTTTTTTTTTTACTCTTTTCCCTTTTCTGTTCTGCAAAAATTTCCCTCTGTTAGATCAATGAGCGGACTGAAACCTATTGCGATAATTTGGAAAGAGCTCTGGCTTTATGGGATAGCCTGCTTAATTTGTCCAGTTCTGTGGATGAATGGTCCAGCACGCAGCTGAAGAACTTAGAAGAAGGCCCTGTGACAGAGGAAGAATTGGTGGAGTTAGAGGTAAGATTTGAGAGAGACTGTTGAAAGATAAATACAGTTCACAGCTAGGGATTGACGTGGTTCAGTTACTCTGTAATTGAAGTTGCTACAAGTTGAGGTTCTACCTACTGCCTTTCCTTTTGCTTTCAACCTTTCCACAGGGTAACTTCCTATTTTCTGTCCTTCCTTTTTTTACTTCCCCCTTATTGGCTGTCGCAGAAACATCCTTCAAGAGACTTCCTTTACCCTGGAAACAATCTCTAGCTCATTGTTTGGTCCTACAGTCCCTCCGCTACCTCTGTGTCATGTTGAGTCCATCAATAAAATGCTTTGTTGTTGTTCAGTTTAACCAGGGGAGTGGTAGAAGACACATACATTTGCAGAAATGCTTTTATACCAATTGAATGTTTTGTTTCAGTTGCCCCTCATTCAATCGGGTCTTATTGCAGAATCTGCAGTATAGATGTTCTCTAACTGTAAACAACGCCCCCAGGTTTTATTTACTTGTTATGTACATTTTTTTAATAAATGAAAAAGAAAAGCTGGACCAAAAGATGGTTTAAACAGATTTGCTGCATTTCGCCATTAGGGAACTTTTTTGCCCTAGCAAAATGTATTGGATTGGATTATGTTTAAAAATTCTGTGCTGTTTTTAAGCAATCAATGATACCTGAATCACTAGTTGGATACCTCCGTGGATTAGGATCTGGCTGTGGAGTCAGAGGCTGGGAGTTTGCCTCCTGCAAGTAGAGCCAGCCTGTGTGGCCTTGGGCAAGCTGCACATTCCCAGGGTGCTCCCAGAAGAAAGGAACGGTAAACTATACCTGGAAGACCCTGAAAAGGGTCACCACAAGTTAGAATTGATGTTAGATGAGGATGCTAAGAATCAGAGATGGCTTGTACAGATTGTCAGTTTCAGGGGGAAATTCACATTGAGTTGAAGAAATATAGGAAGTGTACATATAACTCTATCCCGAACTCCGTTGCTACCTCTCCATACAAGAGAAGGGTCCAAGCAACCCCTCCACAGTACAGTGCATATTTTTTGTAAAGATCTTGGTACATGAGGATTAACATTTGTACCGGAGAACAACAGTGCAAGATATAATGGAAGTAAAATTGAATGTTGTGTTTCTAGTTTTTTAATATTTCCTCTTTAGAATGTAAATTGGCCTTATGGTGTAGGAAAATGCCATAAAAATAGACCTTTCAGGCTATACTAACTAGCAGGACTGCCCCATGTCTAAGACCGGAATATCCACTAGCCTTACTTGGAGATTTGGGGTTCAGAACCTGGGACTTTGTTTTTCAGAACATCTGTTCAACTATTTTTCAATGCTTACTGCTAATAGATTATCTGTACATTAATTTCATTTTTGAAACATTTATAGCCATGAAAATACTGCTAGTATTATTTTGATTTGGTTGTTTAAACAGTTGAAATTCCCTTGGCTGAATGAGTCCAATGTTTACTTTTGGTAGTACTGTTTAATTTTAACAAGGTGTTCTCAGTGTTTGTGCAAACCACTGAGCTCTCACTGGAGTCAAAAAGGAAAATGCAGAGTTGACTTATCAATTGAAGAGATGCTTCCAAGCGTTCAGTTATCTGTGTGCAAGTTGTAGCAATTGGTGATATGACTGTGGTTGTGTAGACTTCACTAGGATATTTATATCCCCCCAGAAACTCCCACAGAGCTTGTGTTATATTTAGTATATTTGTATTATATGAATACCTCTCCCAATTTGAAGAGGCACTTGTCCAGCAGGCCGAGGCAAAGAGGCAGTTCCCACAACCAGCAAAATCAGGGAGCTGGACAGGGGACAGATTGTATTTGTCTTCAGTGCGGAAGGGATTGTCACTCTCAAATTGGCCTCCTCAGCCACACTAGACGCTGTTCCAAGTCCTCTAATCAGAGCACGTTACTATAGTCTCTTGAGACTGAACAATGCCTACACATATTATATGGATAAACATCATATACCCAGCCAACAATGTAGAGAATATGGAGGGGGGGAAACTGATGTACCACCAAGTCAATTCTGAGTTATGGTGACCCTTTTCAGAGTTTTTCAGAAGATAATACTCGGAAGTGGCTTACAATTCCCCTCTTCCAGGTGTGTCCTGGGCCTATGCAGCTGGCCCAAGGCCACACAGGCTGGCTCTGCAGTGAAGAACTGAACTCCCAACCTCTTAAGTTTGCAGACAGATACCTAATTTATGGAGTTATCCAGCCAGCAGAATATGATAAAGGGAACTATTTAAGGATTTGCAGTGCTTTGCACCTCGAAACAGTAGAGCATTGATTGTACCTTTGGAGATACAGATGTTCTGAAGCACATACCCTTGTTCACTGGGAATCCTGTGTCTCAGTGATGCACCAAAATGACACAGGATTCATGATATGGATGAGTTGGGCAAAAGCCTCACCAAAATCCCAATCCAAATGATATCTCTTTTTGTCCAAATGGGCCAGATTCGTGCAGACTTTGTTCAAACACTCTGGCTCTGGGTTTTACCCTTAACGACTGGAATATATTGGTTTAATGTCTCTGCTATCCAGAATTGATCAGTGCTTCCAATCAATTCTGTTGGTTGGAAGGAAAATGAAATGTATTTGGTGCATGATGCAGTTTCGGCCCCTTTCTTCATAGGCTGGGCTACGGTTCCAAGAAAAGAAACTAGAGGAATTTGATACAAAGGTAGATGAAATACAAAATCTCCTGAATGGCAGTGAGCCCCCACTTGAATTACAGGTAAGGCTTATCTGGTAGCTTGTTCCTTTTTTAACCACCTATTAACAGGGTTGTCCAAACTGCCTGCAGTAGCAAATAATGCAATAGAATACAATTCTGTGCATTCAGGCAAAGAATGTAAGGTGTTGTTCACATGTGGACATCAGCCATTGCTCAGAAAACCTACTTTAAAAGCTGTCAAGTTGGAACTGGCTGATAGCAGGCCTAACAAGGCTTTCAGGATAAGTAAGGTATTTTAGAAATATTTTTTTTTCAAGTTCCATACCCCTAGTAAGTTTCCACAGCTGAGCAGGAATTCGAACCCTGGTTTCCAGCGTCCATCCATCACTCTATCCTCTATACCACACTAGCTATCCTATTGTAGTTGTTATATAAAAATATAACAATAAGTTGCCTGTGTACCATTTCACCAGATGGGCAAAATGCTATGGGCTTGGTAAACTGATTTGGCCAGGAACCAATTTATTCTATCTGCACTTTAGGTTTTTTGTTTGTTTCTTTAGTTTAGTTTTTTCTCCAGTTGTTTTGCGTTTCTTATTGTTTGTTTACACATTCAGCTGTCAGCCATGAGAGAGATTCTTTAGCAGGGCAATACTATTATACACTGACCTGGTTCCAAACTTGGCTGGAGAGCTGGCTGATTGTTTCACAGTGACTTTTAGTAAACTACTGTTCAAACCTCATTTTAAAGCACAATGTATGTTTCCAGGGGTGAAATTTTTTTTATACCCCCATTAATATTTTAGCACTCTATACACGCAGAATTTTCCATCATGATTGATAGATAACACCCAAATAGAGTAGCGTATGTTATGTTGTTCCAGATGGATTGTTCGAAAAAAAAATGGCAGCTCCCACCAGGCATGGAACTTCCGTGTCTACTTCCTTGCTAATGCAATCTCTAAAGCAAGCCTGATAAAATTAGGGTGTTGGGAGTATACCTTTCCTGCCCGCCCACTGAACCTGTCAAAGCCAAAATCCTACAACCACTGCTATTATTGCTTAGTTTGGTGATGCATCCCTGAAATTCACCATCATTTGGCAGAAATATTGCTTCTTACATTTAAAACAAGGTGTGTTGGAAATGACAATGTGGGTCCGACTATAAATAGCCCACCTGCTCTAAAGATACTCACTAGAGATGGGCATGAACCAGTTCATCCCAGTTCATAAAGGTGGCTGCTGCTGCTCCCCTCCCTCACCCTCTCTGGCTCAATCAGCCACCAGACCTGGCATGGGTGCTCCCGGCCCCTCCTCAACTGATCTTCCAGTCCTGGCAAGAGCTCAGGCTTCTCTACCCCACCCTCTTGGCTGATCTCCCAATCAGAGAAAAGGGCGGGGCAGAGAAGCCTGTGCTCTTGCTCATGACTGAGAGATTAGCTGAGGAGGTGGGACAAGCAAGCCAGCCAGGCCTGGTGAGTGGCTGGATCGGCTGATTCAGAGGCGGCGGATGGGAGCAGCAGCAGCACCTGTGCTCTTGTCTTTACGAACTGGGGCAAACTGGTTCATTCCCATTTCTAGTGCTCACTGCATGATATCACTACATGTTATCATGTCATATTTCAGTTCCTTTCCCCCATTTCAAGACCCTTTTGGAAGGGGCACAGAAACACAAAAATTACACCCATCGCAATTTTCACTAGCTGTTCTGGCGGGGCGGTGGAGCCTTTTAGATCCACCATGCCACTGACAGCACCAGATCTGTGTCTCCTGTTACCACACACATCAACAACATTCAAGAATTAAACACACATGCTCGGAGGAATGTGTGCAAAGTCGTTCAAAGCAGAACACAATTGCAGTTTCAAACAGAAGACCGGTCGGAACAAATCGTAAAAACATTCCCTCTAACTTCCTTTTTGTAAAGTTATTTAGCAAGGGGGAAAAAAGAGGCCAGGAGGACTCCTGACCTTGCCTCTCTGTGTTTCCCACTTTCAGGTCATCAAATCTTCTCTTTCGAACAAAATGGAACTAATAAGAAAGTACTTACCAAGCAAGTTGATCCCTGCTGAACTCAATGGCAATACAGCCGAGCTAAAAGGAGACCTTGACCTGGCTAAGACTCAGATTGGAATGACAGAATCGCTTCTGAAAGCTTTGTCTCCCTCTGATACCTTGGAAATCTTTACGAAATTGGAGGTACTCCAAACATACAAAGTCACACACTTGGCCCTGTCTTATATTTCTTCATTTTGTACCGACGGAGTTTTCTGTGATTGTCCTTTAGGCTGGGTTTTGAAGGCGGAGAATTGTAGAGCTGCTAGGGTTTCAAAAGTCATGTAGTTGAACTGTGCTGCTGATGCAAGGAATTAAGGTTCTCTGTAGCTAATAAAGGAAGCGAACAATGTGTATGGTTGGCATGAATGTAATAGGATTGGGAGGGGGACTGGAGGATTCTTGGTTCTCTCATTGCAGCTTTCCTTTTTTCCCCATCGCCCTTGACATCTACATCTACAAATATTTCTCTACTGTCTTGGTTTCATGAATTCTGAAGCCATTTACAATAGAGGCAAAACGCAGTTCAGTCAAGATGCAACAGTATAGTCTCTACTGGTCTTAATCACATTGTTGATTAAACGCCCTGCCTATCTACTGAATAGGATGGCTTAGGATGGCTAAAGAATTACATCAGCACCAGTCAGGAAGGATATCAGCAGCAATCTTAGCTATAGTTACTGTTTACTGGGATTCTTAGGGTTAAAGTCAATCATTAGCCGTGAGACTGATGGGGGCTCCCATAAATGTTGCTTTAATAAATCATATTCATTAAGTAGGTCTTAGTCTAGTCCGATTGGAACTAGCAATTAGATTTAGCCCCTGAATGGGAATATGAAACCGGGTTTAAAAAACACACACACTTTTGAGCAAACTGCAATTCACTCAAAGCTCTGAAAACATCTCTTCAAAATTTTATTCTTATATAAATTTTCCCTCTAAAAACTTCCCAATTCTTTCTTTCTCCCTCCCTCCCTTAGGAGCTACATCAGAAGATTCTACAACAGAAACACCAGGTGGAGTCCCTCCAAAAAGGCACAGGTTATTTGAACCCTGAAGTGATTGAACTAAAAGAGCAGCTTAGGAGTGTCACTGGCTTGTTTAATTCAAAGAAACAAATCTTCCAGGACCACTTCACGACTCTCTTGAACTGTAAGTAAAGTCTACTCTTAGTGACACCCGGCACTGTTCAAGCTCATCCAGACATGGCTTTTTCCTCTTCCTATGACCCCCCCCCCATAAATGTACCCTGGAAGTTCCCCCTCCTATTATCCAGAGGTGATTTTAAGGCAGTAGGATGATGCGGGAGGAAAGGAGGTGATCCGTTCCGTGTTCCACAGAAGGAGACAATTGTCAGATAGAGAACTTAGCTGGATGCCACCCAACGTTGCTACATGGTGACACCTTAAAATTGAACGCATTTTATTTGGCATAAGTGTTCGTTGTTTTTGCTGCAACAAGGAAATAAAGATTATTATCTCATCACGCTACAGATACTACTGGACTCTTGTATTTCAAGCAGCTCTTGGGAAGTTTGAGCCAGTGTTCTTACCTTCTTCGAAAACAGAAATTGTAACTGAATGTGACCTTGTAAAGTGAATTTATATTGGTTAATTTATACTAGAGTGCTTTGAAAGCTCAGTGGTTTAGTTAGCTGCCTGCGAAGTCCAGAATCACAGAAATATAAAGGATGCTGGGTTAGATGGATGACCCTGGCAGGATTCAGTGCGGGGGGGTGTCTTATGTTTAAAGTGGCAGACATTGTAACATTTCAGACTTCGGTGTAAATTCGTGGTCTACGTTCGTACTGCCACAAATAGCTGTAAGATTGGTTTGATGGATAGTTTAGTGGTTTAGGAGTTTGGCTGCAGGGTAAACATTGGCATGAACCTTGGTTCGGAGGTTCGGCCCAATTTGTTGCCGTGCTTGCACAGTGGTTGTGCGTGCATGGTACCCTCTCACCTCCCCAGCGCACATCAGCTGAGGATTAGGTGGGCATGCAGGGGAGGTGGGAGCAACACAACACCTGCGTTGAGTGCAGCAACAGATTGCTTTTATTAAGTCCACAAGTGAGTTGTAAAACGTTTGAAAATGTCTTTCTGCAGACCAGTGTAAGGATTTTGATGACTGGTTCAGCAGTGCTCAGCTATCTCTGGAGGAATGTTTTGAGCCGTCAGAAACAAAAGAGATGCTTGAAGACAAGGTCCAACGGCTGAGGGTAAGGCTGTGGTTTTGTCTGGAATATTTCAGGTTTCAGAAAAATGTGACATCTTTTTCCTTCTGCCTGACAACTGAAGGCATGCTCCTTTTTTTAAAAAAAAGCATCTTTCAAAAGTTTCGCCACCATGTTTGCACGAAAGGGCATTTTTAATGGGGAAAAGTCATCCCTTCTCAGAAAATGGAGGCTTCTCTGTTTCTCAAAGGGCCTGTTTCTCATACATGCGCATAGGTGCTAACTTTAACATCCTGGTCTGAAAGGTCAGGGAAGAAATTATTTAACAAGGACTAAAACACATATAAGGTGACCTGTGGAACCCCCACCCCCCACCTCAGCAAACACTTTGCGACCCCCTTGGATATGAGGACCCCCAAGTTGAAATAGAACAATATTCCTTCCTGCGGAGAAGAGGAAGGAATTTCTTATTTTTGTTCACTATATGCTGCAACAGATGTATATCTCTTCTGAAATCGAAACACAGCGTGCCTTTTTCTTTAGTGTGGTGATTTTTATTATATTTTTATCCTGCCCTTCCTCCAGAGTTTATGGGGCAATGCGCCCAAACCCCTACCCTTTCTATCTCCACAAGCACATTGTGAGATAGGTTTGGTGATGGGATAGCGGCTCATCCGTGGTCATTTTATAAGATGTGGGGATTTGAAACGGAGTGTCCCCAGTCAATGTTAAGTCCAGCGTTTTGACTAGAACACCTTGTTCATTCTTTTTGTATAGGTTCGATGATGGAAAATGTGCAGTTAACTGGATTTATAATCGCCCAAAAATTCTTTAACAATATTTGTGTTTCTATACGAGATCCATGTTTTAGTGTCCCCTGAGCCATGAAGCTCACCAGGTGATCTTGAACCAGCCACTCTCTTTCAGCCTGAGCTGCCTCACAGGGCTGTTGTAGTTTTTGTGAGGATATCATGATAGACATCGTTAACATCTTGAGATCACTGGAGAAAATGCAGGATATTTACAAACATATAATAAGGACCAGAATCCTACAGGTGTTGGTGTAAGATTGCTTCTTCTTGAGACTACCCTGTTTCCCCAAAAATAAGACCTACCCTGAAAATAAGCCCTAGTATGATTTTTCAGGATGTTTGTAATATAAGCCCTATCCCTAAAATAAGCCCCAGTTAAGTGAAACCCCGCCCTCTACCGTTGTGCAGCAACCAGAATAAGATGATACAAATGTATCTGAATACACGTAGAGTGTTGTACAGTGGTGCCTCGCATTACGATGTTAATTCGTTCCAGCGAAATCGCTGTAGAACGAAAATGTCGTGATGCGATTTTAAAAAGCCCATAGAAACGCATTAAAACCAAATGAATGCGTTCCTAGGGGCTTCAAACTCACCGTCCAGCGAAGATCCTCCATAGCGTGGCCATTTTCGCTGCCTGTGCAGCGAGGAATCCGTGCGAAAACACAGCAGGTGGCCATTTTGTTTACCCGGTGGCCATTTTGAAACCACCGATCAGCTGTTTAAAAATCATCGCGTTGCGATGATCGGTTCCCGAAGCAGGGAACCTATCATCCCAAAGCGAAATTCCCCCATAGGGAACATCGTTTTGCGATCGCTTTTGTGATTGCAAAAAGTTCATCGTGATGCGATTTTGTCGTCAAATGGAGCGCCCGTCTTGCGGGGCACCACTGTACATGAAAAAAAATACCCTGAAAATAAGCCTTAATGTGGGTGTTTTTGGAGCAAAGATTAATATAAGACCCTGTCTTATTTTCGGGAAAACACGATAGATAATTCTGCCATTAGTATTTTTTAAAAAACTAAGTTACTCCATGAAGAGCCTCCAGAGCCAGATGATCTCCTCTTGCAAATGATGGCTGGTGGAAATCCAGATTTCAGGATCTTGAGTTCTAGTCTCCTTTGGGGATAGCAAATCTGTTATGCTTCTGCAGAGATTGTGACTGAAATAAATACCCATCTCTTAGAAAGGCCAGTTTGGAAGGCGTATGTAAATTTGGTCTGTAAATTTTCCTTTTCTGTGAATGGGCCCCTCTCCTGTTGCGTTTTATCAAACCAATCAACTGCTCCAGTCACACCCGGTATGTGGAGACTGACAAAGCAAAATTGCACACACCCGTGAAGACTTGATTGTGAAAAGACAGGGCCAAACCATGCTGATGCGCCATGGGTGACCTGAGACAGGGCCAAACCAGCAAACCATGCTGATGCGCCATGGGTGACCTATTCTGCAGGCAATCGGTTTGGAATAAAAGCCATTCACTTTAATTTCTGAATATCACATCATCGTTATGTGCAGGCAGTTTTGATCCCCGTTGACCGTGAGAGCTTAGTTCACTTGACATAGTGTGTGTAGACACTGGATGCTGAAAAGTGCTCATAAATCTGCAATAGAGACAGGCACGACTGTACTGGTTTGATGATTTGCTTAGCAGCCAAACAGGTGTTTGGCTCTTCAGAGCCCTGCTTCCTCTGGCAGGTGCCCACTCAGAGGCAGCAGGGCAGGGAAGCCAGGGGTGGCGGCCTCCAAGTGGGCACCTGCTGGAGGAGGCGGGGCATTGAAGGGCCAAACACCTGTTCCGTTGCTGAACGAACTGACACGAATGGCTGAACAGGCCGTTTTGTGCCCATCTCTAATCAGCAATACAGTCGTGCTCCGCTTAATGATTACCCCACATTACGACGAATCTGCTTCACGATGATGTTTTTGCAATCGCAACTGCGATCGCGATACGATGGTCTAAATGGGTTTTTTTCGCTTTGCAAAGATTGGTTTCCTGCTTCGGGAACCAATTGTTCACATTGCGATGATCAAAACAGCTGATCGTCAGGTATTCAGAATGGCCGCTGGGTGCTCAAAATGGCTCCCCGCTGGTCTTAGGAATGGATTCCTTGCTATACAGGCACCAAAAACGGCTGCTGTATGGAGGATCTTTGCTGGACGGTGAGTTTTAAGCCCATTGGAACACATTAACCGGGTTTCAGTGTGTTTCAATGGGTTTTTTATTTTTGCTTTACAATGTTTTTGCTCTACAGCGATTTTGCTAGGAATGAATTAACGTCGTTAAGCGAGGCACCACTGTACTCCATTCTCTTATTACCATTGGCTGCTATAAAGAAAGAGTGGTAAAGGCACATGTAGAATAGTGAGTCCAGTGTCTAATTTATGCACCAGCCAATAGAGCCCATGATGACAGATACGTATTTGTTGTGGTTGTTCTTGTTTTTGGTTTTTTTCTCTCTAGAGCTTCTTAACCTTTGAAGGTAAAGACCATGATATCCATGAGGTGAAAGCTCTCCTCAGCCAGGTGAAGGGCTACTTGCCCAAAGTGACGGGCAACCGGCTGAGCAGCTGGGTGAAGGAACATGAAGCTGAACTACAGCGGTTGACCTCCGCATGTCAGGCACGAGAAAAGGAGATGTGTGGGTGTTTGGAGAAATTTGTGAGGTAAGAAGCAAAATGAGCCTCAGACCCAAATGAAAATGCGGATTATGACCTATAGGGCCCTATGTAGGTTGAGTCCTCACTCTCTGAAGGACATTGTTTCCACATATAAGCTTGCCCAGGTCTTAAAATCTTCGATAGAGGACTTCTTCTTTGACTTGCCACCCTCACAAACATGTTTGGTGAGGATACAAGAGAATGGCTTTCTTAGTGGCTCCTCCCCCCCCCCCCCAGGAAATCAGCCTTGTTCCCTTTCTGTTTTATTTCACCTGAATGAGGGCCTGAATCCTGTTGGGATTTCACTCCAGAGTAAGTGAAAGCACCTAGGTCACAAGGGCCAATTGCGGCTTAATTAACGTGGCGCCAGTTTAATATCTCAGCTGATGTGGGTCGTGTGACCAGATTGGGGCCATATAATTGCAATAGGCTGCAGAAAAAGCTGCACGTGTACTAAACAATGTCTCTTAGAAGGATTTTGAACCCATTGGAAATGGCCTAGTTTAAAATCCCTTAAGAACTTAGTGAAGCCCTGTTCGTTCAGACCAAAGGTTCATATAAGCCAGCTTCCTATTTCCTGTTGCAACCAGACACCAAGTTTTTCTAAGATGCTTACAAGCAGGGCATCTGGTCTTCTTTAAAAGCATATACAGTAGGACCCTCATATCCATGGGGGATTGCTTCCAACCCCCTGTGGATGCTGAAGACTGTGGATAGTGAATGCTACATAACATGGTAAAAGAAAAATATCTAGGAAAAAGTGTTTTCACTATTTATTATCAGAACTGGCCACAGAGGGAGCCAGATACCATACTACAGTATAGTCATCAAGCTTGCCTTCTTTTGACAGGAGTCACTTAAAAATTAAAAGGTGGAATTGATGGATCAAATTTCCATCAAAATTAATAGGCTCTATCAAAATTAATAGGCTTTCATTCCATTAGCACTGAATGACAACCGCATATTGATTTTGGTATTAGGTTCCCTTACAGTACAGTATCTATTTTTCAACTTTTTTTAAAAAAAATGCTTGCTTGCTTGCTTGCTTCCTTTTCTTCTTTCTCTCTTTTACTTCCTTCTTTCCTTCCACAAAATCATACAACCATAAAAACGTCTAATTTATTTTCCTTCCTTCCTTCCTTCCTTCCTTCCACAAAATCATGCAGCCATAAAAACATCTAATTTATTTATTTAAAATATTTTCCCCTCACCTTTTCTCCTTAAAAGAACCCAAGGTGGCTAATGACACATAACATTTAAAAAAAACACCTCTACAAACTTTTTTCTTTAAGGCTTGAGGACGACTTGGGGAGCCTGCAGGAATGGCTGAGTTTACACGAATTGCAAGAGAGTCCGTCCGAGAAACCGGAACATCTTTATCAGCTTCTGCTGAAGCAGAGGTATCCTCCTTTGGCCATCGCGGCTTTTTGTACTCTCAATGCTCTGCTTTCGTTTTAATTCCAGTGAAACCGGCATGAATCTGTCACTGTTGGGCACATGTTGAGATATCGCCAAATGACTTTAGATAATTAGTCAACTTCTGTTTTGCAGTCTTAGGACGGATAAATTGGTGCATTCAAAACAGGGTTAATGTGAAAATGCAGACAGGGAGAGAATTGGTCCCCTGCCTGTTGCTTTCTCATAGGACTGTCTTAGGAAAGGTTGTTCTAAACGCCCCTCTCCGGGTGCTTTGGGCTCCTGAAAAGCCAGATAGGAGACTTCGCCTATAGCCGACTTTCTCCTTTGCAGACTATTTTTATTCCCAAGGAGACAGAGAGAGTCAAAGAGAAGCGCTAGAACTTTCTTACAGCTCACACTTTCACACAAACACTTCTTTCAAACACCTAATTAAGGCTTCTCTCGACCCTCTTCAGCATTCACAGTAGGCTCAAGCTCTCCACAGCTCCCTCGCCTCTTGTATGCTAAGAGTAAGGTAATTCTCAGAAGGTAATTCTGAGTTGAAATCTCTTTGCCTTTATCATCTGAATGAGTGGTATTTCTGTGGCTGGATCACTTGCTATCTCCCTTGGTTAATTAAATTGGAAAAAACAGATCTTAGTAGATTAAGATCTGACTTAAGGACTTGGAAAAAGTCTTTTTTGGGACTGTGCCTCTCAAAATATTCCAACTCGTGTGGCCAATTCTGAAAGATGGAGTCCAGAAAAGCAGCTTGTCTGTGTCGCACGGTCTTGAATCGTTTAGCTTTGCAAAGCCTGAAGGATCTAATTTTGAAATGCAGGAGCAGAAAATGTTGATGCCTCAAGGGACCAGTATCTTGTGGGTTCTTTCACAGGGCACGGACATCCCACTACCAAAATTCGATGTCAGGCATGAGCAGAGGTCCACTTATCTTTATTTATAACAGAAACCTTGTAATTTGTGCAAAATACACAGAGTTTTGTATTTTGTTTTGCTTCTTGTTTTATTGATGTTGCTGTGGACAAAAATTGCTAATCTGTTGACTTTTATACAGTAGGAAGAAATATTTGTTATATCCTTATGTGGGGGGGGGGAAACGTATTACCCATGGACCACATGATGCCCTCCTCTGCTCTAATCCTGTAGACAACAGGAATTGGATCACATGCAGACTGTGGATCTTATTATTGAGCTGTGGTCATTTATATTACAAAAGAAAACACTTTTTTTGTTACCATTGTCCCTATTATTTTCCAGAGAGTCCTTTGATTCTTTTGCTTGGCTGACCAATTCTTTGAGGAGCTCTGGATTTACCAGCGATGAAGTGGTCCTTGAATCTGATGAGCTTATTAGCAGGTATAGGATGCTGGTGAGCCGCACGCGGAAAAGCCTCGGAGCGTCTCAGGCACTTCTTGCGGAAGAGAAGAATTTAAAAGACTACGTACAGAGCATGTTAAGCTGGGTGCACAGTCTGAAGGCGTCAGTCCTAGAGCTGAGTTCTGAAGAATCCAAGATGCCACTGGAAGAACGTTTGTGCCAACTGAAGGTACAAGAGCACACCCCGTTGTTTCTTAGTGGGATGGGATGAGTAGCCCCTATTCTAATGCCCGTCCTTTATCGGTGATACTCACACTGGCTCTCTTGTATATGGAGCATAAGGATACACAATTCATTAAGTGGGTTAGCACTGTTCTTGTCTTGTATGTTCTTGCTCTCAGTGCAGAAGGAATGGCACCAGGCTTAGGAAGACAGACCCTATTCAAAGCTTAGAAAAGCTGGGGCTAGATCTCGGATCTCAGAGCTAGCTGGTTGGGTAATTTCTCATCGGTAAAGGTTCCCTTTGACATTTAGTCCGGTCGTGTCCAATTCTAGGGGGCAGTGCTTATCCCTGTTTCCAAGCCATAGAGCCAGCGTTATTCTGAAGACAGTTTCCATGGTCACGTGACCAGCGCAACTAGACACAGAACGCCATTACCTTCCCACCGAGGTGGTACCTATTTATCTCCTTGCATTTTTACATACTTTTGAACTGCTAGATCGGCAGGAGCTGGGACAAGCGACGGCAGCTTACTTCGTCACGTGGATTCGATCTTACGACGGCTGGTCTTCTGACCTTGCAGCACAGAGGCTTCTGTGGTTTAACCCACAGCGCCACCACATTCCTTTCTAGAGTGGACATCAAAAATATTCATTCCCCCCCCCAAAACAATCAGATTATTTTCTTCTGCCACCACTTACAGTACTATAAAGCATTTGTGTACAAAACAAGCTAACAAAACCATGAAGCCACTTCATCTTTAAATGGTTAAGCCTACATTTCCCCCTACCCCGTCCTTCTGTTTCGTGCTTTCACCCAAACTCTCATTGTAGTGGGAATAGCAAAAGTATGTCTTAGTTGAATAGGAAAACTATGTCTGGCTGAGATGCTGTAGCCCAGCAAAAAAATCCTAGGTATGTTCAGAGGAAGCCTTTTATTGTTTTTAAGTCCATTCCCAAACCTCTAGCTAGTTAGTGAAATTTTTATATTGAGATCATATGCCAGACATTCCTTCTAAAATACTCTCAGATTTTCTTGTCCTCTGTGAAAAAGGGTATTTCGACACAAGACACTACATCAAACAAATAGGCATAACTTTGAGGCTTTTATTTGCTCCTACATGAAAGCAAAAGAGCAGCCCTCCTTTTGCTTCCTCAACAATCTTTACCCCCCCAAAAAAAACTATTCTAGGTTTTTTTGCACAAAAATTCTTTTTAAAACTAGTATTATGTATAAAATTAAAAAATCTTATGGGCAAAACACGAGGTTGCTGTGCAGAAAACATATTCCCACACTTTTCATGCACCAAAGATCCTGAAATACATAAAAACCCTTGCAGTTTCATCCAGCAGGGAAAAAAACTTTTGAAATGTTTGGAAGAGAACAAAAAGTTTACCTACACATTCCTGTTCTGTTTGTCTTTAATTACTAATTTTGTACTTGGCAGTCAACATGCTTATTTATTTAAAACATGTTTAGCCCACTTAAAAAGGGACCCAGGGTGGCAAGCACAATTAAAAAACATGACATTTAAAGCTTAAAAACAGTAAATTATTCAGATGTTTAAAAAGAATTTGTAGGAAACCTCTGCCCAAGGTTGTTAGCTGTTACCTGTTTCAGTTATGTGCACACATTCCTGGCAGAGAGCAGCAGCTCCCAGCGAGCTGGGTAACCTCTCATTCTGCCCTTCTGCTTAGAGTTAGAGCATTAGTTCAAAGAATGATGTGCACACATTTTTGGCAGAGAGCAGCATCTCCCAGCGAGCAGGATAACCTCATTCTGCCCTCCTGCTTAGAGTTAGAGCATTAGTTCAAAGAGCTTCTTTGGCCAATCCTAGTGGCGATTAGGTAACTAGTATCCTATCTGAATTCTCATAGCATACGATGTAACTCTTGCTGTGTTAATAAAAAGAGTTCTCAAGGCGTTGCCTGACGCTCGGCTGGCTCGGACATCTGCTTGTTGACTTTTTTGCACTTTCTCTGAAGGCTAATTGCCTTCCCTTTGTTCCGTGATCACCTACATCCCTACAGAATTAAATATTACATTGAAAATGATAAATAAAATCAATACTAAAAACACATTTAAATCAACAAGGCACAATGATCCATTAAAAAACCCCACTCAGGCAGCCAGTCCCTGAGAGAAAGCTTGCCTGATGAAGGAGGTTTTGTCTACTTGTGGAAGAACAGCAAAGTTGGGGCCATTCTGCCTCTTGTGGGAGGGAGTTCAAAAAGTCTGGGAGCAGCAACCAAGAAGGCCCTGTCCCTTGTCACCACCAAACACACCTATGAGGATGGCGGGACCAGGAGAAAGGTCTCCCCTGATGATGTCCCTTGTCACCAGCAAACACATCTATGAGGATGGCGGGATCAGGAGAGAGGTCTCCCCTGATGATCTTAACACCTGGGCAGCCTCATGAAGGGAGAGCCATGGTCCTGTCATTTTAATTTGTCTCATGAAATGTCTTATGTTATGAATCCTGGAGTCCCACAATGTTAGCATTTTATGAGTCTTAATTTGCTGTCCTGTCAGTGTCCTGCTATATTAGTTAGCTTTGTATGAATCGTTAGTTGAGTTCATGCCATCCAGTGTGCCTCTGAACAAAACAGTAGGTTCTATCCTCCCTGTTTACGTTGCCTTACCTTTTTACATGATAGATCAAAACTAGAGAAAGGAATCAATTGCCTTTGTACTATTTTTTGTAACGCAGGAAATTGTGTTGTTGAAGAATGAGGGCGATGTCAAGCTGCAAAACATCGCGGCTCTTGGGGAACACTTGAGAAGCGCCCGCGGGGGTAAAAGCCTTGCAATCCAGCAGCTGGTTGCTGATGTCCGAGATCTATGGGAAAGCACCGTCCATCTGGCCGCCGACAATCTTAAGTACGTGACCCAGACTGTATAAGATCATCTGCTGTCACAAAGATGGCAAAGTCCTCTCTTTAGTCATCTTTCCCAAAACTATATTTCCCCCCCCAAATGGTGCTGTGTGAACTACACCTCCCAATCAGTCTAAGGCAGTGGTCCCCAACCTTGGGCCTCCAGATGTTCTTGGATTTCAACTCCCAGAAATCCTGGCAAACAGAGGTGGTGGTGAAGGCTTCCGAGAGTTGTAGTCCAAGAACATCTGGAGGCCCAAGGTTGAGGACCACTGGTCCAAGGCACTGGGATCAGTGGCTGGAGTGATGGCAGTTGTAGTTCACAATGTCTGGATGATGCCCTGCCGGGGAGGCTGACCTATAAACCATGCATTTGCTTTCAGACTTGGTTCTCAATCAGGTAAGAATCCCAGGTCTGGGTTGTACCAGTTCAGACTGTGGATCAAAACAAGAAGATCATGTGACCTCTTGAAAGGCTCAGCCGCGTACACTTATTGAGCAATAGAGCTCGTTAGAGAAGATATTCTCTGCCACCCACCCTAGTCTATCTCACAATGTTGGCATTTAGCAATACTATGCTCTGTGGTCTTTGGTTAACTGGGGTGTACATGGCAGCATGTATAATAAATGCAAATGAATCTGAAATTCCTCGTAATATCTGGATGCTGAACTGAACTTCCCAAACTAATCCTATATAGTTTGGGTTTTGTAGGGCTTGGATTAGTTTTCCTCGCTGCTTTCAGTTTTTTTGGGGCTGCAGCCACTCGAATTCTCCAGAAATTCGCAAAGTAGAATCCTGGGAGGTGCAACCCAGAAATGTAATTCTCCCGGGCAACTTTCCAGTTGTTTACCTGTATCACAACTTTCCCCGGCACGTTTCTACTTTCAAAAAGAAGGAAGCTTCTGCGGTGCTATCTGGGAGTTGTAAGTTTTCCCGGGAGTCTCGGCTCTTTGGGAGGTGCCCTCTATAGAGCCAAATGGCCAATATGACTCCCAGCATCCTGCATGCCAAAGAGGGCCCAATCCCACCAGACAGCCACCTCTGCAACTCCCAGAATTTTGCCTGGATGATTCTGGGAGTTGCAGTCCAAAACCACAAAACAGCACATCCCTACTTTCTCTTTCTGTTTTCCACCATCTTTTGTTATTATGTTAATCGATGAATTGTTAAACTGGTATTAATTCTTTTTTACCCTCCAGGCATCAAGAACATCTCCAACTTCGGAAACAAGAAGCTGGGCAAAGAGGAGGCGATGCAAGATCAGAGTTATGTGAATCAGAGATGCAGAAGCAGGAACTAAGTCTCGATTCCCATTCTGACTCTCAGAAGACACAAAGCCAGTTAACAGATTCCGCAGCACTTCTGCAAGAAGCAGCCGACTTAAGGATTCTCCTAAAACAGCTAGGCAGACTTCACAGGTCCCTAAGCCTTTCGTCTGATGACGATTCTTCCACTGGAGAATCTTTGGGAGCCTTACGTCACTTCCACGAAAGGCTCATTAGCCGTTTACAGGTTGGTCCCATAGCAGTGACCCAGTAAGACCACTAGCCGTGGTGGTTGGGACATTTTGTGGATTGTAATCCAAACGAGTGTTTTCTCCATGACCTGATTTGTATAAATACTGGATGATGAAGCAAAATTATCTGTGGCTCGTTCCAGTTTAGACTTTTGGCTTGTTGCATTCCCTATTAGCAGGGAAATAACAGGAGCCTCATGTCGGGGTGGTTAAACTACAGTACTGCAGTCCAGACTCTGTTCACAACCTAAGTTTGATCCTGATTGGCCCAGTAACTGGCTTAGGATTGACTCAGCCTTCCATCCTTCGGAGGTTGGTAAATTGAGTATCCAGCTTGCGGGGGCGGGAGGGCAGGGAATGTATAGTCTGCAATTGTGACCTGCCCAGAGAGCCTTTAAGTGCGATGGGGCAGCACACACTTTTAAATGTCTGAATGCTTCTTCATATGAACGTTTAGCTCCCTGCCAATGGTGAACATAACAAACAATTATCCATGTGCAGGTTTGCCCCATGGTATATTCATAGTCTCTAACTGGAAAACTTAGCAGTGAGAAACTAGGTTCAAGGGAAAAAACTTGTATGCCACCAACATCGTTGCTCACTTTGTTGCTCTGAGCACAGAATACAGAGGTGCCTCGCTTAGCGATTGCTCCGTTGAGCGATGAAATCGCTTAGCGATGGGGTTTTGGCCATCGCCAGAGCGATCGCTTAGCGATGGCCCCTATGGGGAAAAATCGCTGTGCGATGATCGCGAGGAAGCGATCATCACAAAGCCCCCATTTTCGGCCAGCTGATCAGCGGTTCCAAAATGGCCGCCGGAAAAACAAAATGGCCGCCTGCTGTTTTGCCTCGCTTTAGAGGCACCGAAAATGGCCGCCCCTATGAAGGATCTTCGCATAAGGTCCGTTTTTAAGCCCATAGGAACGCATTAAACACGTTTTTATGTGTTTCTATGGGCTTTTTTATTCCGTTTAGCGATGAAATCGCTTAGTAATATTTTTCCTGGAATGGATTAATGTCGCTAAGCGAGGCATCACTGTATATGAGTTAATGGCAGTTTCCGGACAGTTTTCTGCCCTACATAAAGCAGGTGTTGTTTCTATCCAAGTTTCTACCTATTTTAGAGATATCTGGCTGTTTTATTTTTAATTATTTTTAATTGTTAACAGTGTTGGACATCCATGTATTCATGCAGTAGTTTGCTCATGACTGTGCTGAATTAAAGTACAGTGGTGCCTCGCACAACGGGCGCCTCGTAGAGCGATGAATTCGCTCTACGAGGCCGTTATTGCGATCGCAAATGCGATTGCAAAACGATGCCCGTATAGGCGGTAATTCACAGAGCGAAGGTCGGTAAGCTGCTCGCTTACCGACCTTCGCTTTGCGACCCGCCGATCAGCTGTCCGGCGGGTCCAAAATGGCCGCCGGAACAGCCGAAAGGGGCCGGGGCGCAGTGTTTTCGCGCCGAGTATTCTATGGCATTGGAACGCATTAAACGCTGTTTAATGCGTTCCAATGCCTTTTTGTGTTCCGTAGTGCGATGTTTCCCACAGCGAAGGTTAATCTGGAACGGATTAACCTCGCTGTGCGGGGCACCACTGTACAGGACTGGCTTAATAATATAAGATGATAGGAACTGCCTTGGATGAGATCAAAAGTCTGTCTGGTCAAATATTTTGTTTGCCCAGCAGCCAGGCTATGTAAAGCTGACCAAGAGTACCCTTTCCACTTTCTTTTTTGGGTCGCCCATCAGTAAATATACAGAAACATCCTACGTTTGATATTGGAGTTTTTCTTTACCCTTTCCAATGAGTAGTCATGGATGGCCTTGGCCTTCTTAAATGGATGTGATGCACTTTTAAAAGCTGCCCAGATTTCTTCTGGTCAGCTCTTCTTGTGGCGGTGAGTTCCACAGTTGTAACTATGTGCTGGGTAAAGAAGTACTTCCTTTGATCAGTACTGAATCTTGTGCGGTTCAGCTTCAGTGGATGACACCCACACCCACACACCCCGGGTCCTAGTACTGTATTATGAGAACTGCTACTTTCTCTACATAAGGCTTAATTCTAACAATTTGAATTCCAGAATACTGCAAAGCTTTTTGACGGACACGCAGAGGAACACCAGTGCTGTAGAGAGCTAACACTGCACTTGAGAGCTACTCTAGAGGAGCTGTGGCATTCTGAAGATGCAGAACCAAAAGAGGTCTGGAAGTCTCCCTGCTACTTTTCCTTAATGTATTTATTTATTCTGTTTACTTATATGCCGCAGACTTATTGAGAAGCACAGCTCTTAAGTGGTTTACAACAAGACAAGATTCAGATTTGGGAAAGTGATAAACTTTGGAAAATGCCACTTGGCTTAACAAAGATGAAATATGATGGCTAGTAAAGCTGGGCAGCCGTGTCTAAGCTCTTAAGTGCAAAATGTGTGTGCCAAAATAAGCAGAGCTTGAAAATGCTGACTTCTTTCGGATAACAACTCCCAGAATCCCCCCTTCAGCCGTTCAGGCAAGGGGATTATAGGACCCGAGTCTCCTCTTATACTGTACTTCGAAGCTTAGGAAATACATTTTTCTCATTGAAAGTTGGAGAGGTTTGTAAAGTGGTTCATGGGGAGGGACAAGCCTCAAATTCACAGTCTGATGATTTTCAGAGTGGAAAAAGTCCGGTTGCTAGTTTCAATTGTGTTTGCACCTACGTGCTTATCATTAGCCTCAGAATGGCTATAATACCTAAAGATAGTCGGGAATGATATTGCAGTATTTTAATAGAGGACAAGAGTGTTGGCAGCTGAAACAAGCATGTAATTTTCTTTTTCTTCTTCTGTCTTTATGATTTAAGGTACAACGAGATACACTTTGCCAAACTGAAAACACACTGCAGAGAATTATAGCTGTAGTAGATCATGTCAGACAGAAGATTTCTCCCCTGGGGCAGATATGTTTTGTGGAAGAGGCGAATGCACCACCGACTAAACACAAGAAGCGCCTTAAAACAGGACATGGGCCTTTGGAACTGGAGGCTGGGAACGCTAAGAGTCATGTACTCGACCAAAATCACAGATGTTCTAGTGACAGGCAGACAAAGGAGCAGGCGGATGAAAAGATGACTACAGATACATTGTTCAGTTCTGGCATTCCCTTTGGTGAAGAAAAGACAACTGTGATGGAAGTGGGCGAAGGATGCGAGAAGGGTGGATCAGTAAGTGTTGTGCAATGGACAGTATAATACCGGTGTGTGGGCTTGCTTTCTTCCTCTTCCCTCCTCATCCCCTTTTCTTTTTGTGCTGTCACTGTTGGATTATAAGCAAGGGCTGTCTTGATTTGTATTGATCTCTATCCCGGTGATAGAAACCCTTTTGACCTAAAAGTAGGGTCAAAATCCTCAAAATAAATAGGCCTCCCTCCCATGAATCAGTCTGACTTGGATCTGATCAGCTGGTTTGCCCTTCTTTCCATTCTTAACCCATAAAGGCACTACAGCTACATATTCACAGGAGAGAGGAGTGACATATATGATTATTTTTCACAAGGAAAAATCCCCATAAACTGGCTTTAACCCTTCAGTTTTACTTACTTAATTTTATTTCAGTTTATTTTTAAAGTCCCCTTTCTCCTAGTGATGGGACCAAAGGCAGTTTACAAATGATTAAAAAACAAAGCAAAAACACAATAAATTATTACACTAAAACAATTAAATATATACTAGTATTAAAACAATAGCATAGGAGAAAAATCAAGAGCCCTGAAGCTCGTAGCCAAGGCATCAAACAGGAGTCCTCCGACACGACCTTCTGAAATTACCCCTCCAGGAAGGACTGGAGCCACTGTAGAACAGTGCCTCTGAGACTCATTCCTGAGAGATGACCCAGAAGGATACCATGACTGATGATACTGAAAGCTCCTAAGAGATCCAGAAGAAACAACAGGGACACCTTCTCTGTGTCCAGTTAGGACACAGAGAAGGTCATCCACCAAAGTCATCCACCAAGATGATGAAAGCTGTCTCTGTCCCATGACCGAGTTGGATTGAAATGGATCCAGATAATCTTTCTCATGCAGAAACCCTGGCAGCTGAAAAGCCAAAGCCACCGTACTCTCTTCGACTCCTGGTCCAAAAACAGAATGCTGGGGACTGAGTAATAATGGTCCGGCGTCCAGCTGGATCGCTCAGTGGTTTAGTTATCTGGCTGCAAAACCAGAGGTTGGGCAAACGGTATAGCAAAACTAAAAAACAAGAGTTACGGGACCTTAAAGACAAGCAGACTTATTTTAGTGTTGCAGTCTGCAAAACACACACTGAAATGAATCTGCTCATCTTTAAGATTTGATTATGGCAACAAGAAAGAAGCACTTCCAGACTGATGGACTTTTGCAGAAGCGCTCGGCAACAGCCTCCCTCTTTACTTAACCACAACTGTGAGATTGCACTTTATAATTCTGCTTCTCCCTGACTTTTGTTGCCCCTTCCTTCTATTCTTCTTTTGCTCTGTGAGTTCTTTCCATTAAGAAAGCAATTGACATTTCCGTTTGTCCCAAGAAGGTTAAGAATTTGAGTCCTGCTCATCCTACTTCCATTTACCAGGGCCTGAAAGGCAGTTTGATGGAAGCCCACAATTTGCCCGTCTCGGAAAGCCAGAACAGAGAGCAGCTGCAGAATTCACGAGGTGTGCCGGCGGATGATAATCATCTCGACGAGCTTCGGCAGCAACAGCTCAGCTATCAAATGAAATTGCCGGTGATGGACGGCCAGTTGGAAATGCCTTTAACCACTTTGCCATTAATGAATGGGAAAATAATGGGGGCTGACCTTGCTCCCACCTCCATTACACCTCCCTCACCAGAAAATGTGGTAATAATCTCTGTTGCTGCACCGTTTTATTGAAGGACGTGGCTAAGTGCTGTTATTGAATACTGGTAGCTCTTCAGCCAGTATGGGCCATTTCTCCTTAGCTCAAGCACCTGTTCTCTTCTGATCTCCGTTCCCTCCCTTCCTTTCTCAATCTCCAGTTTCTAAGCAAGGGAGGAGTGTGGAAGCACGGGACTGGGTAGCTTTTGATATACAGTGGTGCCTCGCTTAACGGGCGCCTCGTTTAACGATGAAATCGCATAGCGACGAAGATTTTGCAATCACATTGGGATGTTTTAAATAGGGAAAAATTGCTTTGCGATGATGGGTACCCTGTTTCGCTTATTGATCATTGCAAAGCGATGTTTTTTTAATACCTGATCGGCGGTTCCAAAATGGCCGCCGGGTAAAAAAATGCCGCCCGCTGTTTTCTGGGATGGATTCCTCGCTTACTGGGCAGCGACAATGGCCGCCATTTAAAGGTGAGTCTGAAGCTCACAGGAACGCATTGAAGGAGTTTCAATGCATCCCTATGGGCTTTTAAATATCGCATAGTGACAAAATCGCTTTGCAGCGATTTTTGCTGCACCGATTATCATCGCTATGCGAGGCACCACTGTAATAGGATATTTTCAGGCTGGATAGCTCAGTGGTTTAGGTATCTGGCTTCAGAGCCAGAGGCTGGGAATTCGATTCCCCACTGTGTCTCTTGTAATTAGAGCCAGCTTTTGTAGCCTTGGACAAGCTGCAGAATCCCAGGGCGCCCCCAGAAGATGTAAATTATTTCTGAGTCCTCTCTGCCTGGAAAACCATGGAAAGGGTCTCCATGAGTCAGAATTGACCTGAAGGCATACGACGATGATGATGATGATTAACATTATTATTAACATTATTATTAACATTATTGTTATTAACATTATTATCATCACATATAGTATCTGACTATATGATGTATGACATTCAAGATGACCTAAGCTTGGAAAGTTACCTTTCAGAAGTTGTTCCCATTTCTTGTTATCGTGATCCTGTTTTCAGTGTTTGTTAAGAAAGTAACCTAATGGCTAAAATCCTTTTGCTTAGTGTAGCAAGTTGCAACTAGAGTAGGCCCATTGAATCAAAGGGGATTTAATGTTAGCTCCTCTGTAAGTTCCCTTGCCTAGTATCCTGTTGCTTGGTGTAGTAATTGTACTAGATTGGGCCCATTAAGGGACCTGGTGGAGCTACGGGTTAAACCGCAAAAGCCTCTGCTACAAGGTCAGAGGACCAGCAGTCGTAAGATCATATCCACGCAGTGGAATGAACTCCCGTCGCTCATCCCAGCTCCTGCCAACCTAGCAGTTTGAAAGCATGTAAAAATGTGAGTAGATAAATAGGTACCTCCATGGTGGAAAACTAACGGCGTTCTGTGTCTAGTCGCGCTGGCCATGTGACCACGGAAACTGTCTTCGGACAAACGCTGGCTCTCTATAGCTTGGAAACTGGGATGAGCAACGCCCCCTAGAGTTGGTGTGAAACTCACAGTTGGATGGCTTGAAGGCAAAGATTTACATGATAATTCAGACTCCTGTTTCTCAGTTGGTGGGAAACTCACAGTTGGATGGTTTGAAGGCAAAGATTTATTTACATGATAATTCAGACTCCTGTTTCTAATTAACTATGCCCTCTTTTTCATATGAGGTTTTCATAGGGATAAGCTGATATTCCACAAGGTTAGAAGAAAGAGGAGCCAAGTCAGAGCTGTGGGTTTGGTGAAATTACCTGTTCAGGTTTATTTGAAATTACCTGTTCATGTTTTCAGGGCTTGGACCTGGAGGTTGTTTACCAAAGCAGTCCTCTTCAGCCTGGAGACCAAGCAGTTACAGAGTATGCAGAGATGGAACAGAAGATCAATGAGATGAAAACCTGGACGAAGGAGTTAGATATTGTGTTGGTGAATGATCAGCTGAAAGAGATAGAGGTATGGAGGCAAGAAAAATGAACCCATTCATCTCTGAAAGCATGGTTGGTTTTGAGCAATGTTAATTCCCCTTCATCCTCTCTCAGACGCGTATCCTAATGCTTATACATTCATCCTTACAAAGGCAAACAATGTAAACTGCTCTGGTGAATTGCTGTCATGTAAGAAGTTGGCGTTTTTATTTCTCATCACGTACCAAGTCACCCGACAGGGATGTGGTGAGAGATACCAATCTCAACCTCTTCACCAGTGGCAATCTGCCCCAGCTGTTTATGTCATTTGAATTCATCTGGCAGGCATAACCAATAGGATTGTGTTGAAACAAATGGGAGCTGTGTGGTCAAAATATAAATGCAAGAGTAGGGTGATACTTTGACAGACCACTAAAAAAAATCATTGTGGCAAAATCCATCTTGCCATGAACTTTTGGACTTAAGTTCTTCACAGTGCTACAAGTCTGATATAGTGGTCTTGATCCACAAAAGTTCATATATAGCATGATGATTGTTTAGTGGTCTATAAAGATATCACGTACTCCTGTGTTTGTAATAGGATTCTGTTTCTTTCACACATACCAAGCTCACATACAGTGGCAGACGTATGTTGGAATGGTGAATGTAATTGCACACCACTGGGATTGATGTGTAATCTTCCAATTGTATGCATGAGATTCAAATATACCGTATTTTTCTGAGTATATGACATCCCCATGTATAACACACACACACACTTTTCTAACCCAAAATTAAGAAATCTAAGTGGAGCTTAGCAAGTGTAGGGGGAAAGGGATCAAAGCACTGCAGGATCGCTTTGATCCCTGCTTTCTCCCTTTGTGCTAAGCCCCGTGGGGGGGGAAAGGGATCCAAGCAATCCCTCAACTGCATGATCATTTTGATCCCTTTCTTCCTTATACAGCCATGGGATTGCTTTGATTCTTTCCCCCCTCCTTTTGTTAAGCCCCATGGGACTTAGCAAGCAGAAGGGAAAGCAGGGATCAAAGCGATCCTGCAGCGCTTTGATCCCTGCTTTCCTTTTGCTAAGGATTATCAAGTAAGCTGAGGAGAGTACAAAAACAAGTGGAGGGGAAAACAGGTATCAAATTGTTCCTGCAGGGCTTTGATCCCTGCTTTCCCCTCCAATTGTTTTTGTACTCTCTTCAGCTTACTTCCGTGTATAAGACAACCCTCAATTTTTAGTCTAAAAATTTTAGACAAAAGTATAGTCTTATACACGGAAATATACGGTATATGCTTTTCCTACTGCTTGGTGCTGATCAAGATGGTGGCGGCGGCAGTGGTGGGTGTTTTATGTTTATGTTTTATGTAAGTAATGTTGCCCAGCGTAGTGGCAATGCCACTAATGAGTGGGATATAAGTCTAATCAATCAATCAGTCCATCAATACCCACATGTCTGGTTCATCCTCAAGGTTACAGTATTTATACACAGATATACCTTTTCCCCACTCCATTGGTGATCCAAGAATTAGTGTCAGGATAGCAACATGCACCCAACTCTCCTCCTGCTCCTCCCAGTCAATGTCACAACATGACAAATGAAATGATGTTCAAAAGCAACATGAAATGTTCATGTTTACAAAGGATTCATCAGTTATTTTTGAAACCGAGTAAATGGCATCTTACCATAAAAGGGTGAAAGTAATTTATTCCTTTATTTATAACAATCTCTGCCTCTTTTTAAATTATAGAAATTGTGTGCTCAACTGGAAATACAAAAAGCCAAAGCTGTGTCCCTGTGGCAAGAACAATCTCCAGAGGCTGCCGAAAGAACTAAATTGAGCCCCTCGGAGCCACACTATTTGGCTTGGACTAACTGGGACCGATTGCTTCAAGATTTAACGTCAGTTAAACAAGCCAAGCAGGATCAGTTGCATTTAGTTAATAATTACCAAGATTCCCTCACAGCGGTCCAGGCTTCCATGAAACGCTTGTCAGCAGAAAAAGAAAGAATAAGAACGTGAGTACATGAGTCAGGTTTATATATCAGCTGGAGGAATGAGCCTGCTGGAGGAAATTCACCTGAAATTCAGCCCAACTTTGCAATGAGCGTAACATTGGGGGGAAAACCTCTATCCTTTTTTGTTTGTTTGTTTGTTTATCTGCTTTATTTATCTTCATTCATCCATCCATCCATCCATCCATCCATCCATCCATTCATTCATTCATTCATTCATTCATTCATTCATTCATTCATTCATTCATTCATTCATTCATTCATTCAATTTATACCCTGCCCATCTAGACCGAAGTTTACTCTGGGTGGTTAACAATAATACATAAAAGTAAAAACAATATAATCAAATAAAGACAACAGTAATAATGTAATTCAAGATGGCAAAAATAATTAGGTGATGACCTTCCTAAAGAGCCTGGTCTTAAGTTGGCTTTTAACACCCAGTGAGGGAGCCAGACAGATCTCTGCGGGCAGACTATTCCAGAGGCAAGGGGCCACTGCCGAGAAGGCCCTGTTTCTTGTTCTTTCTCTCCGGGCCTCCCTTGGCCTGAGGCCCCTCAGCCGCCCGTCTTGACTAGAACAAGTGATTCCGGTAGATCTAGGTGAGGCCCCTCAGCCGCCCGTCTTGGCTAGAACAAGTGATTCTGGTAGATCTAGGTGGGAGGAGGCATTTCCACTAGATCTTGAGGTCCTAAACCGTTTAGGGCTTTATATGTCATCATTAACACTTTGAAATCAATGCGGAAATGAATGGGCAGCCAAAACAGGGCGTTTTGTAAAACAACCCACTGTAAAGGCTCAAGGTAGATATGCCATATGCTAAAATTACAACATTGATTGATTGATTGATTGATTGATTGATTGATTTAATCAACTTTTCTGCTCCCTGATTAGTGCAAGGCGCTACTCTGGTCAGTTAAAGATAAATTAGACCAATAGAATGTATAGCAATAAAAACAAACTGTAAACAATAAAAAGTAGCAATAAAAAGAAAACGAAATCCATCAGCAAGAGACAAGTACACCAAGAACACTGAACAAAAGTAAGATGGGCACAGCCCAGATTTGACAATCCTTTAACCATTACTAGGGCTCTACCATTTGACAAAGTGACACAGTTGCCTCCGGTGGCAATGGCAGGGGGGCAACGGGAGTTGCCTCTTGGCTGTTCCCTGTGAACTTTTCGCTTGTCCTGTTTTGTTGGAGGTCAGAGTTGTGGATGTCGCAGAGCCCGTAACGAGCTTCTCCCCTTGCCAGTGTTAACATCATTGTCAGTGGTCAGCCCAGTCCTCTTCTGTACAAGAAGCTCAGAGTCCCCACTTTTGTATCCTTTGCCTCAGGCACCAAAATGTCTTGGGTTAGAGAGAACAAAGGAGCATTTACCTGCGCCAGGGTAGGGACGGGAAGAAGCCTTGAAGGTACCAAAAATAAAAAGAGAGAAATAGGGTGGGTGCATTTCATAGTTACTTTGACTCCAGGGTTATTGGGAGGTGTGATGCTCCGTAGCCAAATCACACACAAACTGAATGTCACTGAGCAGGAATATCGCAAAGTATTAGGTCATTAAATTATTTTGGAAGTTTGAGACTCTACTGGCACCTTTTTCCCCCCTCTTGTAGGGGATCTACAAGAATCCCAGTCTTGAGAGCCAGGGCTGGAACAAGGGATGGGTAACAGACACAGTGGCCTAAGCAAGTCAGAGGAAGGATCATAGCTTGACCGTACGGTATCTCCTGGAGATCCCGGCCTAAAAACTGTGCAGACCTGTTATTTATCAATGTTGACCATGTAGTCCTAGATATAAGGTAACTTCCCCTGGTTCCTAAACTTGTTTTGATCGGTGGGTTGTAGTTCCCGACTGCAGAGCTAGGAGTTCAAATCCCCACTGTGTGTCCCGGGAGAGTTTTCCAGCTGAGACCAACCAGGGCATGCATGGCTGATTGATTAGGTTGTGTGCTCTAGTATCTGTACGGCCTTGGGTAAGCTGCATGTTGGCCCCAGAGCAACACTGAAAGGAGGGAATGGTCTTAAAATTCAACACCTTCTTGATGTGGAAGTTGTATTGAACGTTGATAGAATGTTAGATACATTTAGATATTTTCTTTTCTTCCCCCCCCCTCCTCCAGAAGGGGACCCGTGGAAGACAGCGTTCTTCTTGGGAATATTAAGAAGTGCTTGGCCTCTGTACAGCAGGACAGAGTCTTTTTAAACAATCTGGAAAGAGAACAGGGAAATCTGACTAGACACCTAACCAGGATGGACAGGGAATTGACACAAAGCCAAGTAGATCAAGTTGAGCAATGGTGGAAACAAATGGAGGAGTCACTCCAGAGGATGCAGCTCCGAGTTACAGCAGAAGCCGAGGAATTTAAACTTTTCATGGATAAAGCACAGAGCCTCCAAAGTTTGTTGCAACAGCAGCGCCGTTTGCGAACAGGACTGGAGAACCCCAGCGGAGAAGATCATGTGCCCCCAGCTCTGATGGCCACAGAGCTACAGACTCTTAAACATGGTGTTTCTCTGTTCCAAAGAGGCGCTGAGATGCGGATGAAAAGGATTTGGGGCGACTCAGAAAAAAAAGCTTTGGAAACCGCAATTAATGATTTGCAGAACCAGGTTGAGGATTTGGAGCAGCTGACCCCTAAGGAAGATGTCCAGAAAAGTGGGGACCATCCCCAGGTGTCTGAAATTACTAAGAAGATAAAAGAAGCCATTTTGTGGGTCAAAGTTTCGATGCTCGATCTGGATGAGAAGGCAGCCCTTTTTCCAGAGGAGCTAATGCTGCAAATTAAAAGCTATCAGGCGTTGATCAGTGTTGCTAAGGATAAAGAGCCAGTCTTTAAAGGGCTGGTTCATGATGTCCAGTGTCTTGCATCTCAGTTGCTGCCCAATGAAGCTACAGCCATCAACCTCCTTGCACAGGAGTTGCAAACTAGCTACCAACACCTGGTTAGGAAATTAATTCAGAAGATGCAGCACCTAGAACTGCAGCTTGAGAAGAGGCGCAAGCTTTTTGCGGACATGGAGAAGATGGAAAAACAGCTCCGGAAAATGGAGAGCTTGTCCAGCCTAGAGGCCGGTGAGGCCATCCCAGAGTCTGAACTCAGCCATTGGCAGACCATTCTAGAAAAGATTCCTGAGGAGATTCAGGAACTGGAAGGCCTTTTAGAGGGAACTGGAAAGGATGCACTTGAGGGACTAAATGTATTTGAGCAGATGTTTCTAAATGACTGTTTGAGAAGCCTCAGGAAACAAGCAAAGAGGGTCCAGAGGCTAATCCAGATGAAGGGGCGTGCCATACAAAACAAGATAGAAATCTGTGGAAAATTCACAGAAAAAACAACATCATTGCAGCAGGATCTCAGTAGCCTTCAGTGTGGTGGGCTGGACATTGATCTGAAGCAACGATTGCCCACCGATGAAGAGGTTAAGGATAAAGTGAGTGCGCTGAGAGAGAAAGTGGGAGCCGCCCATTCAGGTGTATCACACCTAGGCAAATACAAGGAGATTTGGGAATGGCTGGATCTGAAATGGGATGCATCACAGCTCGATGAACTTCAAAGCCAGTTTTGCAAAATAAAGGATCAACTTGAGCAGAAGGTTAAATGCATTGGTAGGCTTTCCACAGAAATTACCAGGCACCAGGCTGCTCTCAGTGCAGCTGAGGCTATTGTATCTGATCTACAGAGAGAATGTAAAGCTCTGCAAGAGTGTTCAGAATCTACCTCTGAAACTAATCTGGTGTTGGAAAAGAAGTTGCGCAGGAGAGCCCAACATGCCCAGCACTTAACTCAGGAGGCGCTTCGACTGTTGGATAAAAGCGACACCCTTGATGCCTCTCTCAAAGAGGCCAAGATTCAGGAAATAAAGAGCTTAGAGGCAAAAATAGATGGATTGACCCAAATGATCCAGTCTGAAATATTGGCTGTCCCAGAAAAACCAAGTCTTCAAAGCAAGCTGGATCATAGTTTAAGAACCTTAAAGCAAATTCAGTCTGAGCTCCAACAGCCTCTTCTGCTTGACTTAGAAATTCAGACGATTCCCTGTGAGAAGATGTATTGTCAAGTGCTTGAAGATGCTGTGGAAGCAGAATGTTGTGCAGCTGAAGATTCGATAAATAAAAAGAGAGGAGCTCGGATGGTAAAACCCTCCTTCCCTGACATCTTGGGGACAAAATTAGGGGAGCTGCAAAACCTGAAGAAGCAGCTGAAAGTTAACATCTCTACACGTGTGGTAAGTAGTCCTATGTGTCTTTTCCACTCTGTGCCAAAGCTTGGAAGGTTGCTTTCCCAGATTACCATTTCCAGAATCCTTCAGACACCATGACCAGTAGCCTTGTTGGCTAGAAGATTCGGATATGTTTCCTCCAAAAAGTAACTCTGACCTTTGACTTTCTGTAGACCTGGTCCTCAAGCCAGTTTTTCATCCTAACTAGAGAAGATGCCTTGAATCAATTTTTGAGTACCGTATTTGCCGACGTACAAGGCAACTGGGTGTATTAGACGACACCCCCCCCCATTTGGAGGCATGTTTTTGGGGCAAGGGCGAGAAGGGAAGGGAAGCAGGTGGAGGAGGAGGAGGGGAAGGAGAAGCAGCTCTCCGGCGGCACGCGGTTGAGCGGGCTCAGCGGCGCGGGGCAGTGGGCTCTGGCTGCTCAGGCATGGCCGGCTTTGCTTCCCTTCCTCTCTCCGGACCAACCGCCTGCCTGCCCATCTGGCTTGCGCGGCCCTGCGTCACTTACTCAGTGGCGGCGGCAGCGGCGGCACCTCCTTCCTGGCCCAATTAAGTGCACTGGCGTACAAGACGACCCCTCCACTTGGAGGCATGTTTTTGGGGCCACAAAAGTTGTCTTGTACGCCAGCAAATATGGTAGTTAATGTAAAGCGATTATGTAGATCCCATTGATTCACTTAGTCCAGTGATTCCCAATCTTGGGTAACCCAGGTGTTCCTGGACTAAAACTCCCAGAAGCCTTCACCGTTAGCTGTGCTGTCCAGGATTTCTGGAAGTTGGACTCTAAGAACATCTGGGGACCCAAGGTGGGGAATAGCAGCTAGATTTAGTCTAAAATGGTTGGGAATTGCAGCTAGATTTAGGCATAAGGTGTTTTCAGACAAAGAGCTGTGGTGGAACCATCATGGATCATTCTAACAAATCTGTAGTTAGATCCATATCATGTTGTCTTCTCTTTGAAATCTGTCCATGTTCTCTAAGTATGGCTTCCATGTTTTTTCCTTCTGGAGAAAAAAGTATGTCTACACTACCAAGTTGTCACAGTTTGATACCACTTTGACTTGCATGGTGATTAAAGTGGACTCAAGAGTGAATAACAGTGTAGTGTTTATGGATTTGGTAAGGGAAAGCGATAAGTAGCTCAAGAAAGGCGATTCCTAAGCTCTGTGGCCACTGCTAAGAGTTTCCTATTAGTACAAGCTGATAATGTCCAAAAGGTTAGGATTTCAACCAGGTTGCAATGGATATAGGGCAGGGAAAGGTTGATATTTTTCAATCCAGGCTGACATGTGCCATTTCTGCTATATACTCTTTTTAAAATGCTTGTTTCCTTGTGCAGCATGCCATAGATGAAGCCTCTGAGATTGTGCAACGTTACAACGAAGCTGTGCAGAAGGCTGTTGATCTCCTCCATCAACGGGAAGCCTCTCTCTCCAGTTCTCTCCTCAGCTTGGAAGAGCTAGAGAATGGAGGTAGCCTCCTCTCTCAACAGAAAGAATTAAAGGTTGCAAAAGGTGAAGTGGAAGTGTTGACCTCCACCTTGGAAAATAAAATGAAGCCAAGAGCCAAACTACAAATGGAAAAAACACTGGATAATCTTGTTGCTCGGAGTCTGATTTTGAAAAAGAAGGAGCAAAAGAGAAGATCTGATGTCAAGAGGTAAGTCAACATTTTCCATTCAGGAAAATGTTCACTTCGGGAACTGGAGTACAGTATTTTGGTCTCCATTGCGAATGGAATCATCACTCTCTCTCCTACTGCTTCAATACTTATTAAATTTATTCTGTAGAAGGGTTGTCAGCCATTCAGAACAGACTTCTAAGCTGCACAAGGAGGCATTGTTCCCATCCAAAAGTCCTCAGAAGCTTTCCCATGTCAAAATAGATCACCTGGAATCTTCTGAACCTCGACAAGGGTGGATAGGAAACATTCAATTAAAGAAAAAAGGCTGCAGCCACACATGAAGTTGTGCCAAAAAGGTCCTGGCCGATTAATTGTCAAGTGGTAGCTCACTGGTGTAGGCATCTGGCTGTGGAGCCAGAGACAGGGAGTTCAGTTCTCCACTGTCCCTCTTTGAAAAGGGCTGGACTCAATGATCCAGTTCTGCAGTTCTAAGACGATGGTACTGATGATGATGATTGGGAAAAACCTTTTCTCAGTTGGTGAATCATTATCTAACTGGCAAAAACGTGTGGATGTTAGCTTTTCTATTCATTCCTGTTTCATCCATAGATGCCTGGAAAAATACCACAGTTTCAAAAACTCCAAAGAGGTCATATGTGCTAATCTTAACGATGTGGAAAAGGTCCTTTGGAAATCCTTGCACCATATTCCAGTGTCTTACAAACAAGCTTTAGAGCAATCAGAACAAAGCAAGGTAAGAATATTAGGAACAAGAATAGTAATGATTATATAGTTCTTTTTCCTGTGTTCAACTGACTTTACACTAGTAGTGACAGGAGAGAATTTTGTTTGCATTGTTAAGAAAATGGATCAGATTAGCATTTGGACTAATAAGCCAATTATAATACAGTGGACCCTTGACTTACAGACGGCTTGACTTACAGACTTTTTGAGTTACAGACTTCTCTGGCCGCAAAATTTAGGTTTGACTTGCAGACTGAGATTTGACTTACAGACCAGAAAAAAAACCAAAATGGAACAAAAACGGCCTGTTACGGGATTAATCGGTTTTCAATGCACTGTAGGTCAATGGAGACTTGACTTACAGACTTTTTGACTTGAGAACCGCCTTCCAATACGGATTAAGTTCTCAAGTCAAGACCCCACTGTAGTTAGCCTTCAGATGAACTTGCACTTCTGTGACTTTTGCAATACAGTTCTTGAATCATAAAGGAGAAGTGTGTGCAAAAATGAACATTTTGAAGATTTGTACAGAAAGATGTCTTGAAATAGTGTGAATTTTCATGTAGTTTAAAAAAAATCACAGAATGATGTAGAAGTAGGATGGAATTGGCTTGAGACTGAAAATATGCAAAACTGATATGGACAGAATGGAGACAGATCTCTATGTGTCTACCTTACACGTAGCAGCCAAAATCCTGTTGCCTAGTATAGTAAAATGCACTAGAGTTGCTCCGTGTGTCTACCTTACACATAGCAGCCAAAATCCTGTTGCTTAGTATAGTAAAATGCACTAGAGTTGCTCCATTGAACCAATGGAATTAACTCCTCCATAAATTGATTCACATGGGCCTACTCTGACCGAGATTTTCTATGAAGTCACAGTTAGATCTGTTTGCATCCATGGAAATTATAGAGGAGGTGACTCACTAAATCCCCATTGATTCAGTAAGTCTACTCCAACAATTTACTGTGGCCAGCATCTTAATGGCAAAAGTTGATTGGTATTATAATCACACTAGGTATAATAGCAGTATTTCTGGGTTTAAACATAAGCAGGTGGATTTTTTTAATCAGTTACTTTGAAAGCCCCACCATGGAATCTAGATAGAAAAGTTGTTTTTAAAGTTAAATACAGGACAATAAGACTTTATTCCTAGATCCATGGTACCTTTGGGTATTATTGCAAGGTAAATCACTAAAAACCGCATTGCTAATATTCTTTCCTTAAAGATGCTGGTCTCCCAGTTGGTTTCAACGGAAGAGATTCTAATGAAGGTGAGACAAGACTCTGGCTACCTGAGCTTGAGGTGCGAAGAAAAGGATCGAGAGCTGATGGCCGTCTTGGTGTCCACACTGTGGTTAAAATGGCTTTGCTTACTCAATGTAGCAAAAGAATGGGATGGCAAATGTGAAGAGCAGAACCGAGGATGGAAATCCATCAGTGAAGAAGTGAGTGGTTTTGAGTAGGGTTGGGGCAATTACTGGAGCTATGTCTCCCAGAACCACCCAGAAATCATAACTGGTGGGAAGTGTAGTCTGAAAACAAAAATAATACAGTGGTGTGTCACTAGACGGTGATAATCCGTTCCACTGAAATCGCTGTTTAGCGAAATCATCGTCTAGCAAAAAGCATTTCCCCATTGGAATGCATTGAAACCTGTTTAATGCATTCCAGTGGGGAAGAATCGTCGTTGTCTAGTGAAGATTGGCCATAGGAAAGCCGCTTTGCGAACCGCCGATCAGCTGTTTAAATCGCTGTATTGCGAAGCTTAGGTCCCGAAGACACCCATTTTGCGAGCACGGAGGGAGCTGTCAAAATCGTTGTCTAGTGAAAATTGGTTTGCGAAGCAGGGACCAAACATTGTCCAGCAAAATTTCCCCATAGGAATCACTGTTTTGCGAATCACTATAGCGATTGCAAAAAGCCAATGTCTAGCGAAAAAAACTGTCATGCGGGGTAACTGTCTAGCAAGGCACCACTGTAATTCCAAATCAATGAAGCGACGACCAAGAAGGTCCTATGTGGGGTGACAGATGTTCAGGTCTTCCTCAGGGTCACTACCTTCAACATCCCAGTGTATGAGGTACAGGTAGACGTTTTGATGGAGAGGCACTCGGACAGGTAGTAAGGTCCTAAACTGTTAAGGGCTTTAAATTTTTTGAACTTGGCCCAGACATCCCATTTTCAGGGATGTCTGGGCCAAGATCTTCATGAAGTTCATCCATGAAGATCTGAGACTTTTTATGTGCCGAGTGAAGTGGGAAAGGGCTTCTGTAGGGCCACCAGCACAAATCTACCTGCGACATTAGGGGTGGGCAATAGCAGCAGGGCTGTGGTCTGTTTTTCACTTCCCAAGGAATCTTCAGAACACAACTGATTTGTACAGGCCAGCATGACTGTTAAGTATGACTATATAGCTGCAGTCTTCTCATTTTAATACACAACACTGTGTGATTGGTGCAGATTACTGAACTGAATGATTCTGGAGCACCCTGTAATAAAGTTTAGAAAAGCTACTACAGAGGTGCCTCGCAAGACAAATGCCTCGCAGGACAAAAAACTCGCAAGACGAATGGTTTTGGCAATGGGGTTGATGACTCGCAAGACGAGTGTTCCTATGGCCATCCTTCGCAAGACGAATGTTTTCGGGTTTTGTTTTTTTTGTTCCTGCCTCATGTTTGCTGATTTTTAAATGTTTTTCTGTGATGTTTAAAAAGTTATAAAGTTTTTTGATTGAAATTTTTGAAATCATCTGCACAATATGTATGGCTTTAAAGAGCACTTAATAAACCCTTTGTAAAGCAAATTTGACTTTGTTCTGACTTTTTTTGCCCATAGGAATGCATTAATTAGATTTCAATGCATTCCTATGGGAAAATGTGTTTCGCAAGATGAATTTCTCACAAGACAACATTAACCGTGTAATGAATTAAATTCATCTTGCGAGGCACCACTGTTGTTCTTTCTGGAGGTTGTCTAAAATCTCAGCTGCCTTGAACTGGCGAGGGACAGAGAGGTTAGTTTTATGCTGAGCACAGAGAAGGCGAGGCTGCTTGGTTTCTACAATGTGTACTCAAGAGGGAGATAGTGTTGTGAAGCACTTCCCACTGCAACATTTTGTTGTAGGGACTATCTGTACGTAACGGGGGAGCATCTGTTCAGGCAATGCAAACTCATTCTTCCACATGTAGAAGGAATTCATCAGAAAGAAGAGTCTTGCAGAGGTTTACTCGGAAGTCATTTCTGCCATATTCAATGCAGCTTTCTACCATAAAAGCCTGCATAGGCTTGCAGGATTTATCAATCAGTGTTTTCTCCCTGGTTCACTTTCCGGCTGTGGTGGCCATCTTTCCCTTTAGATGGAACGAGAAACCATCATTCTGGACAACCTCCAGGAAGAACTTCCTGAAGGCCCCAAAGAAATGGAAAGAGCCACCGAGGACGAACTGCAAGAATTTCTGGATTGCACCAGCCACTACGTGGAAAGTGTAGAAGCTGAGAAATTGTTGTTACGCTTAATCCTTCATCGCTTAAGGACCATCCTGATGGTTCCTGAATCTCTTCCTGAGAAGAGAGAAAGCTTTCCTGTTGTACGTGAAATTAAGGCCATGCAAGAGCGAATGAATGAGTAAGTACAAATGGTCAACTAATTACAGTAATAGGTCAATGGCCAGAATCCTATTGGTGTTCACACAAGGTTTACATAATTTGCTGCGGTTAATGACAACTAATTAACTTGGTGATAGGGCATATCTCAATCTAGCCATGGAGCAATGAAGCGGAAACACATTTGGGACATATCCTGGAAACTTGCCAGTTAGCTGAAGTTACTTTTCGCAAGTTACATGGGGTTTACACAAATGCCAGTAGGATTCCAGCCAGTGAGTGAATTTCCAAAGATTTCTCCAGTGTTCTGTTCTGCTTTCAAAATGCCTTGAGATTCTATTTTTTGCTGAAAATTATAGGTGTGCAATGTATACACCTAGCAATCCCAAAAAGGGTATAAGTAGTATGGTCACTAAAAGCAAAAAGCAAAGCGTACTAGTTATGTACAGTATTGCCCCATAGTGTTTAAAGGACTCTCTGGGCAGTTTACAATTTTAACCATGCAGGCTGCACATTGCCCATCCCCACCCCTGAAACCAAGCTAAGTATTCAGTTTACCAACCTTGGAAAGGTAGAAGGCTGAGTCAACTTTAAGCGAGCTACCTGGGATTGAATCCTGGGTCGTGAGCAGAAGTTTGGCTGCAGTACTGCAGTTTAACCACTGTGCCACGAGGCTTCTTTCACTAAGTAACTTTTGGCTGGTCACTCTCTTTTGAGTTTGTCCTAGAATTTATACTCCGTCCTATTCCTGTAGGAAGAAAAAAGAAGGAATATAAATCAAACTAATGAATGAAAATAATAACAATTGAAATCATTGCAAATCAACTTCTCTGTACATAGAACTGTATTTTTGGAGAGAGAGAAAACACTCCTATTTCAGATGATGGCATGAAATCTGATCTTGGAAGTGGCATTTCCTCATTTTTGGGGGGAAAATCTGGGGTATCTAAAATGGACAATATTTTTAGTTAACCAGGACACCTGTAACTGGTTAATTTCTTAACAGATTAAACATTAGATTCCCCAGATATAATCATAACAGTGTTAATTTAAAGATGAAGAAGCCTGCATGTGGAAAGTTTTATTTTATTTAGATCATTTCTAGGCCACTTTCTCCTGATGAAGGGACTCAAGGCAGCTCAAATTGGTGTTCCTTGTCTTCAGAAACCAGGGAATGAGGTGGTATAATAAACACACTCCCTCAACCTGTTCCTTTCCCAACCATCTTGTGTTGGACTACAAAGCAAAGCAAAGCAAAACGTGCTGCTTAGACAAGAATTGGTTTATAGCTCAGTGGTTTAAGTATCTGGCTGTGGAGCTGGTGACTGGGTGTTCGATTCCCCACTGTGCTTCCTTGACAGGGGAATTTTCTTAGGCTCTGTGAAAAAGCACAAAAGCAAAAGGACGCCATAGAATGTGAGAAGGAAAGCCGAGACAAGATTAATGAGGAAATAAATGCCGTAAAGAACTCCTTACAGGATAACCTGTCTTTGCTGCACAACATGGACTTAGGAGGACTTGAAGAAAGGGCAGCTAAACTTGAGGTTAGTAAAACCCCTTCTTGTGTTGCTGTTATGCAATAGCTTTGTAGTCAGGAGGTTCCTATTCCTATTCTTGATAGTTTGGCTTGAATTGAACGGAATTGAAAGAAACCCCCTAGTAGGTTTACTTTTAAAGATATATAAACAATGACTCCTAGAATCCACCAGCTACCATGGGAGATCCAGGTAGTCCAAAAAAGTTTTCAAGTTCTGGTAAAATGGATACAACATCCATTTAAAACGGATGCAAGATTTTTCACAGCTAGTCCTCTAAAGGTGACAATAAACAGATGTTGTAATATCTGCAAACAAAACTAGAAGGGGATCCATGTGTGTATCATCGGGCTGCTGGATAGCTCGGTGGTTTAGGTATCTGGCTACAGAGCCAGAGGTTGGGAGATCGATCCCCTCACTGTGTCTCCTTGACAGAAGCTGGACTCTATGATCTGTAGGGTCCTTTCCTGCTCTGCAGTTTGAAGGTATTATTTCTGCTGTTCCATTTTCTGAAGTCCAGTAAGCTGTTCATTGCTCACTTCTTAAAATTATGAAGTGCATAAATGAATGAATGAATGAATGAATAGATCCCTTAACATATTTTAATTGGGAAGTACTATGAAGATCATCCATCCTAACTACCTGCTCAGGTCACTAAGCTTAAATCACAGTATCTCTGACACATGGCGTTCCAGTTTCTTCCTTTAAAATCCTTCACTTTCCATGAAAGACAGCCTTCTGCCTCCCCAGGGCAGACTTTTCTGCTGTTAAAAGAGTTTTCCTAATTTTTATCCAGAATCTGCTTCCTTGAACCTTCCACCCATTAGTTCTCACCCGGAGCAAGAGCTGTTGCAGTTGACATATAAGTGAGAAATTAGACAAAAAGGGAATTCTATGTTCCCCTTTCATTCAACATTTTAACACGTTCTTTGCAATATTTTGATTTAGGCAGATTTGTATGATTTAGGACTAATTATGGTAAATAGAATGCATTTTCTAGCATGATTTTGGGCCCAAATTTGTTTCCTTTCAGTTGCATCTGTTAAAGGATTAGAAGAGATTAAATTTCCAGGGCACAACTGACAGGTCCTTTTTACCTTCTGAAAATGATACTCTTCACGGAGAACTGGAACCGATTGTTGAGACTCGATCTTTTTTGTAAACTGACACAAAAGTGAATACTCCAGCTCTCTTGCTTTTAGTGGTGTTTTATTGTTTGTGGGACTGAATTTGGGGGGGGGGGCGGAGGAATTATTTTCCCCCTTTTGCAGAAGAAGTATAGCTGAAAGCTGAATCATAGAGACAGTTTCTAATGTGCTCAAGATATTATTTCATCTGTCAATACGCCCTGGCAGAACAATGAAAATGGTATCAAGTTTAATTTATTCTTAGTGAATTGAACAGCATCATGACTAAACAAAGTAAGCATCTCTCAGGTTTTGCCTGCTTGCCCACTGAGTCAAAATGAGGCTTTGTCACAGGAAGACTGTTTCCCTACCTCTAAAGAATGCTGGGAACAACCAACACCACCATTATTGATTCCTTCCTCCATTTAGGAGATTGAGAAAGCCATTGATACTCAGAGGCAAACTCTGGAGGAGATCATGGAGAAACTGCGTATCAAGTATGCTGACATGTATGCATTAGTGCCGGTTGAGGTTGAAATGCATTTGGAAGATTGCAAGGAAACATTGCAAGACCTGGAAGAAAAGGTAAAAGCCACTGTAGCTTTTTTTTTTAATTTAGAGCAGAGTTTTTGGATTGTTGGCTTATGTGAGTTGTGTCGTATTATTGGATCAAAGAGCAAGAGCTCCAGAAAAAAAAAGAACAAGTGGTTTTAATTGCATGAAGATTCCTTTTTAAAAAAGTGGAGTTTTATTTAAAATTGTGATTTCAGATATATTTGTTGAAAGCATTTCTACTCTGTTCTGCAGAGCTCCCCCCATTCCCCCCTGGATTCCCAGAGTAGCTGATAAACCTTAGTAATAAGACAAGCAAGCAGTATAGTCAATCCATTCTCAGAGCTACGATCTAAAAGACATGGCAGGAAAGGAAAATGGACTGGGAGGGAAGAGGAGGGGAAAAAAGCAAAGGAGCAAGATCTTCATTACAGATGTTCAGAAGGCAGAAATTCAATAGCTCAGGACAGGTGGCTCTAAGCAGTAGGGAAGATTTGCTGCTGCTTTGTCCACTGATGTCATCAGCAATGCTTTTCCTAGTTGAAAGATGGGACGTTCCACCTAGAAATGTATCCAGGTGTAATGAAGATTAGTACCTGGTGGCACTTGTTTAAACCCATATTTCATGCCAGAAGACATACATTGCTGCCGAAATTCGCAGCTTTAAAAGGAGGATGGGGCCAATTCATGGATAAAGCTGTCAGCAGCCACCAATCAAGATGATGCCATGCATCCTGTAAGTTCAGAGGGACTGTTGCACTGAGTACTACTTGCTGGGGAGGAACACCAGAGGGAGGATGTTGCCCCCACGTGCTGCTTATGGACATGCTTCGCAGAGACCTCATCCTGACTATGAGGATGCTCACCATCATGGACACGGGCACTTGCTGGACAGCAACCCCAGAGGAAGGATGTTGCCCCCATGTGCTGCTTATGGACATGCTTCGCTGAGACCTCATCCTGACTATGAGATGCTCACCATCATAGACAAGGGAGAGAAAAGAGATTCAGTGAGCAGTCAGTCTGATCTAGCAGAGTTCTTTTGTGGTTGTTATTATTTTTCTTATTCCCCAAATCTTATTTTTCCTTTCGGGAAAAAAGAAAAGATTCTCTAGGTGGTAAAAAAGGAGGAACCCACACATCATGGGAGTTAGATCTCAAAATTTAAACCGAGGAAAATAGGCAGAAAAGGGTCAGCACTGAGGCAGAAGTAAAAATCTGCTCTGCTCCTGTTTTAAAATATTGCTGAAAAATGTCATTAACTGGTGTCTACCTTATTATGACTTTTTAGGGAAGTAGCGGTGAAAAAAAATCATCCTCTGAAAAAGGAGGTTATTTTGTCTCTTTATTTTTGGCTTTTGCCATTTCAGGGTTTTTCAGGTTTGTTTTGTTTTTTAACCATGGCAGGTCAGCAGTGAACTCCTAAAAAATTCCCCACACTATATCACAAATAAAAAAATAGAAGAGATCAACAAAGGCCTCCAGGCGATTGAAAACATGTTGCGGCAGAAGAGCAAGGACGTTGAGAAAGCGAAGGAAGTTCAGAAGGTAACAGGATCCTTTTCTTTTCTCATGCAGCAAGGTCTCACAAGCGGAAGCTCAGTTCGATTAAGGATATAAATCTTCACTTGCTGTATTTGCATAGGGGAGAAAGAACACCTTTCAAAAGTCCCCCCCCCCCCAAACTGGGCTTCATTACAACAGTTATCATGCATTTTTGGCCTTTAGGCTTATTTATTCATTTTAATTTTGTTTTGTTTTGTTTTGTTTTGTTTTGTTTGTTTTTTTGAAAAATTCATCGATGTGGTTGTTACAGAGAACCTGGTATTGTGGCAGACAGACAGAAAGACAGACAGATAGATAGATGAATATTGGAGCTAATGTTGCTGATGATGAAGAGAAGTACTGGTCCATTTAGTGCCACGCAAAAGCAAAAAATATACTGGTTGAGTAGGCTCAGAGCCATTCACTTAAAAGTAAGGTTCATAATCGTTACACTGTATATGGAGCTGGACGTGGTGGTGCTGCGGGTTAAACAGCAGTTCAGTGCCACGCAAAAGCAAAAAATATAGTGGTTGAGTAGGGTTTTTTTTCCCCCAAAGAAAACATTTGGGCATAGTAGTTACATCTTTAGTCTTTATGTGATGAGCTCAGGGCCATTCACTTAAAGTTAGGTTCGTAATCATTACACTTTATATAGAACCAGACGTCGTGGCGCTGCGGGTTAAACTGCAGAAGCCTCTGTGCTGCAAGGTCAGAAGACCAGCAGTCATAAGATCGAATCCACACGAGGGAGGGAGCTCCTGTTGCTTATCCCAGCTCCTTCCAGTCTAGCAGTTCAGAAGCATGCAAATGCAAGTAGATAAATAGGTACCACTTCGGTGGGAAGGTCACGATGTTCCAAGTCTAGTCGCACTGGCCACGTGACCACCGAAACTATATACGGACAAACGCTGGCTCTCCAGCTTGGAGATGGGGATGAGTACCATGTCCTAGAGTCAGACATGACTGGACTAAATGTCAAGGGGAACCTTTACCTATATGGAGCCAACACTGATTTTAGCGCCCACCTGCTTCAATGGCAAATACATCGGCGAAGCCCAGAACTGTGTCTAGAATGGAAGGCTGTTAAAAGTACTCCCGTAGGAGAAGGCGTCTGCATCAAAGTGGGCAGGTCAGATTCAGAACAGGAAAATAAATAAAAGTACTCCCGTAGGAGAGGGCGTCTGCATAAAAGTGGGCAGGTCAGATTCAGAACAGGAACCGGTAAGGAAAGACTCAAATACTATCCCCTGTTCTAAGGCACTTAGTGTGTCAGGACTGCTCTGCTGAACTTGGTCTGATTAGTTCCCTGAACTAGTCAATAGTGTAGTGGAGCCAAGACTTGAAGAAAGGAAGGCCCTGGACTTCCTGACCAGCAGGGATTATACACACCACCCTTGATTCCCTGTTCTTTCTGAGCTTAGTTGCAGTTCTCACACAAACTGGGAGAGAAATGGAGTCTCCCATAAGTGTAATATTCTTGCAGCCTGTCCCTATTGCAGTGCAAAATATTTGAGAAAGATTTGGTCTCGAATGTGCCATTCAGAGCCATTAACTTTGCAAAAAACAAAAAACCTGCATCTTAGTTGATACTTGGACTCTTGTGGGGTGGCAACTCCAGTCACAATGAGTGACTACACTTCTGAAGTTCTAGTTTTTCTGCAACTGATCCATAGTAGCCAGCCATTCGTATGAAGACAAGGTGTCTGGGGTGGACACTTCTTAAGTTCTGCATGTTTCCAGTGATATATGAGCTGGTATCAAACTTTCTACCCATTTTTTTCATGTAACTTTCTCCAGGATTACATCAACACGTTGATTCTTTCTGTCTTTTGTTAGTTCTAAGAAAAGTATATTGCCAGTCGTTCTCCGGTCTTTCAGTTTTTGTCAACGCTATGCCATCTGCATGTTATCCTCTGTTGCTGACTCTTACATTGAATTCTTAATTGCTGTTGACGGTGTCTCTAAACCGAACACAATCATCATTCATTGAGTGATGTGCTCTGTTTGTTACTTGCAGAGAATCTGGGATTTGCTCGATCTCTGGCATTATAAAATGAATGAACTGGATTCCGACGTTCAAGACAAAGCAGAGCAGGATCCTGACCAGGCTCAAGAACTGTTGGATCACTTGATGATCCCACTGCAGCAATATCAGCATGTCTCACAGCTTGCTGAACGCAGAACTACAAGTTTAAACATGGTAAGAGATGAACGGAGCGTGCAAAATGAGTTGGCCAGACCCTTAACTGTTAGGCATTTTAAAGAACGTGGGTATATTTGCATGTCACATCATGGTTTGTGTTAATTATCATTTGTTGCTTAAGCAACAAATTGCAAATCAGAATGATAAACAATCCTATCTTTTCTTCCATAGTTTGGGCTTATTTCTCTCCTCTTATTTCTGAGCCATTTGTCAGTTTAATTTTCAGGGTTTCATCAAATCTGATAATCAGATACTGCAGCTCAGTAACCCTATATGTAGAAGAGGAACGTTCAAAGGTGAACTAGAGTCACCAAATACATGGTATTTCATTTTATTCAGCTTTGCCAAACGGTTTTGGACTGTGACCTGTAGGTTTGCCTTCTACAATTTTGTCCTTATATGCAAATTGAATGCTAGAAGGCATCTTGACTTGGATTCTACATGTTAAAAACCAAGCTGGTAGCTCTCATGGTTCTGGAATAGAGATGGGCATGAACTGCCTGTTCAGTGGTTCATGCCAGTTTGTTTCTGAGCCAAATTCAGTGGTTCCCAGCCCTGCATCCCCCAGCGGGACCCCACTCAGAGGCAGCACCTGGAGAAGGCAAGGCAGGGAAGCCGGGGCACCACTTCTCACCACTTCTGAGGAGGTGGAGGTGGGACTGGGAACTGCCAAACACTCATTTCATAAAAAATGAATTGGCACAAACCCCTTAACCAGTAGTCCGTGCCCATCTCTATTCTGGAAGATCCATTTAGTAGAACTATGAATCACAGTGGTCCAAATCCTATTGTACATTTCCGTCTGCAGAATCAGATGATGCAACTCATTGCAGCTTTTGTTGCTAGCGATGAGTCCCTATCTGGGTTTTCCAATGTGCTCCAGTCTGCTAGGTTGCAAGTGCCGGAAAATCCAAGCAGAGATGGTTAATTGCCAGTGAGAAGCTGCTCTGCGTTACACTGTTTGCCTTCTGCAGCTGTAACTACTCGACAGGATTTTGACAAATGTCTCTAAAAACGGCCAGAGAAATGCCTGTGTCTTCGGTGGCTATTTATCCCTTGCTTCGATCTTGCCATATTGTCTGCATCCCCCAATAAATCCTGCTGATGCTCACTTCCCCATGATTCTCCTAGGTCCAATTTTTACCCCCAAAGCTCCTGACCAGGGTTAGGCCAGGAATGGAAACTGTTGTCAGAGAGTTATATTTAGCGCAGATGTCACAAGCGACTCTCACTGCTTATTCCTGAGTATGTTTTTGTAGCAGCTCCTGGCAACATTAGAACCTTGTGCCTTACGCAGACGTGAAGGAGAATTTGTAATTTCTGTGCTATGTTAAAGGCGGCTGGCAAGATGGAAGAATGCGCTGAACTCTTGAAGAGCACTCGAGTGTGGCTTGAAAACACCAACCGTCTGCTCGCTGAAGAGTGTAAGAGTGACTCTGCAAAATGTTTGAATAAACATGCCAGTGCACTTCAAGTAAGTGGGCTCATTATGTAGCTTGACGAGGTCCAGATGTATATGCTAGCTGTGATGCAACTGTATTCTATTGGGTGGGGCAATGATTAGGGTTTGGGTGTCTGGCATTCAAGGGATCCCACTTCTGTAATTCAGCAGGAAGGCTCCCCTCCAGGTTAAATGATGGGACCGGGAGTCTTCAGAAGGGCATGAGGTCGTGGCGCCCCCTCCCTTCCATGCTGTTTCTATAGTGCTTCTTCCAGCCATTGGGAAAAACTAACCTGCTGCCCCCACTGGTCCCGTCACCTCCTGGCAAATAGAAGGGGAAGAGATGGAGGCAGTGACAGATTTTACCTTCTTGGACTCCATGATCACAGCAGATGGTGACAGCAGCCACGAAATTAAAAGACGCCTGCTTCTTGGGAGGAAAGCAATGACAAACCTAGACAGCATCTTAAAAAGCAGAGACATCACCTTACCAGCAAAGGTCCGTATTGTCAAAGGTATGGGTTTTCCAGTAGCCATGTATGGAAGTGAGAGCTGGACCATAAAGAAGGCTGACTGCCGAAGAATTGATGCTTTTGAATTGTGGTGCTGGAGGAGACTCTTGAGAGTCCCCTGGACTGCAAGGAGAACAAACCTATCCGTTCTGAAGGAAATCAACCCTGAGTGCTCACTGGATGGACAGATCCTGAAGCTGAGGCTCCAATACTTTGGCCATCTCATGAGAAGAGATGATGCCCTGGAAAAGACCCTAATTTTGGGAAAGTTTGAAGGCAAGAGGAGGAGAAGGGGATGACAGAGGATGAGAAGGATGGACAGTGTCATCGAAGCGACCAATATGAATTTGACCCAACTCTGGGAGGCAGTGGAAGACAGGAGGGCCTGGCATGCTCTGGTCCATGGGGTCACGAATAGTCAGACACGACTAAACAGCTAAACAACAACAACCCTGCTGCACAGTGGGAGTGACAAACATCCCCTGGTTTGTGGGGGAACGAGTACGGGGGCTGCTCCCACACACCCTATGGAGATCCTCACGACTCCCACAGTGCAGCAGGTTGCTTTTCTCATGGGTCAAAGAAGCTGTGTAGAAAGCGCATGGAGGTGCGGGTGGCTTCTCTACATCCTGCTGGTTTGAGAGCTCCTGGTCTCATAATTCATTCGGGGGTGGGGTGGGGGAGGGATCCTGCCAAATTATGCGACTGGGGTGTGTGTGTCCTTGTATTCTGAAAATCCCATCCCAAAAACTGATCGTTGGCCTAAGGGAGTACATGGCCACGTACAGTACACAGGTACATCCTCACAGTTAGGAATGTGTCTTCCCTGTCCACCTATTGAATTAGCACAATGTTTTTACTTGCTTCCTTGTGTCTACATAGATATAAGGCTTGAGACATCCTCCAAAGGAAGGTGATATAAAAACACAGCCTAAATACTTTCTTTGTTGAAGATCTCCTCTCTGTATGCCTTGTGCTGTGTTAATCCACATGAAGGTTTGCCTCTGTATGCAATCTGCATGTAGGCTTTCCAATTTAGACTGGAAACCAGAGGCAGGGGGGCTCTTTCCTTACATTTGCCCCCACTTCCTGGCCTAAAAACCCCTCAATCTGTATAAAGACTCCGCAGTCTTGGTTTCCAGTCCCCCGATCATTCTTGTTGCCCTTCTCTGAACGTGCCCCAGTTTGTTGACATCCTTCTTAAATGCTGTAGTGATGCTTTTCCTGCATGCGTTGAGTACAGGAGGCTGGGCTCAGTAATCTAGAAGGTCCTTTCCAACTCTATAGTTCTATAATTCCATGATTCTGGGATTGTATTGATTTTGGGATTGATCCTGGAAGATGTGTACATTAACTGGCTATTTTTCCAAAGCTTTAAAATGGACCTCTGTGCATTTTAATAGATGCAGATTTTAATTTTATCTTCTCCCCCCCCTCCCCAAGATGGCATTTGAAGATTCAGAACAAAAACAAAGCATTCTCAGTGCCTTGTACTCAGATTTGGAGGAGTTCTCCTCTTTAATCGAAACGGAGGATATGGTGCAGGAGCTGAATAAAGTGAGCGGGGAAGTCAGAGCTTTACAACAGAAGATAATAGATATACTTCCGCACATACAGCACTTGGCAGATGTAAGTCTAAAGAAAATGTGGTTGATTTTGTAAGTTATAAATGGATGCATGATGATTTACAAAATGTAAAGTTATCTAACCCAAGGAGTTTACAGTGTAAGATTCGGTGCAGCAAAAACAGCAGTGGATGTGGAAAATTTTGGCAATTATCCCAGTTATGTTTAGGCAACGCTTGGAAAAGTTGCTTTTTAAACTACAGCTCCCAGAATCTGCAAGCCTGTGTGGGCAGTGGATTTGCATTCAGGCTTATATATAGCATATCAATAAAGATAAAAAGAGAGAAAAGCGAATAAGACCTCTTCGTGCTCTGATGTGAATAAAGAATGTGCACAAACTCAGCTTTTGGGTGATAATGTCTGTTCCAAGAGCAGTTAGAATTAGAAACATCTGTCTTCTGTCATCCTTTTATCTCCCCCCCCCAAAAAAAAATGCTCAGTTGCAAAGGGAAGCCAAATGCAGAACTGTTAGATTATTTCCCCAGGTTTCAGGATGGCCCCATTTGTCGAAGCATCATTGGTTCCTCTGGCTTGGCCTAGCCAGCGATCTATCCACCTGCCTGAGCCAGCGGCCAAGTTGACATTGTCACGGGCTTGAAATATAGCATGAAAGACTTACTGCCTTAATATTAAAATTGTTACTTTTGTGTTCATAGAAAGACAACCAATGTATCTAAAGGATAGTGTTTGAAAGCAACGTGTTAACATTTTAATGTAACCTTCAAATGTTACTTTTAAAGATTTCATGCATTCCACTTTTTTATTGCAGAAGTAACAATTTTAGTTAATATGTTAAATCCAATGTATTATTTCCAGGCTCTGTTCTTATTGGTAGGAAATGATTCGTTTGAAATGTGGAGCTTTGTGGATACCCTGGACTGCCAGGGGACAAATAATTGGGTCTTAGATCAAATCTCTGGAGGGAAAATTGTTGAAGCTGAGGCTATACTACTTTGATCTCATCATGAGAAGGCAGGATTCTCTGGAAAAGACAATAATGCTGGGAAAAGTTGAAGGCAGCAGGAAAAGAGGAAGACTAGATGTGTGATGGATTGACTCCCTCAAGGGAACCACAGGCTTGAGTTTGCAAGAGCTGAGTGGGTCAGCTGAGGACAGAAATTTTTGGAGCTCACTAATTCATTGGGTTGCCATAAGTTGGGGGCGACTTGACAGCACACCAAAACAAGAGCTTTTATCCCCATTTTCCTCTTCTAAAAATATCTAGAGAAAGCTGTTTTGTAAGAGAACAAGAAGGACGGTATCAGGTTTAGTGTGCATTTAAAAAAAGAACAAAGATATATGAATAACATTGATATAATCAACTATTCAATTGATTTAGTTTTCATCAGAGGCACAATTATTTCAAATGGGAAAAAAAGTTAAGCTTTATGGGCCTGTGGCTAACACCACAACACAGGTTATCTGTGAAGATTCTCAGTCATCCAGGGGTGGTTATCTGGAAGTTGAGTCAGGGCAACTGGACTTCTTTCTTGTTAGGTTGAAACATTTCGCTACCCACCCACCCAGCTTCTTCAGTCTGAGGAGAGTTGTCAGGAGATACCTGATATATCCTCCAAGTTGGTTTCACTCCCCCCTGGTCTGAATAGGCTCCTTTGAAGGACAAAGGACTGGAGTTGAGGGATAATTCCACTTCTGCATTCCTTCTCCACCCATTATCATGAGTCATTAACAGTGGTCAAGGGACATTGCTGACCAAGATGGACTCATTTTGGATGGAGAAGATAGGTGGTTTGAGAGAGGGGGTCAAGCAGCCTCCTCGAGTAGACATGGTCTAGAGGGGCGGGGTGATTTAGTTTTCATCAGAGACACAATTATTTCAAATGGAAAAAAATTGAGCTTTATGGGCCTATGGCTAACACCATAACACAGGTTATCTGTGAAGATTCTCAGTCATCCAGGGGTGGTTATCTGGAAGTTGAGTCAGGGCAACTGGACTTCTTTCTTGTTAGGTTGAAACATTTCACTACCCACCCACCTAGCTTCTTCAGTCTGAGGAGAGTTGTCAGGAGATACCCGATATATCCTCCAAGTTGGTTTCACTCCCCCCTGGTCTGAATAGGCTCCTTTGAAGGACAAAGGACTGGAGATGAGGGATAATTCCACTTCTGCATTCCTTCTCCACCCATTATCATGGGTCATTAACAGTGGTCAAGGGACACTCCTTTGCTGACCAAGATGGACTCATTTTGGATGGAGAAGATAGGTGGTTTGAGAGAGGGGGTCAAGCAGGCCATACATGTGCGTATAGAAAATCCCTCCCTCAACAGGGGTGGAGGCCTTAGATACAATCTGTCTTCTTATTTAATATACTACCCTTTCATCCATCCCCAGAAAGATTAGGACCACACCCACCCAAAAGACCACTGTTAACAACCATTAATGACCCATGACAATGGATGGAGAAGGACTGCAGAAGTGGGATTATCCCTCAACTCCAGTCCTTTGTCCTTTTAAGGAGTCTGTTCAGACCAGGGAGAAGTGAAACCAACATGGAGGGTCTATCAGGGGTCTCCTACCAACTCTCCTCAGAGCGAAGAAGCTGCTTGGATGAGTAGCGAAACATTTCAACCTAACAAGAAAGAAGTCCAGTTCCCATGACTGAACTTCCAGATACAACACAGGTTATCTTTTGTATTAATAATGACATTTGGCAGGAAATGCACAAATAATTTTGAATGTTTTAAAAATATATAGGAAGCAGAAGCTATTGAATCTGAAGTGAAAACAATGGAGAAGGACATAGATAAAATCAAGACTATCTTGTCCCCTTCAGAAGAGACACTTGATCTTTTTCCTAAGGAGCATCTTAAACATTGCCAGGTAAGAGATACAGAGAGTGAGTGAGTAAGTATATAACTGGTAAAAATACTCTTTAAATATCTCACTTACTTTGAAACCCCAGATCAGGTGGCCATAAGCTAGTTCTGACTTGATGTCACAGAAAACACACATACTGTAAATATTCCCTTTTCTGTCTCAAATACTTCTGACTCTGTTAGCAGTTCCTCCACTAGAAGTGTGCCAGTTTGTGTTTTTGGATAACTAACTCTCAGAATTGCTCAGGCAGCCAATAGATACGGCCACGTCATGCACAGAAGGTCAAGGTTAATTTGTGCAGCATTTGAACAGGATCTCCCATAACAGATGTCTAAAATCAAAATATTTTGATTTCTGTTTTAGCTATTTTACCTGAAGGTATCCACATTTTCTCTGAAGGAAATTGCCAGTAATTTGTAAGGGCCTTTCAAATATGGCTCCTTAGCTTTGCGAGTTTATTTTATTTTCCACTGTATGATTCAATTAGAATTTGTGACAACTGCTTTCCTTTTAATGAACTGTAGAAATGTAATACCGGGGGGATGGACGGGGGTGGTGGTGTTGGTCTATTTCCGTAGCACCATCTACAGGTGAGTGTTCTTATTTCACTAATACTCCATGAGATGACTGAGGAAGACAGGATATCATCAAGAGCTTGCATATTGCAGCGGGGGGGGGGGGCTTCTGCCCATTTTCTTTTTGCCTTTGCGTTGGCCTGTGACGATACTCCCTGAGTACAGATTTGTTTGAGGACAGCTATCACTGCTTTTGTTTGTTTGTGGCTTTGCAGATCTTCCGCGTTGGCCTGTGATCATACTACCTGAGTACAGATTTATTTGAGGACAGCTGTCACTGCTTTTGTTTGTTTGTTTGTGGCTTTGCAGATCTTCCACATGAGGGTCATCTGTGGAATTTCTAAGTCCTGAAATTGAAAGACAGCAGTAATGCTTGATAATCAGAACTTGATAGTTCTTGACATAGGGATAAAAGATTTTCAAATGCAGTGGTTATAAGCTGCTAGGGCACTGTAACCTGTGGAAATATAGAATCATGAAGTTGGAAGAGGCTTATAAGGCCATCAAGTCCAACCCCTTGCTCAGGAATACAAATCAAAGGATATCTGCCAGGTGGTTGTCCAAATTTCCTTTGGATGCCTCCACTGTTGGAAGAACATCAGAACCTTCTCACATTCTTGTATGTTACCGAATCTTGTGGCGCAGAGATTAAACTGCTGAGCTGCATCCAAAACTGTGCTCATAACCTGGGATTCAATTCCAGGTAGCTGACTCACCCTTCCATACTTCTGAGGTTGGTAAAATGAGTACCCAACTCAGCGGGGGTGGGGTGGGGTGGGGCGAACAATGTGTAGCCTGCATAATTGTAAACTGCCCAGAGAGTTTTTTAAGCGCTATGGGGTGGTATATAAGCAGCACGCTTTGCTTTGTTAGGATTCTGGACCATGTGGTTCAGATTGGGCTGCAGCTTTAGCTAGCATAGATGGTCGTGAGGGAAATGAAAGTTATCTTGCAAAAATCTTCTGGAAATCCACATTTCCTCATTCCTTCTCTGAAGTGTGTTGGGCTTCCTAAAAGTGCACCGAGCAGTCCAAAGTAAACATGCTAATAATCTCTCAGTTTTCCTATTCAGATGTTATCTGATTTTTTTAAAAAAGTTGCTGTTGTTAATCTTGTGTCTTATGTTTTAGGTTATACTGGCCCACATCAGCCCTATGCAGAAGACACTTGCTGAGATAAATTCCTATAAAGAAAGTCTGAGGCTACCAGGCATGAGAACGAAGCCACTCTCTGTGTTCAGAAGGACAGAACAACTTTTGAAAGAGTTGAAACGATTAGAAAAAATTACCAAGGAACAAAATGCACTTCTTGAGGTAAAAAAAGGGAATCCAGTCTAGGCATGAGAATAACTTGTGACTTGCCTCAGAAAACGTCCTCTTATTGCCACAATCATTTAGGAAGCTTCTCTGAATGTAGCTGAAATCAGATTCCCTGTAATTTCTGCCCCTTCATTCTAGGCTTAGGCACTTCTGGAGCAACAGAGAACAGATCTGCTCCAACCTCTGCATGATGTTCTCGTTATGTATTTTGAAATTGCTCCTGATTTATAGTGACCCTATGAATTAGTGATCTCCAAAAAGTACTGTCATTAACTGCCCTGTTGTCTAGGTCAGGATTTACTTTATGGAATGAATGCATTTCATGGCCAGCCTTCCACTTTTCCTGTTGCCTTCACTTTTCTCAACATTATTGTCTTTCCAGTGAGTCTTCTATTGATTCTTGGATTCTTCTGATATTGTATCCCCCAAATATAATAGCTTTTTCCATGAGAACCTTTCAGATGTTACAAGGCCTTACTTCTTTGGCCTGCTCTATAGAGACCTAACTCATATCTAACCCTTCCTCAGAAGACATGCTTTCTAGATACCTTGCCATCCTACTTACCCCCTTTGGATGTAGTCCAGATTGGCAAAATCCTTTGTAAATGCCCCTGACCAACCTTCTGCCAGCAGGCAAAAGCTTTTTTTTATTTAGACAAGGTTTTGGAAACTGATTCATTCATGAGGAAAGACCTTCTAATGGTGGGTGGGTGTTGTCATTCTTTCCATTATTATTTTTTAATTCAAAGCCTCGTGGCACAGTGGTTAAATTGCTGTACTGCAACTAAAACTGTGCTCATGACCTGGGGTTCAATCCTAGGTAGCTGGCTCAAGGTCGACTCAGCCTTCTATCCTTCCGAGGTCGGTAAAATGAGTACGCAGCTCGCGGGGGGGGGGGGGGGAAAATGTGGAGCCTGCATAATTAACTTGTAAACCGCCCAGAGAGTGCTTGAAGCACTATGGGGCAGTATATAAGCAGCATGCTTTGCTTTTTTTCCCCCATCTGCAAAAGTAATTATGGAAGAGAGCTGTATCAGCGAATTCCCCCATCTGCAAAAGCAATTATGGAAGAGAGCTGTATCAGCGAATATCCAAATCATTGTTGAGCATTGCATACAACGTACTATTCGGATGTCTTATTTGAACATCATTCATTCAGAAGCACAAACATACCTAGGAGGTGTTTGTATTATAGAGGTACTATACCATTGTTCCACATTACGGACATTTGGTTGAACTGAGCATCACTGTGACCATTTAGTGACTGACTGGGATGTTTCACGTGTTCATCCAGTGGAAACAAGAACTTGTTCATCACAAGTTTTGGGAATATGCTCAACTGGCTCCCACCTGTACACAGGTGTAGGCAGAATGGTCTAGGTCATTGTTTTCCATCTTTGGGTATCCAGATGTTCTTGGACTGAAACTCCCAAGAACTAGGCAGGCCAGGATTTCTGTGAATTGTAGTACAAAAACACCTGGGGACCGCAAAATTGGGAACCACTGTTCTAGATATTTGATGGCTTATTAGGCTGTGATGTTGAGTATCCATTTTGAAAGAGCTAATAGTAATTATTGTTTTACAGCCATTTGTAAAAGAAGTGGAGAAAAATGAAGAAGAAATAGACTTGTTGAAGCAGCTGCAGATCCCAAAGAGTGATTTGGATGAATGGCATCTAGAAACCCCGTGGCCTGTTCAGGATGCCTCTCACACAGAGGTGAGATGTACGGCTCTTCATTCTGAGTGCTGCCCCATCTGTACAAGATGTACACCTATATACAGTGGTGCCTCGAATAGCGATGTTAATGGGTTCCGCAAAAAACATCGCTATTGGATTTCTTCGCTATTCAAAACGCAGTTTCCCATTGAAATGCATTGAAAGCCGGCTAATCCGTTCCAATTGGAACGAATTGCCGTCGTTAATGGAAAATCTCCATAGGAAACCTCGCTATTCAAAACGTGGTTCCCCAATTGAAATGCATTGAAAGCCGGCTAATCCGTTCCAATTGGAACGAATTGCCGTCGTTAATGGAAAATCTCCATAGGAAACCTCGCTATTCAAAACGTGGTTCCCCAATTGAAATGCATTGAAAGCCGGCTAATCCGTTCCAATTGGAACGAATTGCCGTCGTTAATGGAAAATCTCCATAGGAAACCTCGCTATTCAAAACGTGGTTCCCCAATTGAAATGCATTGAAACCTATTCAATGCATCTCAGTGGGGGGAAAAAATCGCTATTCGATAATCGCCCATAGGAAAAATCACTATTCAAAGCGAAAAAATGCCCCGAAAACCACATCGCTATTCGTTTTTTTCGTTAATAGAACTGCTTGCTATTCGAGGCACCACTGTATTTAATTTAAATATATAGGATTAGATATTATTTCAATATAGGAAAATTGGGAATAGGAATATTAGGAGAACTGAGACTCTAAAAAGCCTAACCATAGAATCATAAAATAATTGAGTTGGAAGGGACCTATGAGACCATTGAGTCCAACCCCCTGCTCAATGCAGGAATCCAAATCAGAGCAGATCTGACAGATGGTTGTCCAATTTTCTCGTGAGTGCCTCTAGCATTGAAGCACTCACCACCTCCCAAGGTACATAGTTGGTTCCATTGTCGTATTGCTCTAACAGTTAAGAAGTTTTTCCTGATCTTCAGCCTAAATCGGGCTTCCCTTAACTTGAGCCCATTATTATGCATCCTGCACTCTGGAATGATGGAGAATAGATCCTGCCCTTCCTCTGTATATATCCTTATGAAAAATGCTACGTTATTGTTCCATAGGGGGAAGAGATGGATGAGATAAAACGACAAATAGCCCTGCTGTGCCAGAAGAAAGAAGACATCCTAACGACCATGAAGAATTCATTGATGGAGCTTCATCAGCGGGAAGAACAGCCTGAGCTGGAGGATGAAATTTTGGAATCAGAGGAATCTGAAGACAGTGGAGGGGATTTCGAGTGGCAGGTAGGAATGAGCAGATTGTGAGTTTTTCTTTGGTTCATGTTTCAAAGCTTGGAAATAACACAATAAAATCAATGCATTAATTTTACATGGTTAGGGTTTAGTGATCAATGCAAAAAAGGTTCTCAACATCTAATGTTTAAAGATAACATTTTTATATTTGTTGGGGTTTTGCTCATAAATAGTGTGAGTTGCATGCCCCTTTTTAGAGGTCCTACATCAGTCTACTGTGCTGCAGGATCAGAAGACCAGCAGTCGTAAGATCGAATCCACGTGACAGAGTGAGCTCCCGTCACTTGTCCCAGCTCCCGCCAACCTAGCGGTTTGAAAGCATGCAAATGCGAGTAGATAAATAGGGACCACTTCGGTGGGAAGGTAACAGCGTTCCGTGTCTAAGTCGCACTGGCCATGTGACCACAGAAGATTGTCTTTGGACGAAACGCTGGCTCTATGGCTTGGAAACGGGGATGAGCACTGCCCTCTAGAGTCAAACACGACTGGACAAAATTGTCAAGGGGAACCTTTACCTCTACCTTTACATTAGTCTACACTGCATTTTTACCAAAGGGAAAAGGATCTGTAGTTCCCTATAAAAACTAGATTTATGATATGGCCTTGTATGTATATTTGAACGGTAATATCCAGTAATCTTAGTTAGCACAACTAAGAGTCTATGGTATTTCTCTGGACTTTGGGGAGTGGCATTCTAATGGGAAAACTTGCTCTGTGAAGGGCCCCTTGGCTTTTCGCAGCACATTTCTTTAACACTTTTGCTGGGATTTGAATGTAACTAAAAAATAATATAGGGACATGGTGGCGTTGCGACGGAGTGAGCTCCCATCGCTTGTCCCAGCTCCTGCCAACCTGGCAGTTCGAAAGCATGCAAAATGCAAAATGGGGGTAGATAAATATGCACGACCTCGGTGGGAAGGTAACGGCATTCCGTGTATAGTCGTGTTGGCCACGCTGGCTCTATGGCTTGGAAACGGGGATGAACACCACCCCCTAGAGTCGGACATGACTGGACTAAATGTCAAGGGGAACCTTTACCATTTACATTTACCTTAAAAAATGTGGGACGTGGTGGCGCTGTGGGCTAAACCGCAGAAGCCTGTGCTGCAGGGTCAGAAGACCAAGCAGTCATAAGATCGAATCCACGCGACGGAGTGAGCTCCCGTAGATAAATAGGGACCACTTCGGTGGGAAGGTAACAGCGTTCCGTGTCTAAATCACACTGGCCATGTGACCACGGAAAGATTGTCTTCGGACAAATGCTGGCTCTATGGCTTGAAGAGCGGGATGAGCACCGCCCCCTAGAGTCGGACACAACTGGACAAAAATTGTCAAGGGGAACCTTTACCTTTACCTTTAAAAAATAATATAAGCAAGATAAACCAGAGGGCCAGAAAAATATGAGAGAATAAAAAAAGGTTTTCATTTGGTCTTTTTTTAGATAACGAGCAAAGAAATCCTCTCAATAAATGGTTATGTAGGATTTATGAGCCCCAAATGGAACATTGAACTTTAAGAGACACACTGCATAATTTTTTACTGCTACAAATAACTGAGCTATATTTCTCTATACGTTTTGTAGGTGAGAAGGCAAGGGTCAATGTCTCTTCTGCCTTCCTTGGTTGAAGAAGCTGAAGACAGTTTGTTCCAAAATCAAGTAAGTATAACGCAGTTTATGGGGACTAAGATCATAAGATTGAATGTACTGTGAAATTGCCAGTGACAAATTCTTCACAGTAGGTATGGGCATTGTGAGAGTTATGGCATGTGCCGAATTGTATTGAATAACTTTGGGGATAAGTAGCACAGATCCTACTAAACGTCTGCCTGTAAAGTGGATTTTAATTCCCACTTTCTTATAAACCTGTCGTATCAGCTGCCAAGCTGAAGATGGGGAATGAGGGGAGGAATCCGTAGCAGCTGATTAGGGGTTTGATACCTAGGGAACAAGGTGGCAAAAGTGGGGAAGAAAAGATGGGAAAGGAACATTTAAAAGGTTTGGGGGTTTTTAGGGGGGGAATATTGCATAAACCAGCCTTCAACACAGCCTTAATCCCATTATTCTGCCAAAGAAAAGTGAGATGCAGGTAATCTGAGCTTCAGTACACGTCTGATACAATTTCTAGGTGTCATTTCTACATAGAAAACTATGTACACCTCTCGAGTTCCTGAATAAGATTTCCATGCAAGAAATCACACACAATCTTCCTGGCACTTAATGTCCATGTCACTGTTAGTACATCGGGTGGAAAACTCCTACTAGTGTAGAATTCCCTTAGTGGGGCTTTGTAGTAATTTTAGCTTCTTGATAAAACTGGACTGTTCAAAGAGACAAATGATGCCCAGAATCCTGCTGATGTCCATTTGAGGTCAGCATAACTTTCTTCAACTACTTGTAGCTATTTGTTCAGCTGTTAGGGGGTGTTTCAACAGGGATGTGGTGGCGCTGTGGGTTAAACCGCAGAACCCTCTGAGCTGCAAGGTCAGAAGACCAGCAGTCGTAAGATCGAATCCACGTGACGGAGTGAGCTCCCGTCGCTTGTCCTAGCTCCTGCCAACCGAGCAGTTCAAAAGCATGCAAATGCAAGTAGATAAATAGGTACCACCTCGGTGGGAAGGTAAAGGCATTCCGTGTCTAGTTGCGCTGGCCACGTGACCATGGAAACTGTCTATGGACAAACGCCGGCTCTACAGCTTGGAGACTGGGATGAGCACCACGCCCTAGAGTCAGACAAGACTGGACTAAATGTCAAGGGGAACATTTACCTTTACCTAGGGGGCATTTCAGTTGCACCAGCGAGCAGGTGACCTGGCATACAATTGAGACATGACCAAGAACTTCATCAGTTAGCTGGACTTGGCCACAACAGGTTATGCAAACCTTTTGCAGATTCAGTAGGATTCTAGCCGAAGTCATTTGGACACTCAGAAGTCCTGAGCTGCAAGCCTTAAAGCACAGGTCACAAAATGTGTCCCAGTGACCACCTTCTGCCACCGGGGGGGATTTTGGTGACCTTCTCTGGCCATTCCAGAACCCTTAGATGATGATGTTATGCTGCCTTGCTTCCTATTCCAGAGAAAGGCAGGGTATAAATCATTTAAATGAGAAGAAACGAAAATGAAATACTAACACTCACAACATTGTGAGTTCATGCGCAATATTATTATTATTATCATTTCTCCCAAAGTGGGCTGCAGCTCACAAATAAAACAGTGCCGTCAGGCAGTTTTCCCAAGGCCAAACAGGATGGCTCTTTGGAGGCACAGCAGGGAATCGAACTCCCAACCACTGGATCCACAGCCAGAATGCTAACTCACTGAGCTATCCAGCGAGCAAAATTCACAAAAGCTTGCCTCAAATAAAACTTGCTACTGTTTAAGGTGCCACAAGATTGTTTGTCAGAACTGGAAGGGTTGCATTTACTTACAAGGGCTGTATTTCTTCTTATTTATAACAAGAAGAGACATCACTGAAGGAATATTTTTCTTTGCCTCCTCTTCGCTTTACAGGAGATGGGTGGTGGTGAACCAGAGGCTGTGCAGGATACAACTGACTCTCACAGCCCTTGCTTGTTAATCCAGAATGCAGAAAGTGATGAGGTACTATCTCTCAGCAGGAAGAGTGGGGTAGGTGAACTAATTATTAAAATGATCACATTGCTACTACTGCCTTGTTTAAAATGTTGTGGTCAGATTACTTACGCTTAGAGGATCCCAATGAAAGGAAAGTAATGCATGTTACATTGCATTATTTACCAGGTGAGGTGGGTTGTATTGTGCGCTGCTCATGGAACTGAAGAATTAAAGCTCTACAGTGGTACCTCGACTTACAAACGTCTCCAGTTGCGAACATTTCGAGTTACGAACGGCTCCGTTTGCAAAATATTGCTTCGACTTGCGAACGGAGCCTTGACGTACAAACGAAGAAAAAAAACCCACATATTTCCTGCCCTTTTTTTTTGACCTAAGTTCATCTTAGGTCAAAAGAAGAAAAAAATCTAAAAAAATTCTCCCCCTAGTGGTAGAGTACAGATTAACCAGCTTTGCATTTGTTCCTAAGGGAACGAATGCCTCTACCTGCGAACAGCACCTCGACATATGAACGGAAAGCAGCTGAAATGGATTAAATGGTTTTCAATGCATTCCTATGGAAAGTTTTGCCTCGACTTACGAACTTTTCAACGTACGAACGCCGTTCCAATACGGATTAAGTCCGTAAATTGAGGTACCAGTGTATTTCCCAAGCTGGTGTACTCCAGATATGTTGGACTACAGTTTCCATCATCCCCAGTTAGCATCAGTTCATTCATTCATTCATTCTTAAATTCAAACAGGCACTCACAGCATTTTTATTTATATTTTTAGCTGCCCAATCACTATGGCACCGATATAAACCATGGGAATGATAGCCTGGCATATCTGAAAGGGGAAAGTTTGAGGAAAGTTGAATGAGACAGAGCCTGTGCAACAGTGATGTGTAGACAGTGAGGAACCTTAGGTGCAGGAGTCAGGACTCAATCCAGTCTTATAAGGCCATCGAATCCAATCCCTGCTCTAAGCAGGAATAAATCAAAGGATATCTGCCAGGTGGCTGTCTAAATGTCTCTTGAATGCCTCCAGTGTTGAAGCACCCAAGGATATTGGTTTCATTGTCATACTGCTCTAACAGTTAGGAAGTTTTTCCTTATATTCAACCTACCTTTGGCTTCCTGTAGCTTGAGCCCATTGTTGTATGTCCTTCCTGGAGTTGCTTTGTTGGTTATAGTTTCTATCCCACAATTCCATTGTTTCATGGTTTCTCAGGTTTTGTACAGATTTTTCCCCATTTGAAAAGGGTTGAAATGTCCCACTGAAAGTTTTGTTTCTGGCAGTAAGAGATTTATGATAAAATGTGCTGGTCCTTTTGACCATACCCCTCCCACCACTGGAATGAAGCTCCTCCCCCAAAAAGTTTATGAAACTGAATTTCATCCTTGGTGTTCATATTAGAGCACAGAACCTTACATTTTAAAAGTAAATTAGACCTTTTTTTCTCATCACAGTATTTATTTATTTTTATTTATTTATTTATTGAGCTTATATGCCGCCCATTTAGACATAGTCTACTCTAGGCGGCTCACAAAACACGTAATAAAAATAGTTAATATAAAATAACAGATGCCAACATTAATGCAAAAACAGAATAGATAAAAATAAAGAAAGAGAATTACGTAGTGACCGGGGGGAAGGCCTGTCTATATAACTAGGTCTTGAGTTGGGTTTTGAAAATGCCTAGCGAGGGGGCCAGACGAATCTCGGGGAGCGTGTTCCAGAGAAGGCCCGGTGCCTTGTTTTTTCCTCGGCGTTAGGCTCCTCAGTCGCCCCTCTTGGCTAGATCGGGTGATACAAGTATATTAAGAATGACTCATCCCCATTACTCATTATAGTGCTGAAAAAAGTAATTTCCTATCTGTTGCGCTGCTTGCTACTTTTTTTGTTATCTTATTTGTGGCTGTAGGAATGAAAGAATGTAGGGTTGGTAAGAGAGTGGCATAAAAAGCCATGAAAAAGCTCTGGTGAAGTGCTTCTAAATATGCCTTCAAAAATATCTAAAAAATGTTACTCATTATACCAGCAAAGTAACTTTATTTTTGTTTGTTACACAAATTTGAAATGCAGCTTTGATATTGTGTAAGAAACTACTTATAGATAACCGTATCATTTGTAACTTGTCACTTCCAAGTTCTGGCTTGTAAACATACAGAGTCTTGCAGGTTGAATCTCCAACATCTCTAGCAACTACTGGGAAAGACCCCTATCTTAAGACCTCTGGAAAGTTGTAGACCAGATCTTAGAGCAGTTACTTTTTGGGGGACTGTCACTTAAGAATTCTCCAGCCAACCGACATGACCATTAATCATGGTGGCTGGATGGGGTATGTGTGTGTGTTCTGTAAGTTGGAGTCCAAAAAGTAATCTGTTATTTCTGAATTCGACAATCCTTCTCCACCTTGTTGCCCTCTGGAGGTAATTGGGCTCCGTGGGCGTTCTTGTCTACCAGGTAGGAGGGTGCCCAGTTGGGGAAGGCAATAGGACAGCTCTTGAATCGGTCTAGCTATATCACACAAGAAGATCTTTTGCCACTTTCCTGAGCAATGTATGGACCGAAAGCTGGAGAAGTGGCTATCTGGATTCACTATATAGCTTCATTCTGTAATAACTCCAAGGCCCCTTTTTTGGGTCAGTTTCCACATGTGACATCGAATATATATCCATTTTAAATTCATTAGATGGTTAGATAAATAGGGCTGCTGAAAAGAACCAGAAGAGAGAGAGAGAGAGAGAGAGAGCATAATAGCAAACTAAATTCTCCTGCTGTATCATCATCTTAGAATGGCAGAGCTAGAATGGACCCTCTGGATCATTAAGTCCAGCCCATGTCAAGGAGGCAAAGTGGGGAATCGAACTTCCAACCTCCAGCTCCACAGCCAGAAACTTAAACCACTGAGCTATCCAGCAGTTCTTTAAGTAGCTATCATGGAACTACCTGTACGTCTACAGTAAGCCAGAGCCAACAACTGTCAGGGATGACGGTTCAAACAGGGAACACAAAAAAACCAATAAGCCAATTAGTGCAATTAGAACTAACTAGTAAACCACGACTTTGAGTTTGCAAGACCTGCACAAGGCTGTAAGATTTTGATTGCTTTTTTAACTTGTAGTCTAAATTTTAGCCTAAATTCTGACCAACCCACAAACCGAGATATAGCAAATAAATATTTTGCAGTGACCTGCAGGGTGCAGTTTTCAAATGTAATACCTGGAATCCAAAGTACCAGAAAAACGCCTCTGTGTGTCGCTCGGGGAAAAGCCATGGAATGAACTCTCTGACTCAGCCGACTTCCTGTGTGCTCAGGACTTACCTGGGTAAACGCAGATCGGCTACTAAGAAACCTGTTGCACTCGGTCACGTGCCTGGGGCCGTTGGACTTACTTTTCCTTTCTTTTCCTCGCTTGCTAATCCACCCACTAAGAAGACAGTCTTGCTGCTTTTTCAGTTACCTGTTCTTGTGGATCATAGATCACCTAGTAAATTTTTTTCTTCTTTCTCTCAGGGCAAACCGTCCACTGGAGGCACAAACACTGCAGACTATTTAGGGAGTATACCAGGAGAATCCAAAGAAGCGGCAGACGTTGGCAGGCCTGACTCTGAGCCTGCTCAGGTCCTGCATGTGTGCCAGGCACAAATTGCTGAGCTGGAGCAGTGGCTAGATCGGGCCAAGGAGTCCCTGGGGTCAGAAGCCCAGACTCGCCAAATGCAACAGACAGTGGAACAGCACCTCGTGGCCTGCCAGGTAAGCTGAACTGGCCAAAATTCACAACCGTCATTATTTCACAAATCAGTCCCTTTTCCTCACTCTTTTTTGTACATCTGCATAAAACATCTTCTGGGATTGCTGCTGTTGCTGCTGATTCTCCTTTACAACACTGCTGCAGTGAGCAGGCAATAGTAACCTAAATTTAATATCAGGTCCATAGGAGATAAAGGTTGTTTCCCCCACGCTCTTGATTTGGCTCTCATCTGCTAAACCCAGCTGGCTGCTGAAAGTTACTTATTTTCTTTATTTATTAATTAGTAATTTTCTTTATTTATTAATTAATAATTACTAATCACTTTTCTGCCCAGGGTTCCCAAAATAATGTGTAATAAGATAGAGAAAATCATTCCTTAAACCATTTAAAAAAACAGTTTCCAAAAAAAAAAGACCATAGAGTATATAGTTTGGACAACAGATACTTTGCTTGATTTTAGAGGTGCCACCACAGAGAAAGCCCTGCCTTCAGCACCCACCGAAGTTACTCTGCCTTTTCAGGCAGAGCTGTAAGTAGCAGTGCTGGCGTCTGCATCAAGCAGAGCTGTCTCCCACCAATCCCGTTCCTTTGTTGTCTTGCAAAAAAGTCATCTTGCGAAATGCATTTTCCCATAGGAATGCATTGAAATCTAATTAATGCGTTCCCATGGGCAAAAAAAGTCAGAACAAAGTCAAATTTGATTTACAAAGGGTTTATTAAGTGCTCTTTAAAGCCATACATATTGTGCAGATGATTTTAAATTTTTCAATAAAAAAACTTTAACTTTTTAAACATCATAGAAAAACATTTAAAAACCAGCAAACATGAGGCAGGAACAAAAAAAGAATGGAAAATATTTATTTTGCGAAGCATGGCCATAGGAACATTTGTCTTGCGAGTCATCAACCCCAGTGCCAAAACCATTTGTCTTGCGAGTCTTTTGTCCTGCGAGGCATTTGTCTTGCGAGGCACCACTGTATCAGGGGATTCCTACCAATGCTCCTCAGACAGAAGAAGCTACTTGGATGACAGCAAAACATTTGAACCTAACAAAAGTCAACTCAATGTCCAGAGTGTTAGATCATGCAATCTATCCCTTGGTCAGTGCAGAATTTACAAGATCCCTGATAGATGGCAATCTGGCCTCTACTCAAATATCTGGTGATGAAGAGCCCACCACCTCTTGAGGGAGACAGGCCCACAGTCAAACTGGTTTTCTTAGGATTTCCTAATGTTTAACCTAAAACTGTTTGCCTATAATTTCTGCTCATAACTTCTACTCCTACCCTCCTAAGAACAAATCTGTTTTCTCTTCTACATGTTTTCTTTCAGATATCGGCTGGGCTCGTGTGATTTGCCTTCTGTTCTCAGAATTGTAACTAACTCTTATCATTCCTTGTTTGATTTCCTGATCCCTTAACTAATCCGGTTGCAGGCCTACAGCACATACTCTGGTTCATCAACGCCTTTCTTAAAATGTGTCACCACCCTCCACCTGTTACCATGGCCACAGAGCTTCCTCCCTTCCTTCCTCTACCGATCCTCCACCCTACCTTTTTTTTCTAGCACCTCCCATAATGTCAATATTTACATTGGAAGCTTCTCAGGACAGGGATTGGGTTACATTACTATGTATGGTGTAGTATACATCGATAAACTCTTATGTACATTGATAACGTTTTGTATACATTGACTGGGCTGGCCCGTTAGAGTGAAAATCTGAAACTTAACAGCAGTCTCAAGCAAAAAAAAAAAAAAAAAAAAGCTTTTCCTCGGGCAAATATTTATTTAATTAATTATTTGTTACATTTTTACTCCTATCTTTCCTTCAGCGAGCTTGAGGGCATCACCTGTGGCTCTCCTGTCCCCCTGTTTACCCACATTATCACCCTGTGTGATAGACTAAACCAAGAGACAATGATTAGTCCACTCCGCCTAGAGTGGTCTTAATTGACTAGATAGGCGGGATATAAATAAAAGAAATACTAAATAATAATAATTCTTAGTGAGTTTTGTGACTCAGTGACCACTTGAACCCAGATCTCTGAGGTCCTTGTTCTGTGCTTTCTGGCTTGCAGAAGAGCTGTCCTGAAACTTGACCAAAGGTCTAACTCGTCTGGGACAGAAGGAACAGCCAATGATGGATAGAGCTAGGGGCAAAAGTAGATAATATCTCTCTCTCTCACACACTCCGATTTGTTCCTTTTCTGTCTCACAAAACAGACAGGCAGGTAAACTCACACAAGCACCCACAGAAGCAAGCAAGCAAGTCACCAGTTACGTATATTCTACTGGTAAGGAGGCAGGCAGGAATTAGGGTGGTAGCAGACATTTGTAGGCAGTTCAGAACTGGAAATCGTTGCCAATAAAATGCAGATCATCCAATGATCTGCCAGCGACCTTGATCTACTTTCTGCGTACTTATGCTCTAAAAATTATGGAGATCATCAAACTCACACACATAATGTGCAACATAAAAATCGATGGGGTTGCCTGCTTCTCATCCTTGGCCTCTTAACAGCCAGCTATGTCTAGTGATTTGTCCAACGTTTCCTATCACTAAAAACAGATGAAAAGGGGTAAAAATAGGTTGATCCTCCGGTTTCCAACCTCTGTCCCTACCTACGGCCTCTTTGGTAAACAGGCTTTGAGGCCATGAAGAAATGAATGATTAACTGCTTGACTTCCCCAGGTAATGCTGTCAGAGATTGAACAGAAAGTGGCCCGTCTATTGGAGGATTGCAAAGGCAGGCCTGCCAGCAACCGCCCAGGCTTCCAGCAAGAAGCCGAGAACCTTTCCCAGAAACTTAAAGATGTGAAGGGCAACCTGGAAAGGGTCCAGGCCATGCTCCAGGACAAGCATGTGGAGGAACAGGTAAAACAGAGCCATGGCAAAGCTTCTAAGCTTCTCTGAGAGCCTTTGTAGAAAGTGGATGCACATTAATTGTGTCCTGTGTTTGTTGTGTAAAAGTCAGAGATGGAAACAAATGAATTGGGATGCTAGCACTTTGCCCTCAGGCCTGATGCTTGGGGCTCTATAGCTGCCTGCCTTGAGGTGCCTGTACGGGGTCTGTTGTGCTCTACAGGTATCTTATAGACCAGAGGTCTTGAAGCCCTGGTCCGCGGCCCAGTGCCGGTCTGTGGCCTGAGTCAGGCCAGGCTGTGGAGACAGACCTCCCCCCCCCACATGCACTCCCCCTGCACAGCCGGTTTGCTCCTGCTCCCACGTGAGTGCCCCCACCCCTTCGTGAATGTGCACGAGCGCCACCCTTTCTGCATGCGCACAAGCATGTATGCACCCCTGTCCTTTGTGCACAAGTGCACATGCATGTGTGCGAGAGCACATGTGTGCTCCTTCACGCATGCGCATGAGCGCAGGGCGCCCCGCCTTCCTCAGCTGGTCCGAGGGGCTAAAAAGGTTGGGGACTGCTCTTATAGACTACAGGGCGGTGGTTGTGTGGCTGGTAACTTTTTCATAGTAAGAACAATAATTCACAAAAAAAACGTAGTGGCAAACTTCTTAATGAAGAGATCAAAAGTGTTTTGGAAGTTCTTGAAGCCAATAGATAAAGAGATACTGTCTGTACATATAGGCGGGCATATTTGAGGGGAGGGGTGGATAAATAACTAGCATAGACTAGCCATGAAACTGGAATATTTCTACATTGTCTGCAAAGGGTAGAACTCATAATCAGTTTTAAATCCTATGAAGTTGATACCAACGTATGGTGCCCCTCCCAAGGTTTTCTAGTATAGAGTACTCAGAAGTGGTTTGCCATTCCCTTCCTTTGGTGGTACTCTCGGACTGCCCAAGGCTGCACAAATGGTTGACACAAATAACCTCATCAGCTACCAAGGAGAATGTGGGGATTTGAGTGCCCAGCTTACTGAGCTGTTAACAGTTGACGGCGAATGCCCACAAGGCTACTATGGTGGGTTACAGGGCGCTCCCTGGATTGAGTGCAGGACACACAACAGTGGGCTGAAGTTACAGGAAGCCAGATTTTGGTTGAATATCAGGAGAAACTTCCTAACTGTTAGAGCAGTACAACAGTGGAACCAGTTACCCCAAGAAGTGGTGAGTGCTCCAACACTGGAGGCGTTCAAGAGAAATTTAGACAACCACCTGTCAGATCTGCTTTGACATGGATTCCTATACTGAGAAGGGTGTTGGACTCAGTGGCCTCGTAGGCCCTTCCCAACATCATGATTCTGTGATTCTGTTCTGTAATTCTGTGAATACTGCAAGCATTCATAGAATCGTTGAATACTAAATGCCTCCTTTGTCTTTTACAGCTGATCCCTGAGGAGAAGATATTTGAGAAACTCCCACAACCTCTTTATTTTGACCTCTCAGGCATACTTCCACGTCTAACCTCCGGCAGGCCTCTGCTCAACAGGCCCAACAGTTCGCAGCATCAGCAGGTAATTTCTCTCGTTGCCCCTTCGTCACATGGCAGGAGGATTCGGCTGGTTATTTTTCTGCAAACAAGGGTGAGATGATATGAAAGGGAAGACTTTTTTTTGGAAAAGGTTTGAAAGATCAGTCAAAGTTCCTCTAGTGCAGTGGTTCCCATCGTTGGGTCCCCAGATGTTCTTGGACTAAAACTCCCAGAAGCCTTCACCACTAGGTGTGCTGGCCAGAATTTCTGGGGACCCAAAGTTGGGAATAACTGCTTTTGTGAGTAATCTTTCTCAGAGATGGGATAAACTATTTTTCTTGAACAATGCATTCTGAAATATCCCATCCATTCAAAGTGCTGATTTTAACCCATAACGCCCTAAATGGCCTGGTCCAAACTGTCTCAAAGACTGTGTCCCTCAGTATGAGCCAACTCGGATGTTAAGACCATCAGGGGAGGTCTTTCTCTCGGTTTCACTGCCCTCACAGGTGGGTTTGGTGGGGACACATGGGAGAGGGGCCTTCTCTGTGGCTGCTCCCAGACTCTGGAACTCCCTCCCACAGGAGGCCAGCCCAGCCCCTCTTTGCTGTCCTTCCGCAAGCAGGCAAATACCTTCCTCTTCAGAAAGGCTTTCTCTCAGTGAATGGATGCCTGACTGGCTACATGAGTGACTTTTAGATGGATTGCTATGCATTACTGACTGGGACTTTAGTATTACTTATGTTTACCATTGCTCTGAGTTGTATTTGTTTGTTCCATTTTTCTATTTGTATACTTATTGTTTTAGCTTTAATATTGGGATTCATCCAGCCTTGTCATACTTCCTTTCCCAATTTTGAACCAATCAGTTGTTCCATATCCAGTTCTAACTGTTGCTTCCTGGCCCACATATAGGTTTCTCAGGAGATAGATAAGATGGTATGGAAGGGATTGTCACTCTCGAATTGGCCTTCTCAGCCACACTAGACGCTGTTCCAAGTCATCCATACAGAGCACGTTACCATAGTCTTTCGAGACTGAAGGAAGCCTAACTAAGATTAGATGGTCAGGCACTCCCATTTCTTTAAGGACTTGCCATAGTTTGCTGTGGTCCACACAGTCAAAGGCTTTTGCATTGTCAATGAAGCAGAAGTAGATGTTATTCTGGAACTCTCTGGCTTTGTCCATCAAATCAGTTCTGATTTTATGACAACCCTCCCAGTGTTTTCCAATTGTAAGAAGTAGTTTATCAGCTCCTCCTTCTGGTGATACCCTGGGACCATGTAGCTTGCCAAAGGCTGCATGGATGGCAAGTTATGTCAGCCTATTAGCCATACTGTCCCAGAGTTTGACTGGCTGCTCTTCCAGGAGGAACAGTGCCGATTCGAACCCACAACCCCTTAGCTACGCACTCCGGCCCACTAAACCAGTTCACGTCCAGCCTTGATCCCTGCTGATATAATGGGGTGATGCTTCTTCTGGTGAACTCCTGCTTCTTACATATTGGTGTCGTTCTGCTCTTGTTCCTCACTTGCAGGAGCTGCTGTTCAAGCTCTCTGAACAGAGCAATTTCATTGATTTCATTGAAATGTACATGGAGGAGATGGAGCCACAGGACGGGGACAGTGCAGTTTCAGAATTACAAGCAAGGTACAAAGAAACAGCACATTTCCAAAGCATGGTTGTAAATAAATGACAACAAACTTCTGGGTTTTTTTGGGTGGTGGTGGTTAATTTTTAAAAAAGCAATCATTGTGGTAGTGGTGCATGAGAGGCAATAAGACATCCTGTCCTCTTGTTTTGTTCTTCATTGCATTCATCACAAAATTTATGCATGAATACATAGAATTTTATGCTGCAACTGTGCCTTTTTTGCATAAAACATAGAAAAAGGGGATGCCCCCATGTTATTTTCTTCTGATTAGTCAGGCTTACCTCCATATAAATATATATGGGATCAAATTCTTCAGTGCAGTTAGAGCTTCGATTTCAGATACATCCTCTCCAAGTGAGTTGATTAAACTGGACCGTGTTGCAATCAATTTCACTGTCTCATTTTGACTTTTTCCTTCTTTTCTTACCCAATAATGGCCGTGTGATGTTAAATTCAGTAGTGAGACGCCAGTCCCAGGAAAAGAGCCCGTTGGTCTAACTCTGAAGGATCAGACAGGGGACAAGTGGCAATATTTGCAAGAAGAGCTGATGATCAAGAAGAATCCACCTCACTTTCAGTTGGCTAAACCCCAGGTTGGTACAGCATGCTTTCCTTTTGGAACACCTCACTCCAGAGGGCAAAGGACTGCAAAGAAAAGATTGAAGCCTCAGCCTCAGGTTGGTACAGCATGCTTTCCTTTTGGCGGAGCGGAACACCTCACTCCAGAGGGCAAGGACTGCAAAGAAAAGATTGAAGCCTCAGGAGACCTGAAGAGACCATGGCTACCTCAGGCCCTGGAATGGGGTGCGGCCCCATAGGGTTGCACCCTTTCCCCCATGACACATCAGACCCATGTGGGTTCTGTTTTCATATACAGTTTTCTCTGTTCCATAAAGGTGTATTGCCTCTCCTAAGTCCTTAGTTGCTTTAAGGTGAAATGGGCTGGTGCTTTAAAAACAAAACAAAAAACTCCTCACTTTCACTTTTCCTGAACTTGAATTCAAATGTCTGGTCTGAGAGGCGTCCCCACCTTTGATAAAAGCCATGGTGCAGCTGTGATGTAGACAATGGTGCCTCGCAAGACGGGCGCTGCATTTAACGACGAATCCGCATTACAACGAGGTTTTTATGATCGCAAAAGCGATTGCAAAACGACGTTTTGAATGGGGGAATTTCGCTGCGCGATGATTGGTTCCCTGTTTTGGGAACCGATTTTCGCTTCCCGACGATCAAAACAGCTGATCGTCGGGTTTTCAAAATGGCCACTGGGTGTTCAAAATGGCTCTCCGCTGTGTTTAGGAGCCATTTTTCGCTGCACAGGCACCCGAAAATGGCCGCCCCTATGGAGGATCTTCGCTGGACGGGGAGTTCTTAGCAGATTGGAACGCATTAACCAGGTTTTAATGCGTTTCAGTGGCTTTTTAATTTTCGCTTTATGACGTTTTCGTTCTACAGTGATTTCGCTGGAACGAATTAACATCGTAATGCAAGGCACCACTATATGCCACTGGTAATACAGTGGTGCCTCGCGAGACAAGTGCTCCGTTTAATGACGAATCCGCATTACGATGAGGTTTTTGCCATCGCAAAAGCGATTGCAAAACAAGGTTTTGAATGGGGGAATTTCGCTGCGCGATAATCGGTTCCCTGTTTCGGGAACCAATTTTCGCTTCCCGACGATCAAAACAGCTGATCGTCGGGTTTTCAAAATGGCCACTGGGTGTTCAAAATGGCTCTCCGCTGTGTTTAGGAGCCATTTTTCGCTGCACAGGCACCCGAAAATGGCCACCCCTATGGAGGATCGTTGCTCGACTGTGAGTTCTTAGCCGATTGGAACGTATTAACCAGGTTTTAATGCGCTTCAATTGCTTTTTTATTTTCGCTTTACGACGTTTTCGTTCTACAGTGATTTCGCTGGAACGAATTAACATCGTAATGCAAGGCACCACTATATGCCACTGGTAATACAGTGGTGCCTCGCGAGACAAGTGCTCCGTTTAATGACGAATCCGCATTACGATGAGGTTTTTGCCATCGCAAAAGCGATTGCAAAACAAGGTTTTGAATGGGGGAATTTCGCTGCGCGATGATTGGTTCCCTGTTTTGGGAACCGATTTTCGCTTCCCGACGATCAAAACAGCTGATCGTCGGGTTTTCAAAATGGCCACTGGGTGTTCAAAATGGCTCTCCGCTGTGTTTAGGAGCCATTTTTCGCTGCACAGGCACCCGAAAATGGCCACCCCTATGGAGGATCGTTGCTCGACTGTGAGTTCTTAGCCGATTGGAACGTATTAACCAGGTTTTAATGCGCTTCAATTGCTTTTTTATTTTCGCTTTACGACGTTTTCGTTCTACAGTGATTTCGCTGGAACGAATTAACGTCGTAATGTGAGGCACCACTGTAATCTATCTGCCGTGATGCTTTCTGATCTTTTAAAAACTTCCTGGCTCTGATCTGTAGGTAGTAGTCTTCTGAAGTTGGCCACTGGTGTTATCTCCATTTTGCAGGCTGAGGTCAAAGGAGACTAGATTCAGGGTATCAGTAAACTGGTTTAGCCCCATGGAGTTGAGGTTCCCCTTTTCTGAGTGGAATACTTGGTTTCAGGCCATTCATGTTAGCCAAGATTTGAATTTGGGTCTCCTCAACTCTCCCCCCCTCCATGTAGTTTGGATTCCCATAAACTCCCGTCAACATGGCCCGTGTTCAGGAGCCATGGGGTATATCTTTGCAAGAGACATTCATACATTTTACCTTCCTGCTTTTGAGACCTGAACATTTTGATTAAACTGAAAGTATAACTGATTCTAATTTCATTATTTTTTTTTCTTCATGAGTTGTTATCTCACTTGCTTTGGGTTTTTTTGTTTATTTGTTTGTTTGCTTGCTTCAATAATTAATTAATATTTATTCATACTTCTTTGAGAAGTATTTTGTAGTAAACCACGCTGTGAAAACAACAAGAGTCTTGTGGTACCTTAAAGACAATAATATTTTATTTGGCAGGACATCTTTGCAACTTCCTCAGATGCATCATTATAAAAGCAGAATAGTAGCTATGTAGGGGAACATCTCAGTGGCCACCAAGTGCCACATTCTGTCCAACTGACTGAAGTTACTTCCTGTTGGCCGTTTGGTTGATGCTGACGGGAAGGAACGGAAAAGTACCACAGCCTGACATTTTGCCTTCAGGCTTGGAGTGTAGCGTCGCTTGCTAGGCAACACCAAGTATTTGAGAGGGGATTACCAAAAGACGTGGTGGCGCTGCGGGCTAAACCGCAGAAGTCTCTGTGCTGCAAGGTCAGAAGACCAAGCAGTCGTAAGATCGAATCCACGCGACGGAGTGAGCGCCCGTCGCTTGTCCCAGCTACCGCCAACCTAGCAGTTTGAAAGCATGCAAATGTAAGTAGATAAATAGGGACCACCTCGGTGGGAAGGTCACAGCGTTCCGTGTCTAAGTCGCACTGGCCATGTGACCATGGAAGATTGTCTTCGGACAAAAACGCTGGCTCTATGGCTTGGAAATGGGGATGAGCACCGCCCCCTAGAGTCAAACACGACTGGACAAAAAATTGTCAAGGGGAACCTTTACCTTTACCTACCAAATGGGGAGTGTTCTTAGAGTGTAGTTCAAACAAGGTAATTTTACCTAGCTAACGGACAGTGTTTCTGTTGTCTTCTTCTGTGCTTCTAATGCAAGGAGCAATACCCCTGAACAAGTCCATTCCTGTAGCCGAATGTACATGTGTTCCATTTGTGTGTAGCAAAAAATAAAAAATCTTGTGGATGCAAGAGGTGCCAGACTTTAGAGTTGTCAGCTTATTTCAAGCCAGCTGCTAAGAACAGAACCTGCTGCTTCCAGACCATAATCACGATCTCATTGGTCTAAGTAGTAGTCACTATTGCGTTTTTGAAAAGGTCCTTATGTATCATCACTGTGAATTTAATCTACAGTATTTGTCTAAATGCATTTTGCTTTTCCAAATGTTAGATCGCTACCAAAATAAATATTCTGCCCAAAGGCGGTGCATTAAGTGTGAGCACTCCAGCTGTTGAAGAGCTGAAAACGTACACTGCACAGCTTGAGAATCTAAGCCAAGAAGCCTCTGCTCAGATACAGGTATTAAATGCCATTTCCTCCCCCTCCTCGAGTTACATAAGTGACCTACATGAGTGGTGGACAAGATGCTGCCACGGCAGGGGGAAACATCTGGAACCCCCACAATCACAGGAACGCACATGCAAAATTCCTGTCAGTTTGGAGCAGTGCTCAGCGCTGTGCCGCTCCACGTGAGCTCTGGAAACTGGCTGTGTTCTGCATATAGATATCCAAAGGGTCATTCAACACAGGAAATGTAGAAAAGTTCTTCGCATTCTTGCTCTGTTAGAGCCATGAAATGCTGTCTTCCTCTAAATTAGCTCACCCTAGAGACCTTATTCTTACACTTCGATGTCTCTTGCAGGGGCCATTTGTAATATGTATCTCTTTTCTAACTTCTGTTCATAAACACAAATTTCATGGATTTGGACAAATGTCTCTTGCAGGGGCCATTTGTAATACAGTATGTATCTCTTTTCTAACTTCTGCTCATAAACACAAATTTCATGGATTTGGACAGTTGAAATTGTATCACACAGGTGGCTGCAAAGACCTTAGTGCTTGTTGGCTGAGTTGGTGTAATGCCACGGAATCTTCATAAGCATTCCGACTGCTCAGGGCATAAAGCCATTGCATGCCTTCAAATAAACTCTTTATGCTAAACCCCTAGTTTGGCTGTTATTAAAGTCTCCGTAGAACTGGCTGAAGGAGGTGGGTGAAAAGGAGGCACCATTCCTTGACATATCCAGGCAAGGCAAAGAAGGACTCCTGCCTAAAACTGTGGAAGCTCCCTACAAGTCAGTATATACAATCTAGATCTCAACCTTGTGTCCCCAGATGTTTTTGGACTACGGTGCCCAGGAATCCTTGTTAGCACAGGTAGTGTTGAACGCTTATGGGAGTTTTAATCCAGAAACATCTGGAGACCCAAGATTGGGAACCATTGATCTAGATGGTCTACCTCCATTTAAGGCAGCTACCTGTGTTCCTAATGAATAATAATCAAGGTCCAAGTCTTCATTCACTAATCTGCAGAAGTATGAAGTGAGGACTCAAATAGTTCCAGCTTAAATATTTTTCCCCACCTGTTTATATGGTGCACTGGTTTTTATGATACTTCCATATAATTGGCATGACCTTTAGAAGTAACTCGAAACAATCTCTCTCTATCTTCTAGGAAAATGTAACAGGGGATGTTTCATTGAATTTGGATCAGAAACTCTTTGAGCTCTTTCTGGCCATCAGCCGCTGTCTAAACAACATGGAACAGATGTTAAGTACCTGTGTGCTCACTAACGAAGAAGCTCGCACACAACAGCTGCTTTTTGAGGTAGATACAGTGGCTCATGTCTAGCTGTGCATTTCTACCTGTATGCATGAAAGCAAAGCACATCAGGTGGTCGCTGAAAATGCCATGTTTACTTCGAGAGAGAGAGAAAGAGAAAACTATGTTTGTAGCCCTAACGGGAAAAATGGGAGAGCAGCTAGGGAGCCAAAGCTGGGTATTCCTGGACCTACGTCACCATACTACTTTGTGGTTAAGTAGTTCTTAACCTTTGCTTTTTCAGACAAGTTGAGTTTCCTAACCCCTTGCCCATGTCATTTGCAGCTTCTAGCAGTAGAAACCCCAGAGTAGAGGACACATAATAATGGGCTCAAACTACAGAAAGCCATATTTAGGCTATCAGGGGGGAAAAAACCCTCTTTACTGTTAGAGCAGTATGAGAATGAGGCTATCAGGAAAAAAAAAAAACCTCTTTACTGTTAGAGCAGTATGAGAATGGAATCAGTGACCTCAGAAGGTGGTGAGTGCTCTAGTACCGGAGTCATTTGAGAGAAAATTGGACAAGATTTGGACCTCAAAAGGTGGTCATTTGAGAGAAAATTGGACAAGATTTGCTTTGATATAGATTCCTGCATTGAGCAAGGGGTTGAACTCCATGGTCTTATACCCCCCCCCTTTTTTTCAACTCAGTTATTCTATCATTCTAAGACACCTGGAGAGCCAAAGGATGTGAACCACTGCATTGCACCAATCTGGTGTTATGCTCTATAATCTGGTAGGAAGCAAGCCTTCGAAGAAATGAGGGCCCTGCAATTGCCCCTTCCTTTGAAAGGCTGATTTTTCCCCCTTTAGTTTAATGAGGCAGTACTTAAGCACAGGTGTCAGCACAAGGGAGAGTTTACAGGTGAGTCCAAATTCTTTGCTCCTTAAAACATAAAATACTAAAATTTGGAATGGGGAGCAAATGATGAAGTTCACATTGTTGCTGTGGTACCTTTTGCTCATACCGCGAAGAACTGTTCGTTGTGCTAAGGCTTCCATTTACAGTCTTAAATCTTTCCCCGTCTCTCCCTGTTCCAAAAGGGCAATACTAATGTGCAAAAGGAGCTGAAATTCAAGACGACATTGAACATTAGTTATTCAGATAGTTATGATTCTATACCATTTGATGATTAAGAAGAATCTTGGGTGGGTTCTACAGCTCCGAGATATTTTACAAAACTGTATATCTACTTACTTGCCTCGTTTGCCTTCTTTCTCTTTCAGACTCTCTCTGCAGAACTTCAGAAGCTTCATGCAGATATTGGAGACAAAAAGGATGCTCTTTTGAAGTCCATCACCTCTGTTGGTGGTGACCCTGAAAGATTCTCTCAGTGCTTTAGAAATCTGCAGGCATGGCTTCAAGTGACAGAAGCAGCTGCTACTTCCAGGAACAACTCTATGAAAGCTGAGTTGGATGGTTACAGTAATTATCAGGTACAGTGATGCCTCGCACAACGAGTGCCTCACACAATGATAAATTCACACAACGATGGCTTTTTCTGAAAAATTTGCTGCCTCACACAACGATGTTTCCTATGGGGAATTTTCGCACAACGATGTCTCTTTTCACTCATTTAAAAGTGCCTTAAACTGTTTGAAACCTGTTTTAAATGCTTGGCATCGATAGTCCAGCTTATGAAACATAAGCAAACTTAATTTGGTGTTGTTCTGAGGCGTCGTTAATTTTTGGTGAATTTTTCTCTCTCTCATTGAGAAGCATTGGACGGACTTCGCAAACCCATTCAAATGCATTGAGTCGGCTTCAATGCATTTCAATTGGGGAACCGCGTTCCCCCCAACGATGTTTCCTGTGCCGATTTTCACTTAAGGATGGCAATCCGTTCCAATTGGAACAGATTAACCGGTTTTCAATGCATTCCTATGGGAAATGGTGTTTCACAGAACGATGTTTTCACAGAATGGTGTGGTTTTTTTTGAACCAATTAACATTGTTGTGCGAGGCACCACAGTACAACCTAGCTAAATATGCATCTCATTCCCTACTAATTGTTTGAGCTTATCCTGACAAGTGGCACACTTAACTTTTTTACATTACCATCACGAATCGTAACACATAAGCCTGTTTAGCACCAGCATTTGGGGGAGGGGGAATCTTAGGAAAACAAACATACAACCATTGTGATTTTATATCCCACATTGAGTTTGGAAATTTTCTTATTTAGGCATACATGAACTGGATTTCCTTGGACACATTCCTTATATAAAGGTTACACTATTTTATGGAGTGGAACAAGGCTGTGATGTAAAACTGGCTTGTCTGAGACAGACAAGCAAAAAATACCTGACACCCACCCAAACTAAGAAGTATAATGTTTAGAGAAATATAATGTTTATACGAATACCCCCATCTCTAATAATGTTCAAGAAGTTACTGTATATTCAAGGATATGCCATTGTTTTAGCACGAGTCCAAAAACTTCATGAACACTTCTCTCCATCCCTGAGTGTAATATAATACTGTAGTAACTAAGTTAATAATAGCGACTTGCTGTCTTTTCAGGATATCTAAATATTATCTGTTAGAGGCAGCCAATTCCCTCTGCCTGATGGTAGGGCCGGCCTTGGTCTGATGGATAGGACTAACCCTTCTCCAACTAAGCAAAAACACACACACAGTGCCTACCTCCAGAAATGTTTGTCTCAACTGTAACCAACTAAGAACACCGTTTCATACATTTGAGCTAGAATTTATGATAATTTAATCCTTGATCTCGCTGATGGCCCCATGCCTGGAGCAAATTATGATTACAAAACTGGATAATATCTTTATTTTATGTTTTGCAAGAGCAAGTGATTCACTGTATATGAAAAAAAAGCGCTCACTCTCTCTCCCTTTATATGTATGTTCATAAAGAATGATGCTGATTATCAGTCCAGTAGAAGTGCACTTTAATTATCCCTTCCTTCTATATAATGTACCTCGTTTGGCTTTTTTTCCCTGTCCTTGTCACAGAATGAAATCAGGCAATTGTATGATGAGTTGATTGAGAAAAAAATCTCCCTGCAACAGTCTTTCAGTGCAACAAGCACCCACGGCATTTCCCAGGCAATCCAGGTAATTAACTGATATACAAACATAAAACATAATCAGTTGTCCAGTACTGGACAATTTTACATAATTTCTATTGTTGGGGTGTTTTATTTGTCCGAAATTGTAGTAGCAATTTTGTTTTGTCCTGTCAGCTTAATGGTGCTATGAGAGCTGCATTTCCAGAAAGGTCAAGATTCATGTCAACTGCTAGAATATACGCTATTGGAGTATAGAAAATGTCCTTCTTGATTACAACACCTAGAATTTCCCTGCGCATTCATTAGGTGTGGGGTGGAAACCTTGCAAGTTGTAGTATGAAAAACAACAAGGAGTTTTCTGGAAGTTGTTGTTGGTTTTTCAGGCTGTTTGGCCATGTTCTAGAGGTTTTTCTTCCTAATGTTTCGCTGGGCTCTGCGGCCGTTATCTTCAGAGGACAGGAGTTAGAACTCTGTATGTGTTCTGTGTAGGATAGCTGAGTATTTGTAGCTGTGGGATCAGTACAATACATCATAACAAAAAAAAAAACAACGTAATCACCCAATCTCCTGAAAAGGACAAAAAAAGTGATCCCACAGCTACAAATACTCAACTGTCCTACACCAGAACACAGACAGAGTTGTAACTCCTGCCCTCTGAAGATGCTGGCCTCAGAGACTGGTGAAATGTTAGGACGAAAAACCTACGAAATGTGGCCAAACAGCCCAAAAAACCTACAACAACCATCTAACTCTTCTGTTGTTCCACCCTTTTCACTGAAACTGAAAAGGACACTTTTAATTATCCGCAATTGGCCAGGGTTGGTGACATCACATCCACTGCACAGGCAGAACTATGCAGAAGGAGAGAGGCCAAAAATTCCAGAAGCTTTCTAACTGTCTTGAGTACTCAGCTGCCCCAAAATTAACACAATTCCTCATAAGAGTATTCTGTGTCTGAATATTTTCATCTTTTTGTTTAGCAAGTGGATGCTTATGAGTTTGATCTACAGAACTTTGAGACTCGGACAGCTAAATTGAGAGATCGTGGAGAAAGACTACATTTACCTACTGCCCTAATCCACGAAGTGGATAAACTAGAGGTAAAGATGTTGTATAAAGAGTATGCAATCTAGATGGGGGTGCGTTCATCAGCAATCTCCCAGAATTCCTCAGCCAACATAGCAGGTGACCTGCTGCTGTGGGGGATTCTGGGAAGTATACTGCAAATAAGGAGGTTTTCTCACTTCTGCAGAAGACTCTGTTACTCAAGCAAGCATCCTTTGCAAACCTGGGGAACATCAGTCGAAAAGCTTGACTTGAAAAATTAGTTCAAATTTACTCATTTGAGTTTATGTTAAAAATCAACAAGAGCGGTCAGTATGTTCATTTTGGCTAGGAACAGTTTATACCGTTAGCAATGGTGCAAGCCCACACCATGTGCGTTTATATCATGGTGAGGATCTTTTTCCTCTAGTCTGCCCTCTTGTTCAAATACTCAGGAAAAACAAAGTTTTTAATGTTTATTTAAATATAAAATACACACACAAAGAAAATACAAAACTAACACAGAAAAACTTAACACGTGCATTCTTATGCATGTTTTTAATAATGTTTTATATAAATAAAATTATACCATGCTGCTGTATTAAAAAATGGAATCAGTCAAAGCTGAATTTTCAACAAAGTCTGGTTGTTGATCATCTGTCATAAATTACAAGTGAAGCCTGTTAATCATGTTTGTTTCATTTCCAGGATGTTCTGGATGACCTTTGGGAGATCCTCAGAATGAAGCAGAGGCCGCTAACTTCTCCGTTTATTGAAGAACAACAGTATGAAGCTCTGCTGAAGGGACTTTCTGAGCTCGTAGAGCTTGGACGAGAGAAAATTGATCAAGTGTCAGAACTGAAAACTACTAGCCGACCTAATTTGCAGGTTCTTCTACAAAATCATAAGGTATCAGCTTTCTGATCATTTTTAGAGCTGTGATATTCACCCCTCCGGGTGGTACTGACGGATTTCCATGCTGGCTGGGGATTCTTGAAGTCCAGAACATTAACTTCTCCAGACTGCAAAAATCGGCATGAAATTAATCAAAATTCACTACTAAGGGTGGTTATTTGTTTGTTTGTTTGCAATATTAATACCCTGCCCTTCTCCCGGTGAGTTCAAGTTAGCATGCTAGGTTCTCTTCATCTACATCAATGGTGCCCCACCTTGGGTAACACAGGTGTTCTTGGGCTGCAACTCCCAGAAACCCTGACGCAAGGTGGGGAACCACTAGTTCTACATTATATCCTCCCAATAACCTTTTGAAGTAGCTTCATTCCTAGCAGAAAAAGCTTAGAACTAAGATGCCCAGCAGTCTAACCACCGCACCGCAGTGTGTGTGAAGAATCTCATTCTCTCCTGTGCACCAAGTTCCATTTATGGAGTTTCTGATTAAGTTTCAGAGCCCCATTCAGACAGATTTCAGGCCATCTCAGAAGCAAACACTTCACAGATTCTTTGGGATGGACGACAGCATCAACATCATTCCACGTTATGGAGGGACAAAGATGTTTCAGTGATGGGGTGGCGAGGTCCGGAAGGTAGAGCTCTTGGTTCAAATACAAAAGCGAAGGACGTGCAGAATTGCAACAAACAAAACAGAATATTTTAAAAGCACTTTGATTATTCTCCTTATAGTTCAGAAGACGTAGTCACATTATTCCAATGAACCTCCTAGATATTCAAGTCATTCAGTCTTTCTTGAACTCTTAACATTTGAATTAAAGCGCCTTATTTATTTAAGTGTTTATTACCTATCGATTCTGCCCTCTCTCCAAAGAATTCAAGGTGGTGTACGTGGTTTTCCCCGTTCACCTGTGCTAGACCGGATGAGTCGGCTGGCTGTTGATCATCAGCACAATGTCACCTGGTGTGGTTCATGAGTGCCCTGGGGATTTTAACCCATGACTTCCCAGTCTTTGAAGGGCACTCTAACCATGAGAGGCTGGCGACCTCAGATATATCAACAATCATAATAATGGGTCGCCATGTTGATTCCAACTCAAGTGCCACTTACCAGGGTTCTTTAGGTGGGAAGAAGTTGAAAGCAATTCATCCATGGCTCCTGTTGTGGTGCTACGGGACCACCGTGTAACTGGCCCAAGGCCACATAGCCTGGCTTTTCTCCCAGGAGGCGTATCTGGGAAATTAACTCTGCAGGCCAAGTTTCCACCTCCAAGACTGAATGTTCAAACCCATAATTATCTAGTTGTAATTCTTGCAACAATCCTATAAAACAGATTAGTCTTGTTATTATGCTCCATGTTGTACATTCAAGGGTGGAAGTAGGAAAAGAGAGAGAGAGAGAGAGCAGAGAGAAACAGTACTATAGCTACTAGTGAGTTCATGGATTGTTTGTTCAGTTCAGCCATACCAGCTGCTGTAGTGCCACCTGGTCTTGGCTTGTAAAAGTTGTGGTGTTTGTTTGTTTTTTTTGCACTACAACTCCCAGAATCCTATATTCCCGGAATCCTGCAATTTAGGGTCATTGAGCAGGTAACAATTTGACAGAGGGACTCAGTTGCAGGTCTGTCTCTGTATCAGCTCCGCAACAGCAAATGGGCAAAGTTTTAAGCAGGTCTGGGTTTGCCCAGCACCTGAACAAGAGACTCCCGAGGAACCCTTGTGGATGTGATTCTTGTGGATGTGATTCTTGTGTATGTGAACTGAAATTGATTAGATATTCATATGAAGCACTTGCCCTAAAGCAGTCAATATGGGAATGATGGCTATGTCGATTTTTTTTCCATGTTTACTTCACACTCCAAGAATATGGGAATGATGGCTATGTCAATTTTTTTCCATGTTTACTTCACACTCCAAGCTTTTAGCATAATGGCACGAAAAATGAGCAAAGGTATTTCTCAGTGAGGTGGAAAGAAAGATGACGTTTAGGGGTAATCATAAAATCCACCCACAACTGTACCCTGTTTCCCTGAAAATAAGCCCTAATGTGTTTTTTAGAGCAAAAATTAATACAAGTCCCTGTCTTATTTTCGGGGAAACATGGTAATTACATACTTTGCCAAAAAATAAAATACAGCCCTGCTAATGAAGATTAATGTTTACAAACTATCCAACAGAAAAAATGCATAAACATCAGTGATTCCTTCTTACTTTTTTTTGAATGTTAAGAGAAGCAGTTAGTCATCTCTGTTTTCAGAAGTAATTTTCAGTAATTTTTGAAGTACAAAATACGAGCATATGGACAGAATGGAAGAAGTAGCACTTGTTACATATGGAAGTGACCCTTGTATGAGGTATTAAGTGGTGGTGGTGGTGGGGATAGCTTAGTGGGCCAAAGTGTTAAGTTGGGATCCAAAGGAAGTTATATTGTGGAGCATAATTCTTTATTTTTGTATATGGGCTCAATGAATTTTAAGTGTGTCTGTGCATGTGTACATATATTTGTATGTATATACCTGTGTGCACTTATGTGAAAAAGTCAAACAGGAATCCAACCGCCAGGAGTAGACCTTTGGTCTAGATGGGTGGGATAGACATCTAATAAATAAATAAATAATAAATAAACAAACATAGAAGGATGTCTAAGACCAAAACAAGGGACTTCCGTTATACAGAAAATTGTTACCGGTAGACAAACAACAGGCCACCCCTTCAAACTGTGATTATAATTGGACCCAGAAAACTAAACTCTTTTCCTTTAAAAATTTGGAGATGACTCATTTTATGCTGATCCCAACTACAAGTTTGATTAGATCTTTGTGTGTGGCCAAAGACATCATTAGAGTCCAGGTGAGCATATGCACAAACCTATGCATAGCCTTCCTTCCTCTCAATGCCTGTCCTATCCCCAGCCAAGGCAAAATACAGTCTGTGCGCTGAAAAAGTTGGACCCATCGCCTGATCAGTCCTATTCTTGGACCCAGAAAGTGAAAGAGAAAGCACTCAAACCACTAGTAATGTGTGTCGTGTGCACTATTGAACGTTTGATCATGCATTGAGTTGGTGGTGCTGCAGGCTAAACTGCAGAAGATTTGTGTGATGCAGGATCAGAACACCAGCAGTTGTAAGATCTAATCCACGCGATGGAGTGCGCTCCCGTCGCTTTGTCCCAGCTCCTCGCCAACCTAGCAGTTCGAAAGCATGTAAATGCGAGTAGATGAATAGGTACCACCTCAGTGGGAAGGTAAACAGCGTTCTGTGTATAGCGGCGCTGGCCACGTGACAACAGAAACTGTCTTCGGACAAACGCTGGCTGTACGGCTTGGAAGAAGAGAAAGCACTCAAACCACTAGTAAGATGTGTCGTGTGCACTATTACAAGTTTGATCATGCATTGAGTTAGCGCCAGTTAGGGAATTCCAGAGTCAACGTCAGGCAAGTGAATGGTTCTTTTTAAAATTCCTTGTGATCTCTCTTTAATACCGGCTTGGAAACGGGGATAAGCACCACCCCCTAGAGTCGAACACGACTGACTAAAAATGTCAAGGGGAGTCTTTACCTTTACCTTAGCCCCAGTTAGGGAATTCCAGAGTCAACGTCAAGCAGCCCCAAGTCAGGCAAGCGAATGGTTCTTTTTAAAATTCCTTGTGATCTCTCTTTAATACGATTTTGTTCCCCTTTCTGAAAACAGAACTTCTTCCGTAACCTCGGCACTCACGCACGGCTTGTGCAAATGTGTTCCCAAAAAGTGTCTCCTTCAGTCTTAGAAAAGAGAAAGGAATCCTACCAAGGCATAGCCGAGGATATCAGCTCCCTGGAGCAACAGGCTGTCCAACAGGGAGCCCGTTTGGAAAGTCTCTTACAGGTAAGGAAGCAGGGTGGAATGTCGGGAATACATCTCAAGTCGGCGTGAGCAAAGTTTCTCCCTTTGGGACCATCTCTGTGCTTCCCCAGACATCCATCAGAATGGGAAGTTGCACCTTCAGGAGATCTTTATTCGTTTTTTTTTCTGCAGAAGCCTTTTGGAGGCCTAAAACATGGTCCGAAGCAAAGTTTAGGTATAAAGGGCAAATGATGCCTTCCGGAGACTCCACAATTTTAGGAGTGCTTTTGTTTTTAAGGGATTGGAATGGGAGCGGGGACACAAATCCAGAGTTTGGAGAAGAATGAAAATGGCTCGCACACCCTTGGAATTAGCACCATCCTAGTCTACAGCATCCACCATTTCTATGTCCCCCCCCCCGACAAATGAGAACAATAAAAGCTGCCTCACAGAGCTTGTTCAGGAGAGGGTTTTTTTTCTGTGTCCAGAAGGACAAGATTGTTTCTGCTTTTCTTTTAGACCCGTGGTTCCCAACCTTGAGTCCCCGGGTGTCCTTGGATTGAAATTCCCAGAAACCTTCACCACTAGCTTGGCTGGCCCAGATTTATGGGCATTGTAGTCCAAGAGCATCTGGAGACCCAAGGTTGGGAATCACTGTATAAGATCGAACCTAACTGTAATCTTCCCAACTTTGAGTCCCCAGGTGTCTTTGGACTGAAATTCCCAGAAACCTTCACCGCTAGCTTGGCTGGCCAGGATGTATGGGCATTGTAGTCCAAGAGCATCTGGAGACCCAAGGTTGGGAATCACTGTATAAGATCGAACCTAACTGTAATATGTCATCTAAACCACTGGTTCTTAACCTTGGGTTACTCAGGAGTTTTGGACTGCAACTCCCAGAAACCTTCACCACTAGCTTGGCTGGCCCAGATTTATGGGCATTGTAGTCCAAGAGCATCTGGAGACCCAAGGTTGGGAATCACCGTTTAAGATCGAACCTAACTGTAATACGTCATCTAAACCCTAAACTGTGAAACAAACGAGAGGCGTAAACTGTGGTTTGATGCTGGCTTGTTTCAGTGTGATGCAGTTAAGATCTGTCTAGATTCAGGTATCGTGATCATCTGTATTTAATCTGAAAGGGGAGAGTAAAAAAATCCAAATGTATTGTTTTCACCCTGGAGTGAAGGATGAGTAGGAGCTCAGTTTCATTTGTGAGATCTCTTTGTGTGCTCTGAATGGATAAACGTTTTGAGAAACGGTATCTCCACAGGCAGGACATGGTATAGCTGGAGAGGCTATAGAAAAGTGCAGAAAAGTGCACGCAAACATGAGGTTGGAGCACCTTCCCTAGGAGAAAAAGCTAAAATGTTCCAGGCTTCCTAGCTTAACCTCAAAAAACAGATGGGCATGTTTAAAATTACATCTGTTGTAGATAAATTGGTGACTGAGATTGTTTTTATTTCTTTCTGCTACTCCATCAACTTGAAGATGGAAATCATCCTTCAGAAGTAATTGGTAGTAGATTTGAGGGAAACAAAATAAAAGTAATTCTTCACACTACACATAATTAGTTTCTGCTGACTTTGCTGACACACGACATTGACACCACTAATGAGGTAGCTTCAAAAGGAAATCAGACAGATTCACAGAGAATCGTTCTATCAGTTACTACTATCCATTACAAATAAAAAAATTTTAAAAAACAAAGAAGAAGCTGCCTTATGCTGAATCAGACCATTGGTCTAGCTTAATGTGGTCTATGCCAGCAGTAGACAATCAATATAACTTCCCAAATCTTTTGAGCCACAATTCGCGAAGGCTTTCACAGCCAGGATCTTATGGTTGCTGTGGGTTTTTTGGGTTCTTTGGCCCTGTTCTGAAGGTTGTTCTTCCTAACGTTTCGCCAGTCTCTGTGGCCGGCATCTTCAGAGGACAGAAGTAGCACGCTGGTGCAGTTAGTTGGAGAGTTGAGTATTTATAGCTTTTGGTTCAGCTTTTGTCCTATTCATGAGATGGGTGATAATGGTGATCAATGTGTTTTTGTTGTGGGTCTATTGTTGTGATAAGGAGGAGAGATTATCTGTCACTGTGCTTGATGGGTGTCTTTAGCTGGTCTTTTGTGTGTAGTGACTGATCCTTATTACAACAATAGACTCACAACAAAAACACACTGATCACCATTATCACCCACCTCCTGAATGGGACAAAAGCTGAACCCAAAGCTATAAATACTCAACTCTCCAACTAACTGCACCAGCGTGCTACTTCTGTCCTCTGAAGATGCCGGCCACAGAGACTGGCGAAACGTTAGGAAGAACAACCTTCAGAACACGGCCAAAGAACCCGAAAAACCCACAACAACCAATTCCCATATTCCTTTACCATGAATCACACTAGCTACTGCTGATAGAGGCTGTAGTCCAGAACATCTGGAGGACCCAGGTGTCTTGCCCTTGGACTACTCTGATAGGCAGTGCTCCTCCAATGTCAGACAGGAGTCGTCCTCAGCTGTACCTGTATAGATGGCAGGGATGGTATCTGGAACCTGTTGTAGTAGGTGGTAGCCTTTCTCCAGAGGGTCCTCTGCAGATTTAGTTTATCTCTGAATACTACTTGTCGGTGTGAAAGAAGAGAGACAAAGTCACTCAAGAATGCCTCACAAGCTTCTGTTTGGTTACTGTTGAAACAAGACGCTAGACAAGGTTTAATTTTGATTCAACCCAGTAGATGCTGTTTGTGGAACAGGAATACTCTTTCCCTACGATTCGTGTTTTATATTTCCATTTATTGACATTTAAGGGGATGTTGGTGACAGAGCAGCCACATTCTTTCAGATTTGCTTGTCTTTCATACCGTTCCACATGAACGGTTAAACATAATGCGCTCTGCTAAAAATGCATCTCCTCTCCTAGGACTGGATAGAATTTGATGACAGCTACATGTCGTTCTGCCAGAAACTAGAAGCCCTCTCTTCTACAGTGCCTTCTGTGAGTTTAGTGACGGAGACAGAAGAAAAGTTAATGGAAAGGACTCAACTCTTCCAGGTATTTCTGTATTCCTTGGGTTAACTCAAAATGGGCCTTTTTCTTTAACTGCAAAATCTCCCATCAGTTTGCTGGCTGGGAGGATGCTGGGAGCTATAATCCCCAAAAAAGCAAGATTTCCAAGTTCTGGTGATAAGACATTTTGGGAAGGCAGGGGTTTGATTGTGGAGAACACCAAAGATTCACTAGCCCACCATGTTGTGAGCCTAATGAATACAACTGGACATGTGCAAGGGAAGTTCAAGTGATAGATCATCCCAGGAAGTGGGATAGAAGAGGCTTCACCGTGTGTGCATAGATCTTTTCAAGAGAGGATGTTTTTAATTGCATCCAGAAAGGAAGGAGGTAGATGTAAAGGAAGAAAAGGCCTTTGAAGAAAATGGTTTCTGTTCAGTCCTGCAGAACTAAAAAAGATTGTCCCTCCTAAAAAGTGTGACTGAGTAGGAGGATGTGATACGGATCAACTTCTCCCATCAGAGTTGCAGCCAAGAAGTTATAATTAATTGGTCTTCTCGCTACAAGTGATTAAACGATAATTGGATGATAAATATAATTTGTTTAATCTTTTCTGCCTATTCCTTAGTGAAATGAATTACAAGCATGGGGGACTTTTTTTGTTAAATGCCCTCTTGTCAAAGTCTGACTTATGGCAACCCTTCCCCCAGCCTTCTAGGTAGAGAGTGGACAGAAGTGGTTTACCCTCTAGGGGGTGCCCCGGGGCTGTGCAGCTTGCCCAAGGCTACACAGGCTGGCTTTTCTCCCTGGAGGCACAGTGGAGGAATCAAACTCCCAACCTCTGGCTCCTTAGCCAGAGACCTAACTCACCGAGCTATCCAGCCAACATGCTGATTGGAGGAACTAGAGGAAAATAAACCAATGGACAGGCTCTCAGCTTTAGATTCATTTTAATTCACACAGTCTATCTGCTCTTTCTTAGCAAATCAGAAGAAACATCGAGGATGAGCAGGCCAGGTATCACCAAGTACTGAAAGAAGGGAAGAGTTTGATGGAGCTTGTGAATTGTTCCGAATTGCAAAGCCAGGTAGGAAAGCTGGAAGAGCAGTGGACGTCTCTTTCCAAAAAAGTTGACCAGGAGCTGCAAAGACTTGAGACCTTCCTCAAACTCTTGTCCAGGTAGGTGTGATATTTATAGTTTTAACCTGTCTATGACAACCTGGCCATCCTATCTGGGAATGACTGGCATGATAACTCAACCCATCTGAAAGGCACGAATTCAAATTTCTACTCAGAAGTAGTCGAATACAAAGACAAACTGTCCAGTCATAGAATAGCTCTTTTTTTTAACCTAGAAGAAGACTGAAACATTTTTTACAAGGATACTTAAGTGTATTTTCATCTTTAAAGTGTTAGGAAATATCTGAGTTCCATGCAAGCAGTAAACTCTCCCATGAAGATTTTTTTAAAAATCTGCTGTGGGAAAAATCTATAGGTTTTTCTGATCTTCATTAGATCAGATAATCTTCATTATCTGATCTTCAGAGTTCGCATGTCAGTTAGGGTTCATGTGAGAGCTGAGGAAGAGGTTAAGTGTTGGAACATCCGGTCTGACTCCCCGCTCCCCAGTTTCAAAGCCAAATCACACTTTTTAAAAGCTTCCAAGGGCGCAATTTGGCTTAGAAGCAAAGTGCATGCTCTTTCTCCATGCTTTATTTTACAGTGAAATGGTAAGGAGGGGGGCCCACCTAAATTTCTCAGTATCGTGGCAGCTGGAGGAACGGAGACATGTGCAGTGGTACCTTGCTAGATGTCATAGGCATCCTTCAGTCTCGAGATACTATGGTAACATGCTCTGTATCGAGAAGTGTCCTCTCCAGAGCATGAAGCCTGGGTAAAGTAGTATGGAGGATACGCTGTTACCCAAGCAGCAAATCCCCCCTCTCCACGTTGCTGAAATGGTCCAATGGAAAGGCAAGAGCCAATACAACTGGTTCCAGCAACGTCGCAGGAGTTGGCAGAACGACACGAATTGCCTCCGGGACTCCAGCTCCGGATTTTGCCTCGAGGTTAACTCCTGAAGCCTTTTCCATCAGTGGATATAGCCACAAGGCAGTGGAGGTTTGAAGTCAGAGTTTTCCTTCTCCTAGATGGGCTGCCTTCCAGGGTTGACGAGCCCCACCTACCCGGCCCTTAAAACTTTTCTGCCTCCCAGGTGTATGCAATGCTAATTGGCTTTCCTATTTACCATATTAGGGTCAGAGATAGAGTCAGAGAATTTGAGGATGCAGGCAAACCTGGTCTTCAGCCTCAGCTCAGCCTCCTAGGGAAAAGGGCCCAGGTCCTGGCACAACCTCATTTAAGGAGGGAAAGCCCCACCTCCTAGGCCATGCGGTGGGGGGGGGACAAAAGACATCCCACAAAAACAAACGCCTCAGCAAAATGTCCATGCAGGCAAACCTGGTCTTCAGCCTCAGCTCAGCCTCCTAGGGAAAAGGGCCCAGGTCCTGGCACACACGCTAGACGATGACCTCACAAAACGACGACTCCGCATGATGATGAGGTTTTGCAATTACTATAGCGATTCGCAAAATAGTCATTCCAATGGGCGATTTTCGCTTGACGATGATTTGGTCCGTGCTTCGCGGACCGTTTTTTCACAAGACAACGATTTTTACAGCTGATCAGCGGCTTCGCAAAATGTCTTCCCTAAGTTTTCGGGACCGATGCTTCGCAGGACAGCCATTTTTACAGCTGATCGGTGCTTCGCAAAATGGCTGCCCTTTGGGCGATCTTCACAAAACGACAACGATTTTTCCCCATTGGAGTGCATTAAACGGGTTTCAATGCATTCCAATGCGGAAACGGTTTTTGCTACACGATGATTTCGCAAAACAGCGATTTTCACGGAACGAATTATCATCGTCAGGCATGGACCACTGTATTACTAGGAAACTGTTGGGCATCCAGATACTGTGACACATGTCAGCCACACCTGACATGTTCATTGGTAAGAGCGGTAACGATGAGAAGGCCATAAATCATGTTTTGAAGGCTCCAGTTTCTGCACCCCTCCAAGTTCTTTCATCCATCACCCCTGCCTTTTAAGAAGCCATTGCGTATTGATCTTCTTTGATTGTTAGCTTCTGTTGAAGCTCCTTGCCAAGGGCAGAAAGATAGCACGGAGAAGCCCTTTGAATGATTCCAGTTCCATGTTCGATTTTTTTTTCTGCAGCTACAACAAAGAGTCAAAGGAGCTGGACAGCTGGTTGACCTCTGCTCAGCAGCGTGTGAATGACTGGAAGGTGCAGTCACTCGGTGACTTTCAGGACCTGAACGCAGTCACAGATCATATACGGAGCTTACTGGTAAGTTATTCGGGGTCTGTATGCCGCACACAGTCATTCAGCAATGCAGGTGAATCAGGCCAAAGTTCCATTGTGGAAAAGTATTCTGTGTCCAGTCCTGACCAGCCGGGAGAGGGTTTTTTCCTCCCCTTGACTCCTACTCACTTTAGCTGACCTTTAGAGACAGAGGATCCAGTTTGAATTTTGGTAGCTAATAGCCACTCATCAACGTGCTCCTTCTGTACGTATACTGCTTGTTTTTGAAACCATCATTTAAAAACATTCTCAGTATTACAGTGGTGCCTCGTCTCTGGAACAACCTACCCCCTGAGATTCGCGCGGCTCCCTCGCTGGGTATTTTTAAGAAACAATTAAAAACATGGATGTTTAGGCAGGCCTTCCCAACAGATCGTTTCGTTTCGTTTAGTCGTTTAGTCGTGTCCGACTCTTCGTGACCCCATGGACCAGAGCACGCCAGGCCCTCCTATCTTCTACTGCCTCCCGGAGTTGTGTCAAATTCATGTTGGTTGCTTCGCAGACACTGTCCA